TGGATGAAATATCAATATTTATTTGATTTGATGCTTCAATTACATACATTTGTTAATTGAATGGGCATTGGACGGATGTTTATCTTTAACTTTTTAACAAGAAAAACATTTTTTGTTTCTTCATTTTAATTAAGATATTTTGAGTCATGAAGAAGATTCCTTCGAATCGAATTGATTCCCACGTTCTCTCTCGAATGAAATTTATCGTTACTTTATAATAATGAAAACAGTTTATAAAATGGAGTTAAGCATGAAATCGATTGATCCATAAAACACGATACAATAGAAATGTGAATCACAAATTGAATTAAATTGAAAGACCACCGACACGGTGAAGTTTATTTCAAATTGAACATTTCTTTAAATGAAGTTCAAGCTAATGATCCATAGCAAATCTTAGACATTTTTTAAAGTTATCTCTCACCTGCATTTCATCAACTTGACCTTATTCATCGTCTCTCTTCCATTGTAAAACATTTGAATTTGTAAACAAAAAACAAAGTCGCGAGCCACGAGCTACTAAATTTAAATATTTACACAACATGCAATGCTATTGATTATAATAAAATTGGAATATTTATTCATTCATTTCACTTTCAAACAACACAAATTTATTCACCGATTGAATAGCAATTTAAACACTTCCCCGAAACGCGATCCTTTCGATAAACAATGGCAGCGGGTACAATGTTCTAAACAACAAAAAAAAACGCGATGTAGAGTAAACATTTGAGTTAATTGAGTCGAACACATGATATATTCACTAACGAACCGGCACCACAACCGACCGACAAAAAGAAACTTGTTTACTCGACACTAGCCTTAAATCAAAACACAGAAAGAAGTTGTCAAAAAATTCTTTTTCGCATGCTTCTCGTTCTCTTTTAATTCACTTTCTTTGTCTACTTCTGTTCACAACGAATATCTCGAGCACACAAAATTTTCAGAATCATCTTTGTGATGTTCCATTTCAGGAAACAATAAACTTTCCACTGTCGACACGATGAAACACCGAACTCAGCACTGCTGTCGCTCATCTATCAGTTCTTAATATTATCTCAACAATGCCGATGCTATCACATCATTGTGAAAGACTTCTGATAGAAAACTGTCCAAAAAATTATACATAATTTTTTTTGTGTACCACCACTACCATCACATTCAAAGTCTGAACTCTCTTGAAATCTTTTTCATGGAACATGGAAAAGAAAAATGTTGTTCACCGAAAAAAAAATAAAATAACGAGGAACAGAAAAAAAAATATATTGTACATACGAATAATCTTTCTTTGTGTGTATATAGAATAAAACCAAACAGAAAAATAAAATTTTTATTTACCCCAAACAGTACCTCTCTCGTCGTCTCTACATACCAACCCAGCGAGGTATAATATAAAATGAAACGATACTAAAATGTTTTTATTTTTTATATGTCTCTAAAAGCGTATTCCGACATGAACGGCTGCTCGCTTACAGCTTGAACAAACCGGGGTTTCTTCTCGAAAGGAGGAAAAAAAATAATAATATGATTTTTATGACGTTTTCTTATGTGTTGTGTTCTTGACAGGGCTTTCAATAATTGGAAGCAAATGTTACGAAATGATGTTCAAATCGGGATGTAAGCCCAGGCAGAGTAAGAATATTGACGAAAAGTGTAAAGCTAAATTGAATTAACAAAACCGCACAGAAGTGCAATGCAACTGCGAAACAAAAGTTGAGAAAATCAGTTCTGTAAAAAGAGGTAGCAGCTACCTAGACAAGCGTTTATTGCACAATAACTTATTGTCGAGTGAACAAGAAAACTTTTGACAACTTCATAGACTGTTTAAAGTTGAAGATACATTCCAAAGAAGTGGCAACTGGAAATAGTCCGACTGTCTACGATACGAATGAATTAGCAGCATTTTGAATGTGCCAATAGCAAGATTTTGCTGCTTGAAAGTGTAATAAAAAATCATCCACGTCTTTATATAAAAAATTTTGTTGTTTGCGCTTTGATATACATTTTCTTCATTGCCATACGAACACTGCGAAGAAGGAAATCAAGTGGAAATTTCTCTTTCTTTTTCGTTATCGTCATAAAACAAGAAACACTGAGCAATGCGATTGGAAGTACTGACATAAAATGTTTTATGCGTTTTTATGAAGATACTTTGACAGTGTAGAGCGCTCAATATAATTATACGAAATAGTGATTCAACTCAGTTTTCTTCTTTTCTCTCATTTCAATGATGGACTTTTGAATCAATATTTGAGGTGCGATCAGCAAAGCTATGGTTTTGATTCGATTTATCATGACAATCACGCAATGACTTTTATTTTTAACGCGAACTGTTGATGATAGAAAGGAAATTTGTTTTTTTTGACGAGACGTGATAGCATTTCATCGGATTGTGATAACATGACAGCCGTTTTCTTCAACTTTGTTTCATTCTTTTTTCCACATTAAATGAGATCCTTTTAAGCTGGGATTTCTGCTTTTCGACAGTCGCTCAAGATGGAATTGAATTATCATGTATTTCATTCCCATCTAATTTCACCCTCTGCTACATATTTTCTTCATTTTCTGTTTTATGTTTCATCTGGTTTTTTCGCTTTTATTTTTCGAAAATCATAAAAATGTTTTCACTGTTGGTGGTGAGAGCGAGAACGACTTTCCTCCCCAAGTGCCTTGTACATGATAATAAAATTTTCCCTCTTTACATACACATAAGAAAACTTGAGATGGATTTTCTTGAAATAACATTGGAAAATATGTCATAAAAATGTTACATATTTATTTCGTTTTCATTCCCGAGATGGAGATGTTACACAGTGTGAGAGAATGTGCGCGATGCGGTGTAGACCTATATTGAATGAATGTATGTGAGGGAACAGAGAAAATTTATTTAGCGCATGCATAATTATGTGTTTCATCAAGATGCCTTGTCTTATGTAAAATATTGAGATTAGATGAGATGCCGTCTTTCTTCACCCTCATTATTATGTTTGACGAAGATAAATTCACAATGAGGAAAAATTTTTCATGAAAAAAAAAACAAATATTTGAATTCCTCAGAGATAAGAGCAATGATGAAATTGAAAGTATAGCAATTGATGAGGGGGAATTTGGGGTGTGCTAGAAGAACAGAAAATTATTCATTTAATTATCTAAAAGCTTACAAGTTTCATTTTACTTTAATGAAAACAAAAAAAAGTATAAGAATGCTGATGTTTTGTATTAAGAGTCTTTTCGGATAATCATGCTCGAAAAACCCATAATCATTGAGAACATTAACAAGGAGAAAGGGAAAACTCAAGTTCATACTCTCGATAAAAGATGGCGCTACCGTTCATAAGAACATTTAAAAAAGTTTTTGTGAGTCATAAGAGGAAAATTGTAGTACAGTGGCATTGATTAAAATAGAAAACGTTTGTTTTGTTTTTCAAATTTGATGTTTTATTAAATCCTTAAGACCTACTTTATTTTAATTATTTATGAGAGAACTATGAATTGAGAGCTCAATTTAAGTGTCTAAAAGTACATTGTAGTACGCGTTTACTTTTATTTAATATTATTTTCATATGAGAACATTCATTCACGACAAGAAATTGTTCTAAGTTTAATAAATCCTTGAAAAGTTTCCAGTTTTTTTTTCTTTATCTTTTTATTTATTTTAATTTAGTTTTAAACATTCAAGCAATTTTTTTATTCGATCATTATCATTATGTTGAAACATTGCAAACATTAAAAGTGGTAAGCGATACAAACGTTTTTACAAAAAGCCTTTTCTTGGTTTCTCATAACTGAAACGAAACTAGTTTTGGACAATTCTTTATAAATGTTTTCAAGAATTTATTTTTCTAAATTATAAGAAACAAGAATAAAACATTAAACTGTTGTTTTGTACTATACATATACGCTATCAATAGTTGTCAAAAGAAACAAAAAAAGAATTCATGACGTCGAATCGGGACAACAGAAGAAACTTTCATAGGAAAATCATTTCAATTTTTTTCTTCTTTTCTTTCAGTAATTCCATTAATTTCGTGTAAATTCGAGCTGAGAGGTTTCTGCTTGAATGAGGGGAAAACAAAAGTTTCTTCAAAGTTAGTTCAGTAGATTTATGATTGCTTTCAGGTCGTTTACTTGATATTTCTATTGATATTATTTTTTGACGTTGAAGTTGAATAAAATTTAAGTTTATTTTCGGAAGAAAAGAAGAGAGTTTTAAAATATTTATGTAAAAAAATGATGATAATAATAATAAAACTTTAAGAAAATGTTTCATTAATAGCTAAAGCATCAGTTAAAGATAAACAACTTTTCTTCTTGTCCAATAAGTTTATGAATATCTTGACGCAAATGAATGAATCCTAATCTTACTCCTTCTTACAAAACCTAAGTTTTTTCCTTTATGTTAAGAATTAAAGGAAAAATAAAACGTTGCAATATTCCCGCTGATTTGGACTTGACATATTCACTGGTAAAGATCTCATTTCATTTCTTTACTCATTAACAAAAAAAAAATTGTAATTCATGAAGAATCATGATGAATAAAAAATATAAAACGAACAATTATTACTTCCCACATATAAAAAATTAAATCACATTCTTATGCGTAATAGAAATTATCGAACAAAAATTTAAAAATAATAAAATTTAATTCTAACTAGAGCTTAAACAAAATGTACATGAAATTGACTTTGAAAAGTTATGCGATGAAATATAAATGACACATAATAAATCGTATAATTCATTTGAAATTATCATAATTAATTAAATGTGGTACGTCCTGGTACGTAAAATATTACTAAAGCCAATAGAAACAAACATGTTCAGTCATTTTATGATTTGAAGGGATGAAAAACAGAAACAATAAGGAATTTTGTTTAGTACAGTGAATCATTTTCTTATCCATTAAGATTTTTCTTTCTTATTCATTTGTTTTGTTTTTCTTATTAAAATTTTCTTGGGGGAATATATCATAAATATGGGAAAGTTTACAGATTTTGTGAAGCGAGCATTAGTCTATAAAGGTTCTCCAACCATTCCGAAGAAATGTTTTTGAGAATTTTCTATCTCGTTCTGATAAACAAGCTCTACGTAATTTATGAACTTTTCCCTTTTGTCATTTCTTCTTGTCACTTAATTTGAAATCTCCACTATTTTTCATGAAATTCATTACATGTTGCGAATAAGAATAAAAATATAAAGTAATTTCTACTTGTATTCATCTTTTTTTTCCTTCATTAATTTAATTTTTATGTTCATTTACTAAAACTATGAATCAGGATTAAGCTTAAGATTTTTTTTATGTTTTATGAATATTTTGCTTGCTACCATTTACAAAGTTTTTGCAGCTTTATGTTTCTTTAGACAGCAGATCAAATGCATTCAAACAACGCTTTCAAAAGAATTATGATTCTCTTCTGCTTTCAAAAAGTGTCGAGTTTCAATGACGGTTGTTTCTCAAGAGACTCTAACCATTATAGCTAATGATATCAGGAGGATGATTATACGACTGATGATGAATGTGTGGTTGATTTGTGATGGATGCCATCGATGTAACAGTGTCAAGCGGTCACTGGTGATGCATCTTTGGAGGATGATGATGCATTCCCAATCCCAAACTGATGTGATGAGCATTGTGGTGCGTTTGTGGTGGTACGTGATTATGACTACTGTTTGAATTTGCGTTGTTTGCATTTGACTGCTGTCTTTGCGAGTTTTTTTTGTTCTTCATGCGTCGGTTTTGGAACCTGAAATAATTAAACAACAAAATAAACATTAAACTTTTTTTAAAATCTTCATAAAATTATTTTTAATTACCAAATTTTAACTTGACGCTCGGTCAAGTTTAAATTCCTCGCAAGTTCCCAACGCTTCTGCTTTGATACATAAGCATTGAATAAGAATTCTTTCTCCAATTCAAGTGTCTGAAATTTGGAATACGGTTTGCGCTTCTTACGGACGGTTACGACTTGATTTGGCCATTCCAATGGATTCGAAGGTGTAGCCGATCCAATTCCTGATGATCCCGTTATTGTTGATCCTAATTAATTTTCAATTAAACGTTAAAATTTCATTTTAAACAATGTTTTTATAATGAATTGTATGTGTGGGTGTGCAGATTTATGGCAATCTGTTTTCAATTGATTTTCAAACGCTTGTGTTGTGAAAAAGAAATGAACTGATTAACATAACAAAATGTTTCTTAAACATAAATGAAAGTCCTAGATCGTATAAAGACTTGTTGAACATCTCATTGATCATTGATTTTTAATCCGTGAGAAGGAGATGCCAACATAAAAATAAAAACGAGTGCCTGTTGTCTGCGCGCCTTATTCATTCATCTTAAAAAGGCATACATGTAGCCATAAAAAATAAGTCATTAAATTTATCAGCTGATTTCTTTATACACCGAAAAGAAAAAAAATATAAATATTTTATTGCTCATTTTGCGTGTAGTTTTGTCTTCACACTTCACACTCTTCAATCTCGTGCGAGATTTATGGAAGTTCATTAAAAAAAGAAGAATATTTCTTGTTGAGACATTAAACAACATCGTCTGTATGATAAGTTCTAAGGTGCAAGTGACACAATGCGATTGATTGCCAGAGATCTCAAGTGCAAACAAATAAAATTTTGTCGCGTGCCTTCTGGTAAACTTTGTGTGTGTGTATATGAGAGAGAGAATGTTTGGTCTTGAACACATTAAAATTTGTTATGATTCATAAAACCACTTTTATGTCTAAATAATTAATTTGATACTTGAAATTTTAATTTCTTGATTTACGAGGGCTTTTCCTACACATTAAAAAGCACTAGAGATGCCCGCACTGGAATGTCTACGCAAGTGACACAAAAAGCAATTCAAAATGATAAAAACAAATAACTTTACGAAGTCAAAAATTAAAACAACATAAAATTTGATACATAAAATCAACAAAAAAATATTAACCTTTCGATTCATTGAAAAGAGATCGTCTTGATGGTGGAAAATCAAAATCGCATGGTTCAATATTTCGACCGTAAATTCGTTTCAGATCGATTTCTCGCTTTATTTGATCTGTAAACATAAATAAATTTTGGGATTTTAACTTAATGCTGTTATTTGTTTGAGGCATAACACAATTGTTAATAAACAAAATATCGTGCAATTGTTGTCTCCTTTGCATTTAACATTTTTCTAGTTATTTTCTTTCATTCATTTCTTGAAGCTAGGATTGGCTTTTTTTTACAATTTGTTATTTTCCTATAATTTTCATGCACCAGCTGACAGATAACAGCAATTTTTCATGCGAAAGTAGATATTATGCATAAGTTCAATTTGCAAGTAAGCTAAACAAAGGGAATTGCTAGGTAGGTTCGTCACGAATTTGTAAACTTAGATATCAACCGTAAAGAAAAACCTCAAAAGTTTCTTTGCTTATCTGGAATAGAAATATAATCAAGGTTGCACAACCGGCCATACTTTTACTCGTGTGCTTTTATTTTTTAACTCAATAAAAAGCAACAGTGGAAAAAAAATATGAAAAAAAATTAAAAGAGAAAATCAGACATAAATATTTACATCGAGAAGGAAGAAAAGAATTATTTTATCAAGTAAATATAAAAATGTTTAACTTTAAACCATGTAACATCTCAAACAAATTCGTTCAAGCTTCTTTTCTGGAGTAAATAAAAAGAAATGAATGCAGATGAACTGCTTTGACGGAATTAAAAAAAAAGAAAGAAAATTTTATGATCATTGATTTGTATATTTGCTTAAGAAATGATTTAAAACTACTGCTTTGTATATACAAAAATATTTTTTCTTTTTTATCCTAGGTCGAAATGAAGTTCTGTTACAAAGCTGGCAGCAATTGATGTTGCGCTGAGTTCTCATTCGCCAAGAATTTTTCTTTTTAATTTCACAGTTATTCCTCTTATTGCAGAGCAATATCTCGTTCTTTACAAATTATTATTTGCAATCAAGCTACCGAGCTTTCCTTTTTTTATTCAATTAAAAAACATTAAAAATAAAATTGCAATTGAAAAATTACAATCACGAAGCATTAGTTGTATTAAGAACTATGAATTTTTTATTAGAATTATTAGTGTTTTATTATCGAATGAATATTAAAATGTAATTGGATGTAGTAATTGGTAGTAATATTTATAACAACCCCAACAATACGGTTTTTTAAAATGTTTCTGAATTCCTTTTGAAAAGATCTTTGACAAGTGACAAAGTTGCGGTTACTTAAATTACTTTTCACTCGAGAATTAATCTTTTTAGGTTCCTTCAATGGACAAACGTAAGGTTGTTTATCATTTGCCTTGATAACTTTTCAAACACAAGCGTTTTTCTTTGAGGATTTCTTTTTATTACTCGATGGAGCTTTTTTTTCGATGTTTACTTTTTATTGTTATAACGAGACAGTAAAATTAATATTTATTAGGCATGGTGATGGAAATTTACACACAGACACTCAATTACCGGTGTAAATATGTTTATTTGTTAAGCACTTTCGAGCAAGTTAATTTTACTAACTAGAGAAACAATAAAATAAAGTTCGCAAGTAGCAAGAAAGGCTTGCAATGGAACTGTACGTGCAACTTACCGGTCGTTGGATAGCCAGCAGCATCACTCGTGTAAGATCTTAAACTGTTCGTGTATGTGTTTTCGTAAGAACTTTGGGCGCTTGATGTTGTTTCCGTTTGTCGTGGAGTAATAAGAGGTTTTTCTTCAACAAATTGCTGCTCACGATTCCAATAATGCTGTGAGAAGATAGTCGTAAAAAATCGTAAAGTTCACTTTAATCGATAATACTCACTTGAGCATATTGATCGGGATATGAAGGATAGAAAACCTTTCGATCACGTTCTATAGAGTATGGATATCCCGGTGTGTAATTGTAGTCAAAAGGCGGCTCATAGCCCCACGGTTGTCTCAATAGCGATGCATCTTCATAACCGGTACGTTTTGCTGCAGGAATTGCGGGTATATGAAGGGGACCTTGAACAACGTACATAAAGGTTTTCACATCATATTTCATTTACATTCAACCATCCAACAAAAACCGCAATTTTTTTTTCAATTTTATTGTAACCAATAGAGAAGTCATAAAAATCTTACCTGTCGGTGGTGACACAGGTGAATCGCTGGCCGCCGATGGCGTAATCTGTTGTGGTTGTGCCGACGCCACTGTACCGTTTGTATGTGTACCGTTGGTTTGCGAAGATTGTTGTGGGGTATGAGATGATTGGACTGTCGTTTGTTGCTGTTGAGCCTGTTGAATCGACAATAATGCGTTTGGGTTGTGTGCTGATAACAACGGTGGACTGTGATGTGTTGTGGTATTTTGTCCAGTGGTGTCTTCATACATAGCACTGGCCGGATGTGTGTGATGGGGTTGTGCCCCCCACCAAGGCCCAGCAGTGTGAGACCCTGCCGAGACATCATGGTGGGGGTCGTACAGCGCGCACGCCAGTGGGATGGTGGTGTAATGAGGACGAGTTGAGAATGTTATCGTAATTTTCGAAGATTTTTAATTCAGTTTTGTCGATAATTTGAATAAAATATTTTTTAACAAGAACCACGTAAAAATTTGAATTTTTTTATATCACGACAGCAATTTTTTTATAATTCAATTTATTGAATTAAATATTTAAATTCAAGAAATGTCCATGAAAGTAAATGCAGGAAAATTCGAAGCGTATCAGATACATCCAGTTTATATTTTTTTTAAGTTGTCACCCACACGCAATTGTAATTTTTTTTTCGTTTATTTATCCACACAATTTTTTTTTTTCGCGTTAAATAATATTGTTATATATTTTTAGTTGACAGTGTCACACAATTGTCGTGGATTTATGTTGTTTTTGTATAGTTTTACACGAGCAAAAGAGCGGCACGTTAAAATGTGAAGAAAAGGCGAGGACGTTGTTGATATTCAGATAATACAAAAAAATTGTTTCGTTGTTCGGTTCGATGATTGGATGACGGGTGTTTAAATGCAGATGCACAGGAATTGCACAATTTTTTTCGTTGGCAATTTTTTGTTTTATTAAAAAATTGCGTGAATGTTGAAGAAGAAAAATAAAATCAACAAGTTAGTTGAAATGCAACAGTAATGTTTTTAGGCTGATTTTTGAGTCATAAATTCATTCATAAACATGTCTGGTTTCTTGTAATATTTCTTAACAAGCTTCTTATTTCTCTTTTCTTTTTCTTGTTTTTCCTTTCTCCTCTTATTGAGAGAGCTTCGCTTTGAGTAAAATTAAATTTTATTGCACTAATCCCAAGCTTGTGTAGGTTTTTGCACTCGTCAAGCACAGGTTTATTTTCTTTCAGATTCTTTTTTATCTTTTACTAAGTGTCTCATTTTTTTGAACTGTGCCTGACAAATATTTTTTTCCTTTACGTTAATTTATGCCAATAATGCAGATTTTCTTTCGAACGTTTTCCCTCGTTGATATTCATGTGTTAACAAAACTATGCTTTGATGTTGACTTCAAGCGTATTTATTTTATTCGCACAAGGGAAAAGTTTTCTGATAAACTTTTTTCGACTTTCACAACTTAAGTTACATTTGAAATATTTAGTTTGTGAAATATTTTTCCCACGATTATTTTTTTGCTTTTGTTTTGAATAATAAACAAATTTTTTTCTTTTTGTTTTAATTTTATTTTGTTGGAAAGAAAAATATTCTTCCTTTTTCCTTAGATTTAGAATTGTCTTTCAATTAAAATCAGAAGTTGTCGGAGTCACGAAATATTTATTTTCTTTCTTTTTTCCGTTTTGATTCGCGTAAAAATATTCTTTCGTTTTCACATACACGAAAAAAAATATATTGTGATCAGTAAGCGAGAGCAAATATCTGTTCACGGACGGTCTTCAAATATGCGACCTATCGCGTCAAATTGTAGTGAAAAACTGAAGCACGACTCATTCGTTCTGTTGTATTTTTTGTGTGTTTTTATTTTGTTTTATATTTTTAATACATGTGTCAATATTTTCGTGTTATTAAAAGCGCCAGGCAAAGAGGGCCCCGTCTTGTACAATATCTCTCAATTCAACTGAACGACGGAACAAAACTACAGCAAAGTATCTCTCTTCGATGTTGTTTTTGTCCGCTTGTAAGACGAATAGCACGGGAGATTTTCTCAGTACGCATGTGCCTCGCTCACTCAAAACTTGTGTCGGAACATCAGACATAGCGTAAATACAGAAAATTGGGGTGCATATGTAGATGTGTCATATGTAAATACGTGGATTTTGACTTTATATTCTCGTTTCTTCTGTTTCGATTATCATATGCATATCATACATTGTGAACAGACAGCGACACAAACGCCTCTGGCGTTCAGTTTTTCTATTACAATTTGTCTTGTTTTCGACTGTCCCGACGATATCAAAACGAATCTTTTCTCAATTTTTATTATTTACACAACAACAAGAGAAAAAAAATGAAGACGACAAAGCGTAACTTATCTGAACTCATAAAACTCACTTTGAACTCTGACCCTGACCGGCGTTGTAAGGAAGATTTCATATTTTTTTTCCCATTTGACGACTAATTGCCATACAAATGAGGTCGTCAGTGATATCGAAAGTGTCGATGACGATTTTTTTCCTTCTTATTTCTTATGGTAATTTAAATAAATATGACATGGTAATTACATCATGTTTCAACAATAACTTGAATCTATTTTTTGTCGCTACCCTGTCAGATGTCTTTTGTACCCGGTGAAAGAAGAAAAAATAAAGCCATAAAATAAGAAATGAAAGAGAAAGAGAAAACACAGAACTTGACTGGCTTCCATGCCAAATAATAAATCTTGAAGACATGGGTTTCTGCCAAGGATAATGGGGGATAATTCACGCTTATTTTTAATCTCTCAACCAAGCAAATGTTCGTTAATATTTCTTGTCTCTCATTTACAATAATTTGAATAAAATTAAGTAGAGCAATTGGCTTGGAAAGCTAATAAAATTACTTTGAGCGTGCGAAGAATAACAGCGATAGTATTTTCCTTTTTTATTGTAACAAGGTAATAAAGTTATGAAAAGTAATAATTTTCTATCCATAGTTTTCTTTTTCTTCCAGCCTTTTCTTTTGCTTTTGCTTTAGCACAACGTTATCGCCTTTTTGATACATAATAGAGACCTATAAATTTACTATGTCTTTTGTCTTTTGCCTTTTTGGGTTTTTCTATCTCGAAAGACAAAAAACCAAAAAAAAAATTGTAATCCCTTGTCTGCCTTTTGTATTTTGGATCATTCAACCATTTTATTTATTTATAATTTTACATGTAAGATATCAGAAAACAACTCTATCATGCCAACCTCTTTTTCATCTGTTTTGTTTCGAATGAGTATGAATAAAAAAATTAAATATTTTCCATCGCATAAAAGTTGAGTAGAATGTAACACAAAAAAAGACGACAAGGGTTTAAGTGTGCAGTCTGCAGGGATTGTGGGGAGAGAGAAGAGTTATTTATATTCTGTTCCCGGCTATCACGCTGTGTTTGATCTAAATATACTTGAAACTGAATTTTTTTTTTGTTTTTTGAAATCGGGGAATGATTTTAATGGAATGTAACAAAATGCCTGAGATGGATATTTTTGAAATGAAGATATCTTCCATATCTTCCATCCATATTTTATCGGATGAGATCAGAAGAAAACTCATCGCGCATATGTTAGGAAAAAACAAAAAAGAAACAAAACATCTATTCTGAAAAGTATCTCATGGCTTTTATTTCTTCTTTATTTAAAGTTAAAGACAGGAAAGAAGAAAGAAAAATCTAATTCATGATTATTATCATGAGATCTCAATATGGTGTTTTGTAAAGGATTGTTCTATCTATTATAGAATTCAATTTTACGAGAATCATTCTTTCATTTAATTTTACGACTCTCGCCTTCTATTTAATAAAGAAAATTAATGCAAGATTATTTATATTCATGATGCTAAACATTCAAGCTTTCCGAACAAATCAATTAAGTTGACTGGTTCGGTATCCATTTTATTTTCTTATCTGTTAATTTGTATCTTTGAGTTTTAATTTTCATCAAGACAAAAAATGGCTTCCGAAGTAAATTTTTTTAATTAAATTTCTTAAGAGTCAGCAAGTCTTGCTCGTTTTAATCATTGCGGGACGCATTTCGTTTTATGACTTCGTATTCATATTTTCCGGGATCTGTAATATTAATAACTTCTGGTGACAGGAAAAATTATATTTCGTTACTTTGTCATTTGTTGTTTGGAATTTTTAATTATTCGTTTTCTATTCTTTTACATGCAGAGAAGTGTTTAATTTATTTCACAACACAATGCTATGCTTCAAGGCAGTCGCGTTATTAAATTTTGTTTTTAAAAATGGAACCGTCGATAGACAAAAGAAACTTTTTTAAAATTCTTATCACATAACTAAGAAGCAAATACTTCAGAAACATGAGCACTAATAATAAATTAATGATGGAGTTTCGAACAGAAACGCAAAATAAAAGATGAAATTGATGATTTTGTCTCTTCCATCATACACAGGTGATTCAAGGCACCTGCGATCTGTGCCTTAATTAACTCAAAAATACCCAAAAATTATGAAATTTAATCTTGTGCTGATGATTTCAATACTCAAGTCATAATGATAAAGACTTTCTTTCTCTTCCAATTCAGTTTTCAGATGGTGTCTCGATACACAAATGGTGGATTTCAAGTTTCATTTAATATTTCTGCCTCTACCGTACGAAGAAGGATGGAATGCATTAATTAGCAAATAAAAAACATCAAAGATCGCACATGTTAGTTGTTCAGTAATATGCACACCTACGAACTGTAGGCACTCTTTGAAAATTCAAATTGATTTGTCTTGGAATTTATTAAGTTGTTGATATTTTTCTCATTAAACTACTTGGTTTCTATCTATCTACCCATGTATCTTTAATTTGTCTCATACGTATTCCGTTTTAATACACAAAACTGAATATTCATGAGCGCTGCTTACGACTTGAGAATTAAACAACTTTGTTGTAAAGAAGGCGAAACAATAATTTTCTTATTCATCTTGATAGGTCTAAGAAGAAGATTACTTAATCTCTATTCAAGTAGTGCATATTTAATTATATTATTCCTTCATTTTAGACTTGGGTGGTCTCACAGCTACATCTTGAAATCGTCATGTCTTCATTTTGTATTAGAACATTGAAAAGAATTTTTGTTATTCGATATTTCCAGACTTCCAACTCGTGATTCATATGACAATTTTTTTAAACAAAATTCTATCTATCAAATATGTAAGAGAAAATTTTTTTCTCATAATGTTTAACGATGAACATCCGAAGACATTAAATGAGATGGAAAATTTATTCAACTGAGTGAACAGCAGAAAGGAAAGTTACAGGGAGGGAAAAAAAGGAGATACAAGCCACATGAGATGAGATGGTGGAAGAAGAAAAAAAAAGTTCTGATGATGTTGCAGAAATGTAAACAATTTATTTTATCTGCTCATGGCTCATTTCCACATGCCATGACAAGAGAATGGCGGGAATCAGCTTCAGTATGTCTTTCCGCAGCTGCTTGTGTCTGCACTTTTTTTCTTCTTCAGTCTTTCTCCTTAATTCATGAGAAATTGATTTTCTTTGTCGAGGTCAAACGAACACGAGAAATGAGTCTCGAGAGAAATTCTAATGAAATTCTTATTCCTTGCGCCTGAAGACATCATCGTAGTTTGAAATCGTTAAAAGACAAAAATACATTGTTCGTCACTGTCGCTTTCCTAAAAAGGATGTTTCTATGACATCGCATTTTAAGTTTGTCTGCCTCTAGCGACAACGAATATAAAAATGTCAGCATAAAGACCAGTCAAGCAGAAATTGCTGATAACTTTGGGGCTTTTCTTGCTCGACTGACTTCGATAATGAATGAAAGCGCGAGCAAAGCATTAAATCTGACGCGCGATATTCATTTACTGTCATGTAAGCACATTTTAAGTTTTTATGCTAAAAAGAACAACAAGACGAGTCAAGGTAACATACGAACATGTTACTAAAGTTCATCTCTACGCTTTTGCTTGCATTTTAATATTTAATGTCTAGTTTTCAAGGAAAAACAAGAAGCAAATTACCATAAAAATATTCACTTGATGCAATCAGCCATTCTCAGAACTAATCTGATTATGCACAGTTTCTTCATCTTAGATAAATTTCGCACAAAAAAAAGACGAGAGAATAAAACTCGCTTCACCACGACATGTTTATGATGATTTCTAATTGTTAATTTTCTACTTCAAAGTATTTTAGGGCTTAGAAAAATTCAAAATCTTACCGTAAGCCGCTGCACTTGCCAGATTTGAGTGACCTCGGTTAAAGAGCTGTAATGAAAATTATATTAATCATGATGGTTCATGATGAATGGCGCTTAGAGAATGTAAATACAGATTTTATCTCAAACTGTTTTTGATGTAGAATCGCAAAATGAAAGGCGAGAGCGGACATAATTAATTCAATATGCTTCCATTAACGTTTTATGATCCCTTCCAAACATATTGCATATTACATCACATTATTAAGGAACATGTTAAGTGAAAAAAGGAAAGAGAAAGAAAGAAAGCATTCGATTGAGACGTTAAGAACTAAATATTTATTTACAAGGGAAAAGGATAAATCTTCAGACCGGATTCTTTTCCCTTTTTATAAAAACTTTAATGGGCAACAGCAATCCATTAGTCTTAAAAACCATGTTACAACTTTCATTTTTGAGACAATTATTTTTCTTTTTCGGTTGCATGAATAAATTTCATTTTTTCTTATTCTTCCCTCCCCGCTTTTGGTTCTGGCAACGAACAAAGTCAGCAAAGGATGAAAGGAAAAGAAAAACATTTTCAATGGAAAACCTCATTATACTTTCAAAGTATGTTGAGCTGACTTTATTTAATATCGAAATGGAAGTTTTCCTTGTCGAATGTGGGAAGATCTGCAGACATTCTGTTTATTTTCTTTCTCCATGTTTAACCCTCAACAAAACTAGAAAATCTAATAAAATTTGATGCTTTGGAAAGGCAAACATATCGTTATCATTACAAAACGTCGAGGATTCAATTTCAATTTGAAACTTTCTGTAAATAATCTTCAAAAGAAAGCAGAAAATTACCAAACATACTTCATGGGTGTTTGTCTCAAACTTCTAATCGTCCAGCCAATGTTATTTGAGATAGAAAGTTTCTCATTACGTAAATGCATGTGTTGAGTGAAATTATTCAGATTAAATAGTTACAACCCAGCACAAGACGATGAAACATTATATAAATATGAACTCTACCCCATTTTGCTTCTTCCGGATAAGAAAACTTTCACATGGAAAAAATGAATTTCTGAGATTACATTTCAACACTTGTTTCGTTTACGATAATTTATGACTATCATCAATTGATATTTGGTTCGGTTCTGATTTCGTGCCGTAATATGTTTTTTTGGGATAGACTTTCACCCATTCTATTTGTCGTAAAAAACAATATAGAAAACTAAAGATCGCTTGTCAGTTCACTTCAACAACTTCATGAGGGGGTGTGCGGTTGTCTCCTAAATTTACGATTTTTCTTTATGAATTGCATGTGTGCTTTGTGTTCAGACACGAGAGAGAGAAAAAATTTATATTTTTTCCCCATTTTCTTGTGGAAGAAAGGAAGCGTACATGATATGTAATTTAAACAGTCACATGTGCTGTAGGCTTATAAGAGAACCTTGTTCAGAGTTATAAACATGATTTGTCGATTAAAGTTTACAAGAGAATAATATTTTACAAGCTAGCTTCGTTTTAGAATGATGTAATGGCGGATATGAAGAGAAATGTTGTTAGAATAAGTGAGAGCAATTAAACATTTGTTTTGTTTTATTTTTGTTTTGATATTTACTTTCAATAATGAAATGCCTGACATGGTATTTTTGAGCTTCATTTTCTTTCCAATACTTTTTTTAGATTCTCAACGATGCCTCGACCGTCATCGCCATGTAAGTTGCCCAACTTACCTTGGGAATTATTACTGTACTACCAATCTTATAAGCTCCAAAGTAACTTTCATTACTTTCTGAAAGAAAAAAAAAAGAGAAAGAAATCAAATAAATTTTTGTCGCTAATTTTAAGTTGAAAAAGAAAAATCGAAAAAAGGCTTTCTAAAATATCTTAACAAACTAATGGAACCATTGTGTCACAGTCAGCGGCATAGAAAATTATTTTCATAATGTTAATATTTTATCAAGACGTCATAAAACTTATTAAATTCATAAGCACTTATCATCGCTTCGCTGTAATGGTTTCAGAGGGAGAGCTCAAGCAATTTATATCGCTAATGGCTTTCGAGAGTCGTTGAGATGGATTAAATTTTCGCTGCGATAATTATGCTAATGCCTAACTACCTATTACACTTTTTCCACGAGAGAAACGTTCTTAAGCAAACGGCAAGGTCGTAAATTTATAATCTTATGCGTGTAACTTTTCTCTCATTTGTTTCTTGAACAAAAAGCGCACAGGTGCTGACGATAATGGAAGGCTTTTTCTACGTAGTTTCTCATTATTATTGTTATTATGAAGCAAAAACAACCAGCCAACCGTTCATTATTCGTTATACCAATTAGGGATGCTAGAAAATTATTATGATGGCGTTGGAAGTTTTTCATTTTCTTCTCTCCGCAAACCTCAAGCGCGCTTTCGATTTTTTCTTTCATTCCATGAATATTTTTATTTAAATTTAGATTTTCACACATTTGACTAGCTTGTGTTAAAAGTCATCACATTTTTCTAAGACTTTAAGATCTTTTATGGAATCAATGTGGATTTTCTCGATATTATTACCAGTGTTGACAGCAGGCAGCATTCGAACATTTCCCTTGAGCATCACTAATTTAAATTGACGTTGAAAAATATATTTAAAGCTTATAATGTTCCCTTCATATCTTTTTTCATTTATTTAAATTACTCAGTCATTTGCTTTTGAGTTTGAATCTCTTTTTTCCGTATTTTCAAAGCTGTAATTACGCGACAGCTTCGAATGAAAACAACTACGATATTAAATTTTCTTTTTGCGAAAAGATCGTTAATACAGTTAAGAAGTTGAGACGTTTTAATTAAGACAACGTTTGAAGATCAGGTAAGTAAGTAAAACTCACAAATATTGCTTAAAACATTTTTCAAATACTCAATTTTAATCTCACTTTGAATGCTCAGCATTTCATTTAATTTTATATGCTCAAAACTTGAATTTGACTGAAGCTAGAGGAGGAAGATTTTTTTACGTCTTTTTAAACATCGTCGTCTTGTCGGTGAAGCTCAATAACATCGAAATTTATCTTCCCTTCCCATCCTAACTCTTCATAAAGATTTCCTACGACTTTTTAATTGCAAACGAAAGAATTCCTTTCAACTCATTTCCCTTTATTATTTTGTTAGATATTTTTCGTTTTTCTTTTCTACTTTCAGATGACAATCATTTCAAAACGATTATAAAATATCAGACAAGTTGTTGCTTGCTTCATCATATTACTCTCGTGAAAAACTCTTAATTATTTTGAGTGGAAAATAGTAAATAATAAAAAAATTATGAGCACTTATAATATTTATCAAAAGAGATTTTAATTGTTGCCAGATATTTCCAAATCGAATCATAAAACAAATGCATCAACATCACTTTCCCTTGAATTTCGTTGAACTTGAAGTCTTTAGCTTATGACTTTATTATTATTTATTATTTTATCGCCTTTTGTTACATAATTTTTTATTAGCACGGTAATTATTAAGGAGAAGGTATATTAACACCTAATAAAATTTTTATAAGCTCTCGTTTTCTTTGGTTAGTGTTCTTTTATTTTGCTTTTTTTTTCAGATGGTTGTGTAAATAATCAATTGAAGGAAGATAAATAAAAATCTCATTCAAGATTTTTCGTCTTAACAAAAGAAAAGTTCAACAAACCATCAAGAAATGTGTACGAGGAAGAAAAAATTTTATGATGTTTATAATGCGGCTTTGAGGGCACGAGGTGCATTGTTTTATGTAAGGTTTTATTTCTTGTCTTGATATGGATTCGCTCCGAATTGATTTTCATGTTTAGTTTTCTATTCAACTCAATCAGCTTATGAAGCTTCTTCAGAGTTAATTTAGAAATACAACAAAAGGGCGTAGAATGAAATCTGACAAGTCAACATTTCTTACAAATTCCTATGAATTAAGTTTTTAAATTCCGAAGCATTCTCAAGCAATAAGTATGTAAGTTAGATAAATTTTCATTCTTGGTGACATTAATTTCTGACGATTTACAGTCATTCAACATCGACACTGCTGCGACTTGAAAACTGTTTGAATGAGAAATGAACAGTCAAGCGAACGAATGTAGAAGACTTAAGAAAAGACTTAAAAGATTCTTGACGAAACATTTGAAGCGAAAAAACAGAAAATAATTGAAATTCTTAATACAGCAAAAGTCCCTAGGAATGAAAGAAAGAAAAGATAAAGGAAATGGTTTTAAATAACATCAAGTTGGTTACAGAGAAAGAAAGAAAAACGAAATGTTGTTCAACTAAAATATACATCACATCATATTTCATGGCAATCAAGAATAAATCGCTTTGCGCTCCCATTTTACACCAACACATTCAAAGAGCTATTGTGTATGAGAGTCGCCATGTAGAGTCGACATCACAGAAAAGAAGAAACATTAAGATGTATGAAGTATACGAAAAGAAAAATGAGTATAAATGTTCATGATGGTAGAATGGCACGAACGTGTATGTAGCGAGGGGAAAAATGACTCGGAAATTTGTAGCAGTGTAGAATCAACTTCGAACATATATTTAAGCTATGTTCATGTCTTATGCTCATTACCAAAGCGGCATTCACTCGACAAACCTGTATTTATCGTCAAATCATGATTTTTTTACAGTGTAATATTAATAATTACGATCGAGAAGTGAATTAATAAGTAGCATTTATCTTGGATGGGTTCGCTTGCTGTTGTAACATAAATATCGTAATTAGTGTGCTACAAGACTTTTCTTTTCCTTGTCGTTCAATTAAAATTCAAAGATTGCGAAAAAAAACGAGTTGACTTGCTTGGGAACATTTAGGTATAATAGAAATTTAGATTTATAATCTTTGTGCTTTCAAGTGGAAAATTTGCTCGACTGAAGAAATTTTAAAATTCTTTGTGCGCATGTTTGAACAAGGGAAGAGGAGGAAAAATAGAATTCGTATAATGTGATATATTTTTTGTCATAATGAATGCTAAATAGTTTGTTATCATGAAAAATTTATTACAGGCTCTAGTTTCTCGTTTTCTCCGTCGGAATCGGATGTCTTTTTAACTTTCGGAATGGTCGGGGTTGCCTTGGAAATGATTATTTTTAAAAGCTTTTTAACCGCTTCTTCCTTGAGACAGACTGTAAGAATTTCTTATCTTTACAGCATTCATTGAATCAATTAAAGTACTTTATGAACATCATATTCACTATTCAAATTCCAGTTCAATTCATTAAGCACTTGGCATCGTAACAATTCTGGTTTATTTAATTCAATAAGAAAGCAATTGGTTAATATCACTCGATGGAAGAGCCAGACTAAAATACTGAAAGTCTTAAGATAAGATTGAACTTGAAGTTGTTTCTATCTCTACTTCACTCAACATCTTTTGATAGTTTCTTAATTTTCATTTGAGCAAGAAACTATTTAAATGCATTTCAGTTGAAGTTGAAATTCTCAAAATACTCGAGAATTGTTTTATGATGCATAATAAAATTAAAGAATTGAAACTAAGCCAAGAATTTTTCTCTTTCATATTTAAAGCAATGCAAATTTTAATTTATGTTTTGAAGCAGTTTCAGTCTTGCGTAACATGCAAAGAAAGTAGAAAAAAGGGTCAAACTGCTCTGTCTGTTGCATAATGGCCAAACACAAATATTTGACAACAAGCCACAAAAGAAGAAATTGAAATTGAAGCATGAAAAACGTAACAAGAGATATTTATGACCATCTTCCAGTTTTCAACAACAGCAGAAAAAGGGTGCAATAAAGAATCCTTCCAGGGAGAAATTGTTTCAATGCATTTTACTGTAATATATGCATATGAACTAAATGCATATCTTATTTAGGTATCAGAATCATGTGCGAGTTTAAACCTTTCAAAAACTTTTAAGAAAATAAAATACAAAGTCACCGACGGCTCAAACAATTTTTTTTCTTTCAGACAAAATAACATTCAAAATATTCCAGGAATTTGTTCCACGCTATGCTACGATTTGGGAGATTTTTGGTCTCCATGTTTTCTTAATTAGACTCGAAATATGTTAAAGAAGATTCGGTTTTCATCATTAAAGTCAGATCTCAGCCGTCATAATTCGACGACATGTTTTTTGTTGTTTCCATCTTCACTGTCATGTTTGCCTTGAAAATTCTTATCATTACTTCACTCTCTAGATCGCACATTGTGCAATAAATTTTCCTTTATTTCATGTCGCTTGTTCTCGCAAAATATAAAACGTGACACATTATGGACATGAAGTGTAGGCTTGATGTCTTATCTCTCTGTCAACAAATTTCCATATGAAATGATTTAATTAAAAGCAATTTGTTTGAATTTTTTATTTTTTGGCAGATATCTCAATCAGTTTCAAAAAATTATCAAATTCTTTTTAATTAGATAAATGTTGAATTTTCGTCTGTTATAGATGATGAATAAAAATTGTTGACTTTGGCTTTTNTCTTATCATTACTTCACTCTCTAGATCGCACATTGTGCAATAAATTTTCCTTTATTTCATGTCGCTTGTTCTCGCAAAATATAAAACGTGATTTCTTGTAGAAAACAGTGACACATTATGGACATGAAGTGTAGGCTTGATGTCTTATCTCTATGTCAACAAATTTCCATATGAAATGATTTAATTAAAAGCAATTTGTTTGAATTTTTTATTTTTTGGCAGATATCTCAATCAGTTTCAAAAAATTATTAAATTCTTTTTAATGACTTTGAGAATCATCATGAGACATAAATTGAATAACTTCAATAAGAATAACAACAAATGTTTTTGTTTTCTTTTTCACAATTAAAACTAGTTTGGTTACTTTTGAAGCAAGTTGAATCCACACGCTTTTACAAAACGCCATTTCATTATTAATGATTTTATTGAAATGTTTAAGAAGTCATCACATGATAGGCGGAGGTTGAAAGTTTCAAAAGATTTTTGTTGTCGTCAAGTCTTGTAATTAACATACATTATGAATCTTAATACCACAGACATATTTTTTAATTAAGGTTCAGCTTATAAAAGCGCGAAAATAATCGAAGAGTAAGATGTTTTATTAAATAAAACGAAAAACCGAAGATCAAAGCGTGTGCACATTAAAATGTCTCTTTATTTTATTCAACCGAAAGCGAAACGATTTTAGCAACATGAAGCAAAATCCTGAATAAAATACTTTTTATGAAATCATTGCATAAAGCCAAAATTTTTGAATGTCTGACAGACAATGGGACAAATTGAGACTGCCAACTGATTTTAATTAAGGTTAATTTATTAATTTGCAGTGATTTTACGGCTTTTAAATATCTTTAGCTTCTTGCTGTTCACTCGCAACATTGTAGAATGAATAATTTAATGAAATTTAAAAGCCGATGATGCAAATAACAGAATCCTCTCAAGAAGAAAAAAAAACACAAAATAATGTAAAAAGAAAACGCAAATTCCGAGATTCAAAACATCATCGTCTTACTTCCACGAAATAAACTTTTGAGAAGAAACAACCTTTTTTAGGTCGAATAGGCCATATTTCAACTGAGAAAATATCAGCAACAAACGCTTATTACACAAAATAAAATAAATTTTGCTAATTATTCCGGATAATTAATCTCAAATTAAGATTGAAATTTTCGGTATTAGAAGTAATTAACAAAAGAAATAATTAATGACCTCGAAATTAAATTGGAAAAAAGTTTGTACATACTTATTTTGATTAATTAAGTTTTAAAGAAAATGCCTGGAAATATTTTATGTTAATTATCTACAATGGAATCAGGGATGTCTAGTTAGTTACACAATCATTTATTTATATAAGACATGAAGCGTTTCAAAAGTTCTTTCAAATACCAGTTCATTATATTATACCTTACAATGTTGTCAATTCAAAACTTGAATTCGAAACTAAAAGGGGTAACAGATGTAAACAACACTAAATTATTAAATTATTAAAATGACTTCAGCTAGACCTTCATAATCAATTTCAAAACGATTCAATATCATCGAGCCAATTGAATGAGTACGAGATGCTGTTTGACGATGTTGAATTGGAAAAAGCTCATAAATAATCTTTAATTAAACATGAAAAGTAAATTAGTCTTGACGTTGAAAGAAATAAGAGACGTCAATTGATATTCCATGTACGCCATGCATCGAAACCGCTTCATTGAATATTCAGCAAACATTTTTTAAAAATCGCACAATTGTTCTTCATGCACATGACTGTATCAAATCGAATTTTTAAATCAAAATCTTCCAAATGGCGTTCAATCAATCATGCTTGAGATTTGCAAAAAGGGAGAAAGTAAATTTTGTTCATTTCGCAATTTTAAATTGGAAGAAATTCTAAAACGTTTTCTTTTCAAATTACACCCTCTCATGAACATAAATAAAATAATCAGGCTTTGTTAAAAAAGGGAGTTGAATTGCCAAAAAATAGCAATGTATGTAATGCTGCATCAAAATAAATTGTAACAATCCTCTTAGCAGCGTAAAATAAAATCACTTCAACCCCCTGTTTCACCTCCCACTGTTTTCTTAAGTTGAGAGATTTTATGAGATTTTATTTCTTCAAGCTAAGAAGAATGATTGCGAAAAAAAATTCTGAGTTTTCCTCACAAAAGTGTCTTAGCTTGCAATATTTTATTTTTCGTCTGAAGATTTTCTTTTATTTTCCTAGCAATGTTTTCCGGGATATCAGAAAAAATTGTTTTTGTTTCACATTAATTCATTCGAAACATTGCTTCCCTCATCACACTTAAAACTTTTTTTCTTTTCACATTTTTTAATTCTTTTCTACTTTTCTGCCATTGTCAAGGAAAATGTTGCGATAAATTTAGTGATAAGAAAGACGTCTTATGGAAGAAGATAAAAGAAAAATCTAATTTAAATTTCGTATCTTCTACTCGCAGAAGCATGTTTTCTATTTTCAATTCAAAGGGTTTTATAGCATTCAACTGTAATCTGTGTGCATTGAAGCACGTCCCAATTTAAAATGGTTAATTATAGCGTATTTCTTGAGAATGACCCACATTGATGTTGATGGAGAAATTTACGTATTATTTATTTCCTTTGAATTGCTTTTTAATAAAGTCATCAACTTTAAAAGGTCGTAAAATATAAAATTAACTTCCCTTCCTCACAATTTTCAATTCAACCGCCTAAAACTTTATCAGAAAAAGGAAGTTAATTGTTACATATTTTTAATATCTTTAAAGATGAAATTTTTCAGGTCAACTTTTGTTAGTTATCTATTTTTAAACAATTTCTTTAAAAAGAATACGATCCAAAACGTATTCATCATGTTCATTAGGAAGCTTTCCATTAAAACGATTGTTTCATACACAATGTAAGGAACTTAGCCAAGACGCAAACAAAAGCTCTCAAAAAGTTCAATGATTATCGACTCCGAGTTTTTAGGGCAGACGAAATGTTATGAAACGCTTAATAAGGATGTTTGAATAAAATAGCTATTTTTTACAATTTTAAAGGAAGTGTACACCAACTGAGCACACAGATAGCTAATTTAGCTTTATCTTAAACCAAGCAAATGGAAATTTGCCTTGAAAACAGGACTTGGGAGCATTTCTTCAATGTTTTCACAAAAAAACTCAACAACTGGGGGATACAAGGGGTAATTTGAAAATACCATTTGGGGGATACCAAGGGGAGAAAAAATACCAAGACTTAAAGCAAAAATATATCTGACTGTATATAATAGGACTGATAAGTAAATGCTGAGTAAGCTGAAATATTTATTTCGTGTTGTGTGAAATTATCCGAGAAGTAATTGACGTTATTTAAGATGTTATTCAGGTTAACAAAGTTATCTTAACATAATTTAGTGTTTATGAAAATATTTTTGAAAAAACTTTTTTTATTTTACAAGATATATGATTTCAAATCATTTTCAAATAACTTTCTTGCTGAGAAAAATATAAATTTTCAACAAATGTCATTTGGGATCGTTCATATAAAATGTGTAAGATTATTGAAAATGAAAAAACCAACAAACATTTTCATTCATTTATTTTTCAATTAAAAAATTACACAAGAGAAGTCATTCAAGAGGTTTTATTGATGCACGCATCCCAATCAACAACAGCCACATATTTTTTAGAGTCAAGTCTTTCAATAAATATTTCTTTACCCACACAACAAATGAAATGGCTGCGAAGAAACGAGTTGAGATAATTTCAAAGGAACCACGCAGAGAAGAAAATGGTCATGGCGGTTGAAAACATTACAATTTCTTTCCCACCATTGGTTATCTTCTCTTCTTCTTTACGTTTTTTTTTGTTTGCTTGTGAAGCGAATATATCGCCTTGTGGTATTACTGCAATCCGTAAATATTCTTGTCACTTTGTCTCATAAAATTCAAGTAAAAATGAGTTTAACATTCAATTGGATGTTAATAGCAAAGGTAGACAGATATTGAATTACCAAACAGCAATTTTATTTGCCTTTCAACTAGTTATACATTCTTCAGAACACTTAACATCTTTCCCTCCAAACCATACAGTTATGACCGCATTAAAGACATCATATTTACGACCTAAATACTAAAAATCTTATTGCTAATAAATTAATAAGTAATATTTTTAAGATTTTATTGTACACCTACATTTAATAAGGGTTAAAAGTCTCTTGTTTATATGTGACTGACCATTTACCAACTGTCGTGACAATATCCTCATACATCCTTTGATCTTAAAGATTGTTTAAACATAAACGAAACAAAAGATGAATGACAAATAAATAGATCATAAAATCTCTTTTACAAGCAAAGGTTGATAGCCGATATTTTCGTGGTTTCTCATCTTTTCTTTCATTCATTTTATATTATTTTTTTTCTGCCGATCAGTCTTATGTTGTATACGATAGATTGAACTTTACGGCATAAATATTTACTCGCTCTCACTCGCACTAAGAAGTTTTACGCTTCTTGGCTTCACTAAATGACTTTATAGATGCAATAACAATAAAAATTATGCTTATTTTTGTTTTGTTTTGTTTATTTGCTGGAAGGTTTATTCAGTGTTTATAGATTTATTATTTTACTGCTACCTTTTAAGTACGTTCATAATGTGCCCTGTTATAATTGGTATATGATTTCTTTTTTGTGATCTTAATTGAAATTCTAAGATGTCATAAAGCTAATTGTTGCTTTAAGTTTTAATTGTTCGCCTTTTTATTTTAAATCCATTAATTGAAAGTCATTCACGATTTCGCTGTAAAAACTGAACTGGTAATCGGCTTAGCTTATATGAAGTGGAACAAAAACAGGCAAACTTGAATTTCAGGTCACACAGATAAATCTTAAAAGAGTTGAGAAGAGAAACATTAGAAAAAACCAATTGTTATGCAACATCAACCTTGAACAATAATCACTGCCTAGGTTTTTGTTATTTAGATTTAAAGTGTGCCGATGTATGTTTGTATTTTTGTGCTAGTTTCTTTGAAGAAAACTTCAGTCTCTCTTTTGTGGCATCTTGCTATTGAGATTTCAATATGGCAATAAAATTGTCAGTTCAGTTCTTTCCATCAGATGAGAAAAGAATCTTACAAACGTCTTGAAATTTTATCTTTAGTGCCTCAAGATAATTCAAGTAATAAAAAAGAAAAATAGAAAAACTTTTATTTCGATCTAAGAAAACTAATCAGAATGAAAGCTTTTCTTCATTGCTTATTGAAATTTCCGAATCAGCACAATGGTCATAAAACTATGCGAAAAGGAAAAACTAGCGATGCTTCAATTTTCTTTAATAGCACTTGCTCGTATTTTTGGTAGCCGCGCCCTTAAGTTGTAACATAAGAAATAAAATAAAAATACGAAGCCATAAAAGGAGAATAAAAATTCATTTCTTATAAATCACGTTTCTGTGTCATGACACGAAAGAACTTTCTCAACTCAAATTGAATGTTGATTATTAATTGGCAGATTGTGTCTGCAATGCGACTACTAATCCATGTATGAGAGTTAAGTTAAACAAGCTGAATGGCATTTTTAAATGTTTGTCTTTCTGATTTTTCACATTAATAAACGCAAAAAGAAATTATTGGCAAATAAATAAATTTAATATCTCATATTTATACTCGGAGCGATAAATATAAAAATAATTGTTATTACACCAAATAAAAGAGACAAAGTTTTGTTTGGATTGTTTTGTACGTTGTCTTGTACAAGCATCTTTCACATTATGATTTTTATATTTATTTTAAGGAGTTATAAAAAAATGTTGTAGCATATAATACTATTGTTTATGATTATACGTCTTAATTTCATTCATTTGAAAATATATATCACTCGACGCTGGTCATGAAAAGATTTTTTTTTCTCGGCTGTTTATTTGAGTGAGAGCAAAAATCAAATAAAACAGGACATATAATATTTTATGAATACAGTATAAATTATTATGGCTGTTAACAATTTAAAACCACTAAATGGAGACACCTGGTTCAAGTGTTTGATTACGCACTAAGTACTGAGAGAAAAAAGCCATCATGAGGTCTCATAAACTAGAACAATTTGGCCGTAAGTTATGGCAATTTAATGCATTTTGATAGTCTTGTAAACGCTTTTAAGCTTTTGGGGTTTAAGGTTTAAAAAGAAATTCATTTTAACCAGATAAATTAATTATGTTCAATTACAGAAAAAGAGAGAAAAAAAATGGTTAGAGGGAAGGATAAAAACTTGCAACTGAAAGCTTCAAACTGTTAATTATGCTTGCGTGAAGACATTCAAAAATGACTCAAAAAAATGTAAAATAATTAAAATAAAAAGAAATAAAACTATAATTACCTCTTTTCACAATCATAACTGATACAAAAAGCAATTATAAGTTGGGATTGCTTGAGTTTCTACATAGGTTCATGTGGAGAAAACTCATTGAAGCAGTTTTTAAATATATGTAATGTATGATGGTGTATCTTGGCTTTTCACAAAAAAACTATAAAAGAAATTAATTATCGTTCTATCAGCAAAAAAATTAAAAGTAAAGAGAAATTGTTAATTATCCGTTACACATTCTCAAGAAAACAATTGTAATTAACATTAAAAAAAAGAAAATTTAAACTGCAAATGTTTTCAAAAATTTAATTAAATGTCTGCATGATGTGACTTTTGTTTAATTCACATATATAGGTCATTAAACTGATTTGTCTTACATTTCTTTTTTAACATAAAACTAATAAAAGCGACAATTTTATCGGCCATCATTTAGGGAACATAAAATGGCTCTCACAAACATTATTTGTCATTCCACCTTCGACTATGGTGCTTTAAAAAAAATTTATCACCGTCGCTTAATAATTAAATTTTTATTGTTTGTTTATTTTGCTTTTATAGGTTTATGATTGCACGATAAAAGTACTGATTGAACTTATTCAAATCTAATGTTTCATACTCATCATCTTAAACATAAAAAAAATTGAATAAAGAATCAATGAATCAGCTCGCGATTCAATTTAAATTTATCACGATTGAAACATGAAATTTTACCCTTGACCATGCTTCATTGCAACAGCAAATTGAACCAAACTTTTTGTTAATAATATCTCTACTTATAAAGTGCAAACATATGCATTTGTCATGGAAATTTTCCTATTTCTGAAAACAAGCATATCAGACTGGAACTTTACGTTGGTTTTTGTTGATAACAAAATTTTAATATCGTTTGTTTAAAAAAAAAGTTCTCATGCAAAAACAAACAACTGAACGACACGCTGCAAAAATCAATTAAGAACCATAGCAAATTGAAATTTTCATTTAATTGTAATTCAAGTCAATTATTTGCAATTTAAATTGATTACTCAGGGATGAGAGTTAGAGAGAAAACAAAGGAAAATGTTTAAAAGAAATGAATGAAGATTGGTAATGACCTTAAATTCTTCCGAAACGTTTCTGTCGATTGCACACACGGTTTTTATTTAGGTGAATTGTTATCTGTATTGTTAACTAATTAGGATTAAAGTTCACACACCGTAAACACTATAAATTGACAATTGACAATAAAATTGTTCCTTTTTCACTTTTTTTTTCGACACGATTTGTTTTCTTTATTTTTGTTTTGTTTATGATCTTTGAAATCGTGAATTTTAATATCTGGTTTGTGCGCTTTTATTTCTCGTATACAATAAAGTTTATGCTTTTATTATTTTATAGAACCAAATAAAAAAATTATGATGCGGTGCATAACTCCTTCTACTTAGTTCTTCTTCACTTTTTTTTTCTTCACACCAACTAACAGAGTTTCAAGTTTTTACTTCTTTCTCATCGAACATTTAAAACTTTACTAACTTTTATTTTCTTCATCCCGTGAGCTGACTCGCCCGATTAAAAAATATATTTTTCGTATGATTGCGATGAAGCAGAGAACACAAAACACACACAAAAGTAACAACAGCCAGAAACCCAAGCAAACGAGCGAGCAAACGAACGAACGAACGGAGGAAAAATGTTTTCATTTTTTTCTTTTTTCGAATGAAGGAAAGAGAGAAAACGGCTTCTATGTAATAAAAAACAGCGCTGATGGATGCTCATATACAACAAACAACCATTTTACCATCGCTTCTCTCGATGCGTACGTTTACATACATTTTAAACTTACATATATGTGAAAGCTATGGTGAATATCACACACATACACACACACATTTGATAGAGGAGAATTTTTCATTTTCACTAAAGGCGACACGTCAGCTCATTTTTACTACCGTAATTTGTTCTTGCCAATAAATAAGCTGCACAAGCTTTCTTTTCTTTAAGGAGACCTGCTACTATAGCAATTTATGATTATTCGCAGTTAGGCTAGGGATTGGAAGCAATTTATGAGAAATTTAAAACTTACTAAATCTTCGTTGAGCTCTACGGCTTGTTGTGCCGTAATTGAAATTTTATTTATGGCTATAACTTACTTGCAATCGATTTTGCAACGCCATCGAAGTCTAATGGGGCTGTATTGATGATAAACTTTGATTGATTAAAAGAAACTCTTTATGACACTCGTAGGAAAATAATTAAATGTTAATGAAAAGTCGTAAATTGCATTCACCGCAGAAACTCCTTGACGTCAAAACAAAAAAGAAAATTTTGTGCTCGAGTGGAAATGAACAAAATAAAAAGAAATTCGGGATAGTTGTGTAGTCAACGGAATGAGAGCCTGCGCACAGGTAGCGAATCTTATTTTAATGGCTGACTTGGATTTTCATTTCCTCGATAGATGAATAAATTTATTGATGGAAAAAGCTTTTCAAGAATTTTCAATTATTTATGATTATTTTTTATTAGTTATGTTGAGAAAAAAATTGACAATTAATGTTGGAAAATTAAACGAAAAATTTTCATTTTATCAGAATATGAAATTTGATAAGCTGCAGTGAACTGATGGTTGCGTGGTTAGAAGACCTTTGTTGCTTTAAGTTGAGGCATAGCATGCAAACCTTCAATGTCGAAATGTAAAGAATATTTATCTCTGCGGGATTCAGACGAGGAAACAGAAACTAAGAAACCGCATGCAATGTCAGTCAATAATCATGCATTATTTGTGACTTTCATTTTGAAGCAGGCAAGATGAATGGGCAATAAACGCAGAAAATACTGGCTCGACATTATCATGATCATGGTGGCACAAATTTCATTTTTATTATTCATTAAAGTGTGAGAAAAATATTTCTCTTGAAATTTGATCGATGATGTTAGTGATTTTGCAACATTTCAGATTTTTATTTGAAATGGTAGCTGAAGAAATCTCGTGTCATTAAGATTTTAAGAAAAAAAGAAAAAAAAAATAAAGCTTATTGAGTTATAGACTGACAATCAAGCTCAATAAAGCATTTATGGACGTCTATTAAAAAGTCATTTCTACTGCCGATGTTTCTATTATCTTTAAGGTGAGTTAAAAACGAAGAAAGATGTTTTTATGATAGAAACTAATAAAATTCCTGTATAAAACCAATAACAACATGAAAATCTATTCGTCAAGTGTAAGCTTTATTCAGAAGGATGAATCGCTTGACTTTACCAAGTTCAATGACACTTTCAAATTCTTTATGAACACTCATTACAATTTTATTGTAAAATTATGATAAACTACTGGTTTTCATGCTTGAATGTTAAAGAAAATGAAGAAGAAGTTCGATCAAAGTCTCAATGATATTTCAGAGAAGGTTTTTTCTGAGTTTATAAATATAAAAGAAAATATCCACGTCTTAAACATATCCGCCAGAGCTTAACCGGCTTAACCTTTAACGAATCCAAACGTGGAACAGGTTTATTCCATTTAAATAAAGTAAAAATAAGTCGAATGAAATCGTATCATGGCGTTTTTTTTTTCTTAATTCCAACCAACGTACTATGAACATTCAATATAAGTTTTTCCTGATACAAAGCTAAGTATAATAAAATACGGCATGTTATGTGACATTTTCTCCATTTACATTTATTTTAAAATGATAAAAGGAATTTGTGTCCATTAAGTAGAATGTTTATGGGCGCTTTGCTTTCAAATTATCGCCTTTTGATCAGACTTTATTTCAATTTCATTCATTTTTTTAAAAGAAATGATTTTAATTTTCTCCCTTGAATCACAAAATCCAGACTAGCCTTGAATTTGTTAATTTTAATGAAATCTGAAATCTGAAATCGCTAAAACGAACTTCACATCAAAGAACTGCACAATTTTGTGTTCAATTGTTGGGAAGAAGACTTTGATACTTGAGAATTGTCTTACACAAAATGTAGCTTTAAATTGCTTGGTGCCTCATGATATATGACGAAGCAAGATTCTAACGATAGATAAATACATCAAAATGAAAATAAAATGATTTTCTTTCTTACATTTTTCAGCATTTTTTTCCTTCATGATGGTTTCATTTACGTTGACGTTTTTTACGAGTAGCTCATTAAAATAACATGAATGGTATGTTAATTTAAATCTCGTTCGTTTTCGACCAACGATAAATTTTTATCAACGACAGATCGAGCCGTGTCTGATAAAAATATTGGATAATTTTTTTTTATTTATTCTTCCATTTTGGATTTTATTTTTCGTTTTCCTCTACCCATGACCAAGAATGGATTTTTATCGGACTATAAGCATCTTAAAACGGGCCCTTTTCACATCACGACATTTCTCGTGGAAAGAAACATGAAAGCCATTGGATGTCAGCAGAATAAAAACGAATAATGAAAGAATTTCACGAAAAGTTTCTTTCTCGGTTGCTAATATATCTTTCACCGAAATCATAAACTTCTTTTTCAGAATTGTTATTTATTTATCCCAAGGAATTGTTTTCCTTTCCTTTTTATGGCGTGTCTAAATAATTTATAGCATTTTATTATAAAAGATATCCCTTCGTCTCACCCTTTAAATATTCTGTGGCTTGAAATGAAACAATTCTGTTGAGAAAATCTTCCATTCCATGTTCTTGCACTATCCAGAGCGAATCTATTTACGTTTCAAGATTTGAAGAAAAGAAGATTTTGAAGCAAAGATTATAATGACTTCTTAATGAAAGACTGCCCCGTTCCTTTGATTGACTTATAATGTATTTTTCAGCCATCAGCCTTAAGCATAGAAAATTATTGAAACCAATGGTTTAAGAATCTTCGTTTTGTGTAAAATAATATCTTATTGATCAATCTTTGAAAAAGAATAAAATCAATCACTGATGAATTTATTTCTAAAATTTAAAAAAAAAGTTTCTTCTTAGTTTCAGGCTCACTGGAGATCATTAATAATGTTTAAGACGTAAAAGTTTTAATGGAATTTTGATCAGCTTTTCATTTAGTTTGAAGTTATAACGTTTGATTTCAATGCTAGACCTTCATATTGAAATGTTAATCACTAAAGAATGAAATCATTAATTCTGATGGTAGCGAGCTTTGGTTATGTCAACAATACTTATGCCTTGTGTCTCTCTTTATAGTGAATTTTATTGATTAGTCATTTTAATTGCTATATTCAATTTAAACGACGACTCTAATAATTTATTTTTAAAGACCACTGATTGATGAAGTTATTAAGATAAAATTTCTCTTCGTTCGCTGCTTGTTAAGAATTCTTTGCCGATTTATTTGTTGATAACGAAATTTAACGATTTCTTTCTTGAAAAGTTTTAAAGTTGAGTGACTTTCTTATTTCATACTTACAGAGACTTGCTCTGCGACTTCAGCTATAAAAATTAAATTTACTGAAGCTTCCAAACCCGTCGACGGCTGAATGATCTAAGTTACGTTATGTTTGTTATGTTCTTTCTTTTCTAAAAAATTCTCTGAAGTCATCTCACTTGAGAGAAATGAGTTGGCCAATTATGTTTAAATCAATTACACTCAACATTCAGACTATGCAATTTTATTCGCGCTGTACACTTTTATGGTGATTTTAATTAAGCGGAATGTAGTCGTAAAATGTAAGAATTTTTTTTTCTTCATTGAATAGTATTTTAATTGCAGTACAAATTACATTTAATTGCTTCTTTCGTTATAGGCATGAGCAGTACACGGTGTAGCGGGAAAGCAACTATAGCTTAACTACGTTAATGCACTTCAAAATAATTAATTATTAACCGACATCAAATTTATTATCTACTCACTTGTGCAAGGTGAGAATGATTCTTTATTTTATCATTTCACTCTAATCTAAAGCAATAATTTAATTCAAAATCATCCTTAATTCACTCAACGACTCAAGAATAAAAATAAAAGATTTTCCTTCTCCCAAGCGCATAAAAGCAGCAACTTTATGACCGTAGCGGCGTCCATTAATGGACTCTTTCTATTATAATTTATTTCATCGGCATCAAGATGGAAAAAATGAGTCTCCTTGACAACTTAATCTTGAAGAATATAATTTATAGAGGACCGGGTCTTAACGTGCATAACTAATTTAGTTAAAATATTCGATACAGCGCGATATCATTAAAGCAATATGTCGCTCGGCCTGTTTCATTAATATTCTGAAAAATAAATAAGTATACATCCAAAATGGGAAACATTTTGGAATGCTTCTTTATACATTATTCAACTGAAGTCGCAGAGCACACCAAACCCAACCGAGTAAAGTTATAATTACATTTTTTTTCTCCTTCCTTTCCATCAATGGCCTTTTTTTCTGTAAGCCAGAACAAATTATATCGAGTGGAAGAAGTGGAAAGGCAGGAAAACAACAACTGATTATAATTTATACCTCTCCACTTGAAAAAATGCCTGAAAATGTTTTTATTTTCTTCTTGGATAAAATATATACGAATATACATAAATTAAAATATCCAACAATTTACTTTTGCTTCGATTGGGTGGTCTTATTCAAGATCAGATATCAAGCTAGACTTAATAGTAGTACTCTCATTCTTGTAAAGAAATCTCAGATTTCAGAAAACTTCTGCAATGACTTAACAAGCATTTCTGGAATATTTTCTCAAACTCAACTGTTTTCTTTAAGAGTTTTAAAGGGTAAACTTCTCATCTCATTATGCAAGGCAAACATTCAAATTAGTTTTGATCTTTAAACAACCTTCACATGTTTTCATTTTTATTTTGTTTGGAAAGAATTACGCAAGTCAAATTGTTCTAAATATCAACCTTGAGCTTGTTTAAATGATTCTGTTCCTCTCGTTTAACCAACTGACCATAAAAACATAAACGAATGTCTGAGAATGAACAGTCATAAACCAAGGACACGAAAGCAAGCAGAAAGAGTTGAAAATTGCATTTTTAAATTTACATAATCTACATAACATAGAAATGTATGTTCAGTTTAAATATTCATGATTTTTTTCAATGCTTTCATGATGAAAAATGTTGAATATTTTACGATATGTTTTGATAAATTTGCTTTGACATCAACCAGCATACTCAGCAATGCAATGAAGATTTTTAATGTTGATTGACAATTTAAAAACATCATGAATAAAGTATCTAACGCTTTATAAAGTTTTAAAGTGTAACATTTACTCTGTCATTGGAAATGTTTTTCATCTCTTTTCACTCAGAGACGCATAAATTGCTTAGAATGAAATACAACGCTCAATAAATAATGTGACATCGAGACATTTTATGTTCGTTTCCACGGATATTTGTTTTTTTTTTTTTGGCGAAATAAAATATTATCCGTTTCTTGCGATGTATACAAATGCACACACTGTTTCATTTTAAAATGGTTTATTGAATATTGATTCTGACAAGGAAGGGAAAAATGAATTAAGAAGGGGAAACAAACATTCAATTTATAGAATTTCATTTGAGTCAAATTAGAAACTAATTTATTGTCGTTAGAAAATGAACGGAGAGAAAATTCTAAAGAAATTCTGAAATTTGATATTCGTTTTCCTTAAAACAATTTTGCAAAGATTTTATTTTCCCAGTAAAGATCAAGAGAATATCTCAAACATTTCATTCAACGTCATTTTGAAGTCATTCCATGTAGTAGATGAGATGAGACGAGACTCGAGAAGAACTTCAATATTTAGAAAGGATAAAAGTCTCATAAAACTGCGAAATGCGACAAAAAAAAAATGAAACATTAAAATGTAGAGAGCAGAAAGAGAGACGATAGCTGGAAAGAAATATCTAACATCAGCTTTTTACGACGGATTTGTTCTGTCGAAAACATTAAATGGAATTTTGTTGGTTTGGTAATTTTTTGTTGTTATTCTTATCATAGAAATTCCAATTTTTAGTTGAACAAAATATAAAACACATTTAACGATCTCTTCGAGCTTTGAGAACGAAGTTTAATGTTGAATCAAGACCCGGCTTTTAATCAACGAAAGGACATGATTCGAATGAAATGTTCATTCGGTTCGTTCAAGCTCCTTCCTTGTGTTATGTGCTTGACTTCCAAAAGAATCCCTTTTTACTCATGTACATTTACCGACGTTTATACGCTTCACTTAAGGACTTGGCAAAGACTGTAAAAATTCTTTTTGTTGATCCGCTTTACTACCAGAACATGTTTCAAAGAAAGCCTATAATTTGTAAATTTGAATATTATCTTTCGAGCATCCCTGTTAATTAAACGAAGGAGAAAAGAAATTCTTTCTGCTGAGTTTTCAAGCATAAAACATTTTTAATTACAAATTTTAATCAAAAAATTCAATTAAAACTTCATCCCCAAATGGCAAACGAAGCGAGAGAGTGAGACCATAAAAAACTTATCTCAAAAACTCATTATCATTAAGAATTTCATAAAAAAAATCCTCGCTCATGATGTGCCGCTTGTATGAGCACAGTTGGAGTTGTTTTTTTTTTGCTTTCTCCCTTCTTACCTCCCGTCCCCCCCTTAGTTGTGAGCGGTAAAGTTGCGTCCCAAAATGTATTCGTTTATATGCGCAAGCATTACAACTAAAGCAACGTTTATATTCGAGTTTTTCATAAAATTCACTACATGTTTTGCCGTTATGTATCTTTCACTTCGACGCAAGATGAATTTCCCTCATGTCAGATCGTAAAAATGTTTCGAAAACAGAAAAAAAATTGTTCTCATTTTGCCGCTTTTCCCTCTCGGTAAGACATTAGAATAAATCCTATTAAACGCAAGCATCAGCAATATAACTTCATGCTCCCCTTTTTTTGCATTCTTCTTTTTTCTTCAGTGCGCCCCGCATTTCAAATAGCGAGCCAAGAACACACTCACAGGAATTATCTACGCACAGCCATTTTTATGTTCGCTTCGGCTTCATTCAATTTTGTTTCCTTATCATAAATTTTCCCTTCTACATTCAATTCCAAAATACATCAACATAATAAGAACATAAAAATGTTGAATTTTATGTTTCTTTGCTTTCTTCCTTTTCCCAGCTTCTTTTCTTTTCTCCGAAAAAAGAATTCTTACGATTTCTTCAATCCCTTCTTACCATTATATTTTTAATTGTAATTATCACAGATCACTTAACTTTGCATCGCATTTCTTCAGCATGAGTTGATTGTTGCTTTTATGAGATTGTTACTTTAACTTTAAAAGCTTGATGGAAGAAACATCATGTGATTGCTTTTCTTCTTATTTTTTAAATTTACATTTAAATTGAGTGAAGTTTTATCAACGAAGATTTATAAAATGTCGTTTTGTTGAAATGAAAACTGAAAGCTTTTAATTAAATAGCAACAACTTATTGAGACGCAAATGAGTTGGCCTCGTCATGCAATGCATTTCTTCGTAAATATTGAAATTTCATGAGAATTTCTCATATGGCACCAAAACACATAGATTATCCACTAATTTACAGCCTAATAAAAAATATTGATGGCTGCTTTTCCTCTTCGTAATAAATTTCAAATGGATTTATAGAGTGTTGTTTAAGGAATTACTATGCTTGTGAACAAATTATTTCTTTTTCTCCCGTTTGTATTGCAACGCATGTGTGGCTCTAATGTCCATGTTCTTTCTAGTTCATGCTAGTTGATAGCATTTTTAAATTGCAGAGTAAAAATGAATACAAAACAGCTGCTTTTTCAAAGTTTTTAATGAAGGAAAGAAACTATTATGTGAACTTTGGTACTTCCTTTTGCAAGCCCATATTTTTTTTTCAATGAAAATTGTGCAAAATGTATTTGACCTCAAGACGATTATTTACGAAGTAGAGTATTGAATCGAATCTGGTGAACGATCGTTTGTGGGTAATATCTAATTTGGACACCCAATTTACTAATTTTTAGGCCTTAAAATTATATTTTTCACAGAAAAAAAAAATACGTGTTGGAATTTTTGTTTATAAATTATATTTTAGGCTTCTCACTGGGTCTTTAAATGATTCCAATTTCCCAAAATAATTTATTTCATTTCAACAAAAAAAATTCTCTTACGAAACAGCCATTTTTTCTTCTCGCTTCAAATTTTTATGAGGCGAAAAATGGCATTATTTTAAGTGATTTTATTCAATCAAATACACAGAAAGACAGGAAATTATGTGCAGAAAAGGATTCATGTTACATAATTTCACAATAGTTTGTGTTAATTAAACTATAAAAACATTTGCTCACAAATTTTCATGATCAAATGTGGTCATAACATTTTTGTATGAAGCCGTATTTGAAAATTTAACGGCAAACAAATTTTCAAAAAGTGAGCATCACTAAATTTATTCTAATTATCGATTTAAAACATCAGACTTACATCATAAACATAAATTACAATCAATTGAATGTTGTATCGACTTTACTTTTATTAATTTCCTAGTCTTTTTAATTATTTCAAAACATATAACTTTTTTTTTCAACGTTGTTGCCCAGTTCAAACACTAACCAGAAACGATCGAGCAATGAACCACAATTGATTTCGTATGACCACATTTAAGTGTAAACTTTTCATTCTCGTGTAATGAAAGTTTCTGNATGCATTACCCATTTCAAGATTCGTTACTCTAATTTATTTTATTGACAAATTTCATGGATTTAATTTATAGATATTTTTGATTTCAAACAAAACGCCTCTTTGACATTATTTATTTGTAGAAAAATTAATTTTTTTTTCTTTTGTGTAATTTACAATTCATTTATGATTGGATCACCGGGATTATTTCCCCAATTTATTTAACAAGCCAAATTATTAGAAACTCCATGACTGAAATGGCAACACATGAATTATGCGTCCGTTTTTAAAAGATTTTAACTGATGAAAGCAAATAGAAATATGAATATAAATCTTACTAATGATGACTACCCGCCGGTGATTTATAAATTATCTGACAAGTTTTGGAAGATTTTAATTATCACTTCACATTTCCTTTATTATACTGCAGATGATGCATCATTTAATCCCATGAAAAGGTAAAATAATGTACATATTTACGTCTACTTGTTTCAAATATTTAAATGAAATATTGCAGATATTCTCTCTTCTATATATTCTTTACTCATATTCAGAATAAGAAATATCATGCCTAACGATGCGATGTTAACCTATTGAATGAAAACCGTACAATCTGAATTATATGCTTCAAAAACTTCTCAAATATTTCACACTCACACAATCTCTAATTCTCCCAATTCTATTCATACTACAGCCATTGCTAAAGTAGCAGCCATTTTTATTTATTTCATATTCACCGCCCATTTTTATTCGAAGTAGAAATGGTTTGTGTATTGGCTAAGAAATGATGAAGCTTTCAATTTTTAGAAGCTTTTTCTAAGAAGATTTAAAAGAATGAGATTAAAGTTTAAGAAAATATTTAATTTGCTTGTAAATTCAATATTGATCACTTTGGCATTATGCATTTGTGATAATTAATTTATTTTGAATAATTTACAGCTCTTTAAGAAACGTCACAATTTTGTTCTTTTTATAGGAAATTCTTCAATTATTCAAGATTTAATCGGTTGCATATTCATATGCAGTAGCTAAAGTTATTTAGACCAAATTTAAATTTATTATGAAAACAGTCGAGATTATGTTAATGAATGTTCTTTGAAATCTTATTCAGATAGATATGAATAACTTTAACGTACATATGTAAGTGCGTAATTTTAATTAAATATTTGAAAATAATAATAATTTTTTGATAAAATAATATCAAGTAACCAGAATTCTTAATTATCCTAATCATATATATTATAATCATAATTTATCAAAAAATAGAAATAACTTTGATCGTCCACACGAAACCCTCCCAAACCTCTGTCAAAAAATAAAACCATTGAAAGAAGGCGGTCCTAAGAACTCCGATATCAAATTGATACTAAGTCAATGTCATCAAAGAAAAGCAACATGGAAACATTTAAGCTCAAAATGGATGCAAAATATTTCTCTCTGCTTTTAAAATTAAAGTATGATGTTTAAACATATCAATTAAAATGAAACTAAGGAAATTAAAATTTTATATCAAAACATTGTTACAATAATATTCTTGAAACATCTCATTAAACTTTAATGAATCAAACATAAAGTAAAAAAGTTTTAACACCCGTTTGAAGACCTAATCTTTACAGCTTTTATATTTAAATCTGATATGGAAAACGACAAGATTTATGAAATATTATTCAATAATAGTTGATCATAAAATGGCATAACATTTAATTTATAATCAAGATATTTTTAACAGTACACGTCATTAGAATTTCTGATTCGAGAATGTGATATTTCCGACTTTAATTTAATTTTGCCTAACATAAAATATCAAAGAAATATTTCGCAAAAACAATGAAAATTGAAAAAGGAAAATTTTATAATTTTTCTTTGATTACTCACCCTGTTTGATCTGCTCAATTTTTTGCATTAAAGAAGTTTGCATTTATAGATTGTTCAAAGTTCTTTTTAATTTTTTTGCTAACAAATTTGAAGAATTTCTTTCTTTCTTTTGAATTATTTGATATCTGATTTCTTTACTTTAATTGAGGAAAAGAATTTGCCATGAAATTGTTCAACACTATTCTTAATAAATGTTCTTAGATAATTTCCTTCACCTTGAATCTATTTTTAAAGACACAAGACATCAAATTAAATTAATTACAAAGTAAATGTTAATCATAAAAGTATATTGAACCAATAAAAATAAATGTTTTATTTTTATACGATTTTTAACACTTTTAGGTAAACAGAAACAAAAAGATAATCCAAAGCACAAAATAAAAGTTAAAGATCTGTAAACCTTTTTTATGAATATGTCAAATTACTTAATATTTCCACTGTAAATTTATTGAACTTTACATGTCAAACGTTCGATATGAACTGATTTTATCCATGCTAAATATTGACTGCGGTTGTTAAGTTGTAAAAGAAGGCCGATACAAAAATATATTTCACTTTATTAACCACTCGGCACTCTTTTGTTTTTACTGTGAATTGAGAATAGTCGACAATGTCGTGTGGATCTTATCAGAGTGCTGGTTGTAATGACTGAGACAACCAAACATTTTTTTTTCTTTCTCTACGTCGCTTCTCTTATTCTATCATTCATTCCGTTAAGCATTTCATGAAGTCACTCACATACACACATCCATAGATTTTTTTTTCTTCTATATTTTAGTAGCATTTCCTAGTACAAGAGGCTGAAGTTATTGAATTCATTGTGCATTAAAAATTAAATTTAATACAGTAAGAAGCATTTTCTTTCTTTCTCTTTTCAACTCACAAGGATTTTAAAGAAGGAAAATTTCTTCGTTACTTCTTCAAAAGTTTCCGGCGTTAAAATGCTTCTTTTCTTGAATTCATTTACAGCTTCAGGCAATGCTGTACAAACTCACGAGGGATCTTTTTTGAGACATGCGCTCAACGCCATCATTTCACCCAATAGCAATATTTTGTGACTTCCAATCTTTACTACATCGTCAACTAAAAGGCAAGGACCAATAACAATACTTATTCGTAAAACCACAACTTCGGTCTCTTGGTGAAAGAAATGAACAGAGAGAAAATTATCTGGTTGTTAAGAGACACAAAGAAAAGAAATTTCTTTTAAGCAGTGCAACGAATTTGAAGCTAGAAGAAAAGTGAAAGGACTTTCAACAACAATATAACTCATCATTATTGCTAATTTGAAAGTTTAAACAATGAATTGCGAATGCAGTTTTCTAACATCATCCATTGATTCCACTTACAAAGGTGTGAAAATGTCAAGAGCAAATATTAGGTGGAATAAACTCATCATCTTTCGCACCATGATTATAAAACTTACATACGATACATCAAACCGTCAAATAACTTGAATGACACATTAACTCCAGCATTTTATCAACACTTAAATAAAGAAAGTAAATATTATTAAAATAAATATTTACCAAGGCGTTGATGTTTATTGAATCCACATTTGTTTGTGGAGAGAATGTAAAAGCAAAATTTTGAATTATTTAGTTATTGTTCTTTCACACCATCACCGGCTATCAGCTTGTCGGATTCTGTTAAAGAGTTTTTCTTTCTGTTTTTGTGTTCTTATTTTGGTAAGAAAAATCATTTTACAAACAGTACTCACGCAATAAAATTCTACACGCTCATAAATTCATAAATTAACTGGATTTTAACGAATGTGTTAATGCCGTTTTAATTTTATAGTTTGTTTACTCGTTATAAGCTGGTAGTTTATTTAAATTTTTTTATTATGACCGCCGTCTACAATCATCACTTTTGATAGTTTCCATAATGTGTGTTTGCTTTTATTAGATGTTAAATGATACTTAGAGTGTGTGTGAAAGTTTTAACTCGCGACTTACTGAAAACTCTTGTTGCTAAATAATAATATAAAACAATTAGCACACAATAAACACAGCGGATCTAAAAGCAGATCCAAATTATTTAAAAAGATGACTCCGAAAATTCCTGAAAAAGCAAAATGGTTTTATTGATCCAATAAAAATGGTTTCTGCTTTTCGTTTGTTTCCTTCGAAACTGTAATTTAACGACAGAGCAGTAAATTTGTTTATTCGTATAATGAAGCACACTTTAAAAGCATTTGTTTGTCAAAGCGGAGAGCAATCAATAATCATACGCAAACCTATAAAAGTAATTTTATTGCTTTTTTCTTGTGGAGGCGACGAATTTTTCTCTTTGTTTTTTGGGAAGCTTTTGTTAAAGTAAAATGAGTTTCATGAATCTTCTGATGAGAGTTTGTTCAAGCATCCCATTCATCGGTTGTTTGTTCAACATTCTCACCCTCAACTCAACTGCATTATCTTAAATTGAAAAACAGTCATAAAATCCAAAAATTCAATCTATTTGAAGTCGTAAAAGTTTCAAATTTTCCATTTTCTGTCGTCCTCTTGGGGATGATTGATCTTACTTTGCGAGGGTGAATTGTTCGCGTCTGTTGTTTGACGCTCGAGTCACAAATCAAATTTATACTAAGTGAGATTCTGACATTTTGTGTCTCATCCCTTCTTGAACAAATTGAATGAAAAACGTCTTTTGTTCCAGATGGCTTTTCAATCTCGTTTTAGATTCTTTGGAACCATTTTGCTTTAGAATAATTTCTTTAAAAGGATGTCCTATCACTGAATGTTACTTTGAATAGGATGATTCGGCTTTTTTCTCATAACAACAGTTACAAATTTTTTCTTAAGATTCTTAAAGATGAATTTTTTTATTTCTATTCATTAGTTCATTTTACGATGAATAAGATTTTTCTCTTTTCTATTCATGAATAATTCATTAAGTTTGTAGAGGCTTAAGTGAGGGTCTTTGAGACATAAATCTTGAGACTTCCATTCGAATGAATAGTGAAGAATGTTCTCACAGTTTTTCAAAATGGTTTCCATCTAAACACGGAAATTTTATTTAAATAAATTTACATTATCAATTTTCGAGCTCTCATGGAAGAAATTGGAGAATCTTGCCATGTTCTATTTAACATGAGCAGTCATAAAAATCAATTTTTTAACAGAAAAATTACAAACCCACATTAAGCCGTAAATCTGAAAAGCAAAATATTTTTTGTCTGTAACTTTAACTTTGCCGATTGTCTAAAATTGTTGAAATTGGAGCAGTTTACAACCACACTGAATTATGAACGGTACAATAAACATTCTTCAGAAACAAAAACAATTATTCATGCTGCCACTGCTGTTGGGTAAACGAAACCCTTTTTCAAAGAATTTCAGAAACAATAAAAAATATGAGTTGAAACAGTTTTCTGATCTTAACACTTTACGTCATTTCATTTTATTATAAATTGCGTAAATTCTTATTTTTCTAAAAATAGACATGATGCAATAAAGTTTAGAAACATAAAGTGAATTTCCGTGTCATTGCTGATTCTTTCCGCTTGTAAGATGAAATGAAAACAAATTGCGATGAATCATGAAAAATTTAACTCTCTTTGGATCTTTCAGATGGTTAGTTGGAATTTACTGCTCCTAAATCTAAACTGTTTATAAATAAATAAGAAGTGCTCGAGAACTCTATCAAGTAACTTCAACATTTCTTATCTTAACTTTACCAACCCTCGACAAGAAGTTTTCTAACTCATAAATTTTCTACATTATTACAATTTTGTTGAAATGGCAGAAACAATTTCAAGACGAAGTTCATGTCGGTGAATGTTGAGTAATAAATGAATGCTTGAAGAAATTAACTTTAATTTTTATCTCTCCCCTGATGAAAAACTGCTTCGAGGAGCAGAAAATACAAAAGTAATTTCTCCTTGAGTGACTTGCCAGTAAAAGGGCATGTGGACCTTTTATAAGCGAACAGAACATTAAACCCTGAAATCCAATAAAATGGTTTATATCAATGGCAGCAAAATTCAATATTCGCAAGAGTAAAAGAACAAGAAAAGACGGAAATTAATGTCTCAGCAAAAAAATGAGAAGAGAAGGGAATTACATCGCGATCATAAAAATTGTAAGCCATTTTCCTTGATGAAAAAGTGGTTTTGGGTGGCTTTCTTGATACATCAACAATCTGCCTTCAAGACTTCCAGATAAGAGTCTGTACAGGCATCATTTTTCCTTTCTTTTTTTGCTATACTGAAACACATAAAACGAGTAAATCAAAGCACCAGCATGAAACATAAAACATCGTTATAGTCTCTGGTTTATGTTTTATCACACTAATGCGTGTTGCGTTCATTCTGCGCTTTCTTATCCTTTAAGAATTTATTGTTTCGCTGTATTTTACAGATGCTACCAGATGATTTCACAGAAAATATGACTCGTTCCAGCTTTTTCAACTATAAAAAGACCGACGAACATGAATGAAAATAGAATCACACAAAGTCCGGCACACAATTCCAAATATAAGTTGAAACAATGTTTATCATGCATGAGGTGTGAATTCTCGAAAGTCAATAAAGTTAAATACTTTTAGTTTCAGCTCATGTCTTATGTTGTTTCGTCTGAATTGAAGCATAACTGAGTAGAATCGTTTAGTGTGAGATTGTTTGTTGCTGAGTGATGTCAACTAAGAAGGAAACCAGAAAAAAACAACGAAGCAGTTATAAAAAAATTAAAGTTTATAATTCATTAGATCTTAGATAAGTCACGGAAGGAGCTTTTATTGCGTGATAAATAAATTTAACTGAATTTTCTTTAACGATGTTAAGTGAAGAAAGGGTGAATAAAGTTTAAGGCTGTCGAGTATTTTATTTTATTTATTTTATTGATCAAAGAAGCCAAGGTTTCGTTGATTTTAGGAAAAAAAAGCTTTAAATGCTCAAAAGTAAAAAATTAATTTTATTTCTAGCTATTTGCATATCTCATGAGAGATTATTCAGAATTTTAAGAAACACGAGACGAGAAATGTTTTTTTTTGTTCCAACATTGAAAAATGGCCGTCGCAAGTCGCTACAAAAACATGGTGAATAAGTTACGAATAAAAAATGAAAAAGATACAAAAAAAAATCAATTTAGGAATTTTTTTCTACTCTGTTTTTGACAGTAATTTATGTGCTTTGTGTTTCAAGCTAAGTCATAAAGAGAATTTAACTTTTTTATGCGTTTAAAATTACCATTCCGATTTGAATATCTATCAAAATGGTTTTTTACGATCCCACATCAAATTTAAATCAATTTAAAATCTCAAGACCCTCGAAAGACAAATCTTTTTTGTCGTAAAATTTTAAAGGAGAGGAGAATATTTTGGATTCTTTGTAGGTGTTCCAATCATAGCATTTAAAAACATTTAAAAACTTGTCAATGATTATAGTGGAAATATTTTATTGAATTCAAAATGGTCTACGGTAGATATTCAAAGGCTTTGAATCAAAGCATATTATTTAATCTGACACATTGATAAAGTGTAGAAATTCCAACAACATCAGAAGGAATTAAATATCAGGAAACTCTTGAAAATGACTTTGCCATAAGCATTCAATTATAATTTAGATTGCACTTCTTATAACACCAAATATAATAATTTTAATGAGACACAATCATGCAATTTTTTCAATGTTTACTTCACATAGCTGAAGGCATAAATTCCAACATAATTGAATTCTCACATTAAAGTGCAAAATTCATTTCTAAAATATGTTGAAAAAACTGCAAGAAGCCGACGATGAAGTAAAGAAAATCTAAACATTTGTGATTTGTACAAAAATTATTGTAAAATGTAGAAATTTGGAACAAGTTGAAAGTGGACTAAATTTTCACCCAAAAGGATTTTAAACTTGAAAGCTTTCGTCCTTAAAGCTTCCTTTTGAATTTTATTATTTCGTTATTTTATTTGCTTTTGGAATTGTTCAAAAGGATTCAATTGAATGTTAATTCAGATTTGATTTAATGTAGTTTAATTATTAAGAAACAATAATTCATAAAGTTTGACAATTGTAAATAATTTGAAAAATAAATTTTATTACTTAATTACGTAGGTAATCAAATACTATAACTTTTTTCAACAAGTGAGATGGAAATTTATTAAAACCAAGTTTCACCTCAGGATATTTTGATATTTCTTTGCAAATGTTCAATTAAATCTTTCAATAAAAGAAACTATTCAAAATATTCAAAGCGAAGTCATTTTAATCAACCTAAAAAATTATCATTTATTAATTCACCTGATGTCCAATTTCATTTTCAATTAAAATTTTTAATCTTTCATAAATCTTTTGGAAAGATTGATTGAAATTTTTTATGTTTAAACTTTAAAGTGAGTGAAACTTTGTTTTGAACTTGCTGACCTTAAAACTTTGCTGATTCACGACTTTTTCAAATATCAGCGAGGAAAATTGTTAAAATTGTTTGTATAAACCGTGATAAGTCGTTTCACAATCTCGCAATATTGATATTTATGAGCCTTAATCACGATTAAAAAATCCACGATTTCAACAAACTTCTGCCACGAAACGAATTCAACTGCCTTGGTCTTCATCGCTTCATTTTCTTCAATTCATTTTGTCATGACTCAGTTTACGGCCATTTTCTTGATATCATCACCCTCTTGTCAACAACTTTACGATCGTCCAAATTCTAATTTAATTAATTTTCACCCTCGTCGCTTCTCCAATCATGTCGATATCATCTATCAGCCATTTTATTGAACTACAAAAACTGCGCAATAAAATCTTTCATTTTTATGTTTCACTATGAATAAATTTGATTAAATTACATTTTTTGATAACATTTTCTTGTGTTTTTATAGAAATAAAATCTACTTTTAATTATCTACATCGTCGGCCAACAAACCAAACAGAACAAACTCAAAATAAAGTCTAAGATTGGTTTAAAAGATTTATTCGAATGTTAACGTCAAAATATTTATTTCCTTTACCCACTGCTTAAACGTCTGACAAAACGACCGTAAAATGGCTTTCAACTCAAATATCACCAGCTGAGAGTCTTTACAAAAAGCCTTATTAACATTTTCACACATAGTTATTTAAAGTCATAAAGGGCTCGTAAAGAATTTAAATCTCGTGATAAAACTGCAGTTCAGAATTATTCTTTTTTTATTTTATTGATTCTTTTATTCATATTTACGCTTACAAACTCTGTAGAAATCCTTTATAGTCATAAAAACACATTTTCATCTGATTATTATCACATTAATATTTTCTGATTAACATCAGGCGCACCAAAACCTTTTTTATAATTATTTTAATAGTCAAATTTGTTCACATTAAATTGCAATGATATTTTATTTAAAAAGGAAGTTTCAAGTGAAATTTGTTTGACAATGAAAAACAAGTGACGATATTTAAATTCAAATTGCAAATGTGATAATCTTTGGAAACATAAAAAATTATTAATTGAAACTTAAAAGTTCTACTTTTGTCACCAACGTCCGAAAGTATATTTAATATCAGTTCCTGTTCTTGTCATTTCAATAGTTTTCATGATTTGTGCGTGAGTGTCAAGTCCCCATACGTCAAAGCTTCTACGATCCATTACAGAAATTCTTCCGCCAGATAAGTTGAAAAGGAACTTCCAGTAACTTGGCCTTAAATTTCTAGGTTCGAACGTTGCTGCATGGAATAAAACTGCAGTAAAAGCACAATACAAAAAGATGACACCTCCAGGTACTTTTGGAAGATATCCTTGATCAGAAAGCATATTATAAGTGATTTGTAATGCTTTCCACATGATATAAAGAGCTGCCGTTTTATCTGGATAAGACATGAAAGCGACACTTGCAAGCATTGTCGCCGGTATTGAATAACTTGGCTTATCATCATTCGTTACATGTCGCAAGAAACATGCGATAAACTATTCGAAAACATTTATGAAATAACAAGGGATTAATGTTGAGATAATAAACATTAAATGATAAGTAAATTCTTTTACGATAACAACTTCAACTTACTCTATAAATGAATGAAAATCCACCCAAGAAAGCACCAATTTTGAGCGTGTCTTTAGCGAAGAAGATACTCATCGTCTTCTTTGGGGATTTAACAATTCGCTGAATGTTTAATACCAACTTAAGAGCAACTTGAATTCCTAATCCAATACCAAAGAGTTTTGTTCCACCTCGAATTGTGTAATAAGCACAGCTATGATGATGTGGACATTTATCATGTTTGGGTAAAGCTTTCAGCTTATCAGTCACTTTTTTGTGCATTTCGAGAAACTTTTGAATGAGCAAATAATTGTTTTTAATCCTTGGTCGAGTTGATTGTTCAGGTTTAATTGTTTTCACTTCTTTTTGTCCGCCTTCTTCATCGCGACCAACAATAAATCTGATTATGTCATAAATTGAATCTTTTCCTTCCAAGTGTACACCAGAACGAAAATAGTAGAGCAGAGATGATGTTGAGAGGCCAAATATCAACACTTGACCATAAGGAATACTTTTAACCATTCCACGAGAACTTGCCATTCTCCATAAAGCTTCTGTGGCAACATTTGCAACATACATTGTAAGTAAACTCCGCCTCGATGGCCGTTCAACTAGAATAGCAGTGAATGATGACATAAATGCTGGAATGTAACTACCTGTCCATATGTTGAATCCACCAAAAACTCTTCTCAAAAAGCATAAATACGCTGAATACGAAAAAGCTGAAGTTGTGAGAAATGCTGTTGATTGCATTATTCCCAAAACTGTTCGACTCAGATCTTTTCGTTTCGGTATTCGTCCTCGCATGAGAAGAGATGCCTAAAGCGATAGTGTTTAATTGATAACTGTTGATGTCAACAAAAGGTCAACTAAATATTCTAAACTTACCACATAAACAATTGTATAAATTCGAAAGCTGTCAAGTGCTGATACAATAAGTAGGCCAGCAGTTGCATTGATACAACTATCGGTCCATGGATGGACATATTCGATGCATGTTGTAGGAATATTAGTTAGTTTACTCTGATTTGCCATTGATATCGGTTTCTTGCTTGGACTTTGTTCAAAAACTAAGTTTTAGATGTTATCAAACCAACTGAACGATTTTGATTAATCACAATGACCTTTGATACTACAATGTATTTATTTTGTCTGCTTTCTTGAACAAAACACACTTTAAATGTATGAAAATGTAATCACCTAGTATAGTCTTCTTTTAATTCCATGGATAATTATTTAAATATTGAAAATGAATTTTTTGACCTTTGTTTACATTTTGTTTGACGAGAAACATTTGTAAGGTTTTGAAAGCAACTCAAATGTTTTTATTATGAAAATCAATTCGCCGCGAATTTTATTCATAACCGCGAATGCTTTCATCAAAAATAGAAAATTTTCGTTTTCTTTCACATCAGATTTAAAAAAATGCTTTTGCATGAAAAAATTTTTAATATTTTCCAACCGAACTATTAATACTGACCAATAATCCTCCAATTGTAAAAAAACCAAAACAAGTTAATCACCTATCATTACTTTAAAGGAAATTATTTTAATCATATTATTTTTCTCACAAAAATTTCCGGAACTTTACTCGAACAATGAACAATATTTGCTCAATTTAAGTTTTTCAGGAGTTGTTATCCAGATAGTCATCACAACACATGTTAATATTTTCAGTAGTTCTGTAAACTTTTTTTTTAAAACTCAGCGGAAGCAAGTATTAAAAGTTAGCTATAAAAGCTGACTGGTAATTCAAAAAATAATCATTAGGTGGATAAAAATAAATTCGTATTGATCATGAAGTTCGTTTTGATAACTCTCATGGTTTTTGTAAGTAATAAAATTTTGAAATAGTGAAAATAAAGGTGAAAAAATAAATATTTTTAAAGTCTTCAACAGAAGCTTTGGAATCCTTAGAAACTTCTAGCACAGATGAGACAACAATTCCTGAAAACGCAACTCCTGAACCAACACCATCTTTGGATGAGCCTCAATCATCAACAACTGATCAACCTTCGTCATGCTCTCCATGGCCAGAAAATTTGCTACCGTTACGAGATTGCTGCAATGTTCCTCCTCTGATTGATGAACGTTTAATGGAAAATTGTTTTATGCATTGTGGAGTTCCTCTTTTTAGACGGTTTAAAAAGAAAATTGACAGAAAATTAAATGAAAAATCAGATTGCGCTGTGCAATGCTATGCAAATATGACGTCATTGATCAAAAATGGAAAACTTGACAAAGAAGTTTCCAAAAATCTGTTAACAGACAGAAGTTTCGTTCGATCCCATAGATTAATGTTTCCAAAGTGGGTCACAATTTATGCAGAATTTGCTGACAAATGTGAATTTGATGAATCTAAAGATGTGACTACTGGCTTAGCAGAGTATTTTGAGTGCATCCGTGAAAATATGGTGAACAATTGTGTAAGTTTCCGATATTCTGAAGAATGTCAATTGGTTGAAAATCATTACTGGGAGTGTAGCGGCAAGAAACGGAGTTGCTATGACTGGCCACCGTTTTATCATCCACAAACTTGTTGCATTCTTCCTCAACTTTTCAACACAAATATTCGTGAAACTTGTCGACAAGAGTGTGCTAAAAAACATTTCTTTATGCCGATGCAAAATGATTGTACGCAGAAATGTATGTTTGTTAAAACGAAGATTATTAGTGAAGAAAAGTGCGACTTAAACGTTGTCAAGTCACTTCTCCTTGAGAACACCAAAGGCAATAATGAATGGAATAAACCAATTGAAGACTCTGTTAATGAGTGTAAAAATATGATTGGAGGTAAGAAATGAATTAAATTGATTATTTTTAATTTATTTCTGATTAATTCAACAGAATCGGAACTCAAAGGGTGTAATAACAACAAATTACAGGCTTTGTTCCTTCCTTGTATTGCTGAGTTGTTGAGAAACAAGTGCGTCGAATTTCGCGAAGATGGTGTTTGCAAAGGAATACGCAATTACGTGAAAGATTGTCCATTCCCGAAGCAATCAAATAGATTTCGAAATTTAAGAAACATCTACAGAACAGGAAGATTTTAATGTTTTTGAAACGCAATAAAAAAAATTTGAATCAAGATTTCCTACATTTAACATTTTTGAATTTTGTTTTACATGTTTAATTTACATTTCTACAGTTAAATTAGATTCTAGAATGAAATCGAATACTTTTTTGTGTTTATTTTTTTTATTAAAAATACTTGCAAGTCTTTTGTATTTATACACAACATAGGTAATGTCATTTGAAGAATTTCAAATACTTATACGGAAATAAAAAAATATTCAAAAAACTTTTTCAGAAAACATCCTCACCTCAAACTCGTAAAAGGAACACTTGCAAAAGAAAACAAATTATGTTCACAGTTTACTAAAATTGAATAAATTTTGTTGAATTAAATTCTTTTTAACAAGTTTGAGCTTTTGAAGCACATTTTAAATAACTAACTTTATGATTTCTGATGCTTCAAACCGTGTTTTTTATATCAAAAAAAGTTTTGAGAGAACTGCAATTACGAACACATATGGAACTTTTTTGTAAGGTAAAAGGTTTAATGTGAGGAAAAAAGAAAACAAAAAACATTTAATAACGTGAAATTATGAAAATCTAAGTTGCAGGTGAGTTATTCAATTAAACTTTTAATCCAATAAATTGATATGAATACATAAAATTTCTTAATTACGAATTAAAATATCATTTGATGAAGCTTTAATTGAAAATTGATAAGTTTAATATTTAACAAAAGTTTTGCACAACACAAGCACACATTCAATCATATGATATCTATTGTGTGTAGTTGACGTAACTTTTTTTTTTGTAAACACAGTATACATTCAGAATAATTAATACTTTCGATTGTATATTTTCTGGTCGATGTCTCAGAGGAAGTTTAATCGTTGTAGCCACAAGTGCTGTTAAATTTTGAGGGAGCTCATCTTTGTATTTATTTTTCACTCTGAATTTGTACATTCAACCTTTTGGACAACTTGCAACTTTCGAAAAACTTTAATGACTTAAAAGTAAAGTGTTTAAAAGACAAAGTAAATTTTTGCATTGATATATTTTTCTGTGAAGATTTTTTCTTAGACTTTCAGCAAAAAGTTTACCCTTCATTCATGTTTTTAATCAAAGTGAAGAAAACTTGTGAAAATTTTTGAAAAATGGCTGCCGTGTGACCTTGAATATTTCTATACTTCACTGTACTTTACTGCTGCTGAAGTGTTGCTTTCAAAGACTTTTCATTACGAATAAAATGTAAAAAACTATAAATGTATGTCAGTGGACTAATAGCATCTAACAGTTAATGTGTGTGTGTGAGTGTGTTTGATAATGTTGAGTTTTAACATAAAGAAAGAATAAACAGATGAACGTCAACTCATTGTTGTTGATAAAATGAAATTTTGTGAAAAGTTTTCATTTTTTGTTTGATGTTTCAATTAAAAAAGCATAATAAAATTCTAGAAGAAAAAGTTTAATAGAATTCATCTTGAAAAGTATGAAATCGAATACGTGTTGTACTCGTAAGTAATTTTGTGAAAAAATTAAAGCGTTCGTAGTGTATGTGAAACGATAAAAATTGTTACTGAAGAATCAAAACAGAATCTACACATGTATGTAGACATATTTACATCATTGAGTGAATATTAAATAGTTTTGCTTAGAAATAGTACAAATGATGACTTTAATTGAGGCTAAAAGTATATTTGTCAATTTGTATAAATTATAAAACAGGTCGCAACTTGCACTTCATAAAATATGTAACATAATTGCAGCAGTAGAGTTTAAAAAAAAGTTTTCATTGTGAATTTTCAAATCATTTTCAAGAAATTATAAAAAAAAAACTTTACACACACAAAGAAGAACATAAAAGTGAAACCAAACACACAACAATGTTAGAGCTTTTTAAGGCCACATGATCACAAAGTGATGTTACTAAGTTAAATAAATGATCACTTTTTATAGTCTTTCGATGAGAAAAAATTTGAGTGAACGAGATTGAGTGATGAAATAAGATGGATATAAATTAACTAAAAGACATAATATTTGAACATTTCATTCATAATTCCTTAACACGATCATTAATTGGTTGCAAATAATTCTTTTTCTTTCATTTTAATAAATAAAGTGTTTTACTTTGAGATAGCTAAGTTGATTTAGGTGGGGAGAGTACTTAGCTTAGTTTCATTACACCTGTTCAACTTCTTTAGCTGACATCAGCTGATATTGAAAAAAATTTTTCTTTCGCTAATTTTGACTATTAAAAAACCTGAAAGTGTATTGTTGTATGAAATTTATTAATTTACAAATGTATTTTAATTAATTTTATATTCTTCGCATATTAATTAAACAAAATGTTTCTTTCATTGTAGATATATTCGAAAGCTAATTCATCATAAACTTTTTCATTGATATTCAAGTAAAGGAATGAAAGAAGGAGAATCAAGGAAAGCCTCTCTAATCAAAATTCACTCATATGGACGTTTTTTCTTTCGTGTTTAAATATTTTATTGTTTGGTGAATTTACTTTAAAAGTAAAATAAAAAAAACGTGAAAAAGTATTTCGAAAAAAACTATCTGAAGTAACATGAATCAGCAAGCGATGGACACAACCATCAACATTAGCAATGCATTCTACAATGCAAAAACTCATAGTGATAGTACCAAAAATGATGCAATTTTTCATTTACCGTCCGATGTGGACTTTTCTGTTAATTACGAACCAGTAGGGGAGAAAGTAGCAAGTATTGTGAGTGATGCCAAAGACTCTGGAGCACCGCATAAAAGTGAGAATGGACATAAAGATATGATGACGATTGGGGTCAATCACTTTAACCCAACAAATCTTCACAATTATTCAAAAATGCCAGAAAGCGATACTTTGAATTGCAGCGATAACAATAACAACAATAATAATAACTTGCAGACCACAAGCGATCAAGAATATGGAAATCGTGATGATAACAATAATCCAAGCAATAGAGTTGACGACAAAAAGCCAGATTTTCATTTGAGACGACCAATGAATGCCTTTTTAATATTTTGCAAGCGCCATAGAGCTTTGGTAAGAGAAAAGTATCCGAATCTTGAAAATCGGTGAGTATTTTAATAGAAATTTCTTCATAAATCAGAAAATTGATTTTTTTTTCTTCCTCAGATCCATAACTAAGATCTTAGGTGACTGGTGGGCCTTCTTACCAAATGACGAAAAATCTCCTTACAAGGAATTGGCAAAGAACGTAAGAAAATTTTTATACAACTCCAAGTTTTTATCTCAAAACCACAATTATTCAAATTACTTATTATTTCTGTCATATGTGAATACATCAACATAAAACAACTGAATTTACACCGATAAATGAAAAGAAAAAAAAAGAAGAAAAGTGAATGAACTTTTAATCATTTTATAAATTTACTTTTTTTTCTTTTTTTCATAGTATAAAGATGTTTTCTTCTCAAAGAATCCAAACTTTAAGTGGTACAAACTTCCAGCCCCTCCTTTGCGTACTTTATCGACACGACCAACAAACGATCGATCCTTGGTCGTTTCTCCAACTTGTTTAACAGGTGAAGATAATGCTGAAAGCATAATTAAGGATCGAGTTCCTCGAAATGTTAAAGCACCACAGCAGCAAACTAATTCTGGTATTGGACAATTTAAATTTGCGTCAATTGACCAAATGGGAGGATTAACAAGTCTAATGACAAGCTCGGGAAGCACAAAAGTCAATGGAACCGTCGTGTATGACACAAAGAATGATGAAAAAAATGATGATAGAATATTGGAGACAATCAAGAAGCGAAAAAATGACAATACAGAAATGACTGAGGATAATGAAAGCTTTTATGCTGCTGTTAAATCTCATCGTGCTTGCAAAGGAAAACGTTACCAACAGTTTATGACACCATCCAAGAAGGTTTCAAAACAAAAGATAACTTCTAATTTGTTTATGGCTGCTGCTACGCAGTTTCCTCACAATGATTATTGCAAGCCTCAACACGATGCTGTTCAAAAGCCTCGTGATGACTCTTTGGATGAATTATCAAACATTGCAACTTCAGTTGAGAGTGAAGAAACTGAGCAAAGAAATGTTGATGCTGCTGATTTCAAATTGAATGAGAAGATTTTGACTTTGCCATCATTGGATCTAGATGATTACTTGAATCAAAAGAAGGCCATGAAACAGAAAAAGAAATTTATTCGTAAGTTGTGTGAATGCATTTGAAAACCTGTCTGAATGAGTGATTTATGTTTATTCTTTTTTCATTTGAGATAAAGCAAAGCACCGTCAACATCCAACACAGATAGCACCTAAAGATAAAGCCATTCCTAAACCTGTAGTGGGAAGTCAGAAGCGCAAACCGAAGCAAACAATTCGTCGAACTATGGACATTAACCAACCGGAAATAGTTCTCAAATTTCAAAATTATTAAATAACACTTAAAAGCGTTAATTGTTTAGTTTTTAAAGTTTTATTATTAGTTAAGCGTTATTTCATAGTAAGTAAAGCATCTAATAAAGTTATAATTTTTCAAAATAAGAAAAATTGTCAATTTCAGTTGATGAAAAGTTTGAATTTTACACCAATCCACGCAAGTCGAAATCCGGGCAGTCCGATGTCACTCGTGACTGACACAATCCATTGAGGGTATACAACTACAGAGAGGTTTTGCAAGTCTCCAGAAAATTTCGAGACGAAAAATATTTTCTCTCATTAGAAATCAAGATGTTGTCGAGAACAAAATGGATTATTCCAAGTCTTGTAAGTTGTTTTACAAACACATAGTCTAGAAACAAGTGAATTTCTTAAAGATCATCCTTAACAGCGATGTTGATTTTAGTTATTCAATCACAGTGTTGCCGCTTTTCACTAATCAATGAAAATTAATTTTACTTTACAGCTTCGAAATGTTCGTTCGCTCAGCAAAACCTCAACAAACATGAGTGATAACTTATTTGTTCATCGTGACACTCCTGAAGATAATCCTAACATCCCGTTTGAGTTTACCGAAGAAAATAAAAAGGTGAACATTTTAGGGAAAAGAAATCAAAACAAAGTTTTATTATTGTTTTTGTTTCTTATAGCGCATCAAGGCCATTCTTAACATTTATCCCGAAGGTCACAAGCGGGGAGCGATGATTCCATTGTTGGATCTTGCTCAACGTCAACACGGTTGGCTTCCAATATCTGCTATGCATAAAGTTGCTGATATTTTGGAGTTGCCAAATATGCGAGTTTATGAAGTTGCCACTTTTTACACCATGTTCATGCGCAAACCTACAGGAACATACCACATTCAAGTTTGCACAACAACACCATGTTGGCTGAAAGGATCGGATGAAGTTCTTGAAGCTTGCAAGCGAAAATTAGGAATTGGTGTAGGAGAAACGACAAAAGATATGAAATTTACTATTTCAGAAGCTGAATGTTTAGGTGCCTGCGTCAATGCTCCCATGTTGGCTGTAAATGATGACTATTATGTGAGTTTTAATATTTCATATTAGGAAGGAAAAAATTAACAGAAATTATTCGATTTTTAGGAGGATTTGACAGTCAAAGACACAGAAGAAATTATTGATGATTTATCTAAAGGAAAGCAACCAAGAGCGGGACCAAGAAGTGGTCGTTATGCATCTGAACCTCAAGGAGGATTAACTTCACTGACATCAGAACCTCCTGGTCCAGGTTTTGGTGTTCAAGCAGGATTATAAATTATAAATATTTTTCGTTAAACTTGGTTGATTGAAATGTTTTCAACAAGAAAATAAAAAAGAAGTTAGTTCAAAATTAATGTTTCAATTTGTTTATTGAGAAATTTTGTATTTGAATGTTAGGGGAAAAATCAAATATCCTTATTCTAGAGAGTTTTGTGGATATTGTGAAACCTTTAAATTATTTTATGCGAAAAAAAAAAAATTGGAGACATTTTGGAGAGAACAAGTAAAGCGGCGCCGTCGTCTTAATAAACAGTCGAAATCAAGAAAAAATGTTTTATTAGAAACTTCATAAAAATACTGGTAATCATCTTGATATGTAAACAATATTACTCTTTACTGTCAAATGTGTGCTCTAAAGTTAGACGAAGATCTCTTTTCATTAATTTAATTGATATTTAAAATTATTCTCTTGAGCGTAGCGTAGAATCCATAAGACATCAGTGACGATAGAAACGTCCATTTTTAGTGTTTTTGAAGCCATTAACAAAATTAAAAATATTACAAGCGACAATATTTTCCTCATTAAATTAGAACAAACACAGAAACTATAAGCATGTCTGATTCTGAATCTAATCAAGAATTCGAGAGTGTCAAAGATGGAGATTTTGATGCATTAAAAGGAGCTGAAGAAAGTAGCGAAGAAGAACCGTTGGTGAAAAAAGGAAAAAAATCACCGAAAAAGACTAAAACAAGTCCAAAAAAATCTAAGTCACCGAAAAAGACAGCATTGAAATCTAAGAAAAATGCTTCTGCTAAAAATGCGAAGCCCAAGAAAAATAGCAAAAATTTGAACGTATCTTTTGTTGAACCAGAAGATCCATTAGCTGATTGTGGAGATTCAGATAATCAAAGTGAATCTGAAGACGAAAAGGAAAAAGGTGAAGAAGAATATGAGGTAAAAAAGTCATATTTTTCTTTCAAAACAATTGATGAAAGTATTAATGGATTTATCTTAAATTAGGTTGAAGCCATCGTTGGCCATCGTGATTACAATGGAAAGTTAATGTACAAGATTCGATGGAAGGGATATGACTCTATGCATGATACATGGGAAGAGTATAACGCTTTATCATGTCCTGATTTATTGGAAATGTACAATTTTAAGGTAACCAAGAAGTTTCAAGTCTCATAAACTTTGACTAATTTTTCTATTTTATTTCAGCATGGAATAAGTTTAAACTCTTTTCACAAAAAGAAGAATCAAAAGCGAAAGGCTGTTGGAAAGAAAGCTGGACGAAAGAAGAAGCCTAAGAAACGTCGCAGCTCATTAACTGATGAAGATGAGGAAGAGGAAGATGAAGAAGAATTTCACAGTGGTGATGGCGATGACGGAGATGGCGAAGAATACGAAGTGCAAAAAATTATTGACATGCGAAATAAAAAAGACGGAACACGCGAATTTCTGGTTCACTGGAAACGTTGGAGTAGTGATCATGATACTTGGGAACCAGAAGATAATCTCAACTGTCCCGATATCATTGAAAAGTTTTTGAATCAGCTCGAAACCAATAAGAAGACATCAGCAAAAGAGCTTCGTATAGCTAGAAAGCACACTGAACGATTCACACTTCAAACTCAAGAACATGGTCGGCGTTTGTCTAAACGACATACTGAGAAACAAAGAGTTAAATATTTCGATGCAGACGATGACGAATAGGAAGTGTAATGTTCAACTTTTCCTTTCTTTATAATGTTTACATTCAAAAAACAATTTAATGATGAATACGAAAATTTCATCGTATTCCCTTTCATCACAAATTTCTTTTCCCTTTTTTTATTATAATGTAAGTTTATGTTAATCTCGTCGTAAAAACATACAAACATTAACATAAGAATAAGTATTCTCTTAAGATGCTGTCATTCAGTAAAAATTTATTCCTGAACATTTAATAAATAAAATAACTACGATAGAAATTTAAATTTTCTTTTATTTCCTTGTCATTAAAAATGTTGAAAGAAAACTTTGAACCTGCAATGAATTATAATTTAAAAGCTCTACCGGTGCACCGGTGGAATAATATCAACATGCACTTCATCGAGTCATTATGAGAATTAATTTTGCGCTCTGACGAAGGAGAATTTTTAATTACCTAACATTGGAAGCAGGATTTGCTTAATTTAAAAGAAATAAATAATAACTTAATTTGAACTACACATGTGATGAATTAAATTTTTATTATCGTGTGCCTGCAAAATCATTGGAAGAAGAAACAAATTTTCCAGTGAATGAAAATTTTATTCTCAAAATTTTCCTTTGGAAAATTTCTCTTATTCTGGTACTGCAAAAATGATGATATGAGAGAACTTTATGCTTCATTTCATGCCTTCTCATTGATGCCCGAGCTTTTAAAGAAGGAAGTAACATTTTCATTCTTCATCCTGAAACTCATAAGAAATTTACGTCATTTTTCGTTAGATAAAAGTTATAATAATAAGGAAGGCAAGAAGAAATAATTAAATATCAAAGTTTAGGAAAGTTTGGTTGCCATTTAATGATTTTAATTGGATTTTAGGAACACAACATGAAATATGTTTTCTCTTCACATCTAATTTTATTTTACTATTATTTGGACGAGGTAGAAATAATTCTTTTCCTACTTAGTTGGCTTCCAAATTTAAGTTGAAATTCATATCCTTAGTCTTGTTTGTTGTTCCCCAAAAAGTTTTTGTTTAGTCCCAAAAAGTAGGAAGGAAAATAAAAAGAGATAATCTTATTTTGTTAGATCTTATTATGATCTCGAAAGAGTTAAAAGCAACAGAATATAGAACAAGAGTGGCGCCAGGTTGACATAAAGTTTATAATTTTTGTAGATTTTTTATTCTTATGCTTCATTATATAATTTTTATATGATGATAACTAAATATTTTCAAGGATAAAAATAAATCACGAAGTAGAAGGAAATCTTTTGTGTTTCCTTTTTTTATGGGTTAAGGAAAGAATGAAAAAAAGGTTCAGAAAGAGAGTAAAGTATACGGCAATAACATATCATCGGTGATTTGATGCTTCTCTATACCATGCAAATTCAAAACCACACACCAAGAAACCTCTTTTCTTCACGAGGATCTAATTTGAAATTTATGCTTGTAATAAATTAGATTTGATGTTGTAAATTGTTTACTCTTTCTTCATTAGGATGCTTAAAATCATTGCCTTACAGCTTAACTAATAAGATCAAAAATTTCTCATATTCTATCCCAAGAGTAATTAATGAACATTGCCCTAAGCTAAGATTTTCTTTTATGTTCTTTAAATTAATATTACTAATTTTATTGAAAATTATTGATGAACAAAAGGAAAATTGAATTGAATCGATTAAAGGAATATATTTCCATTCCAATAAAGTCGATTGCTTCTCGCTTTTCTGTCCCCTCAAGTAAAATTGCTTTCATAAATAATCAAGTTGAGAGTAAATGGGGAAGATCAAAGTAATTTGCTTGCCAGCATTCATTTAATTTACTTGCGTAAAGCAAAACACGAGAAATCAAATGAAAGAGAAGTTTTCTAAGTGACAAAAGAATGCTATTCAAGATGTTTTCACGATTGAAAATCATGGAACTGAAAATACTTATAAAGAGAAAAGGAAAGTTTTGTACGATGTTCCACTCAATAACTTCTGTAGAATTTTCATTCATTTCTAACACTCGGTATTTTGATCAAAAGATATAACTAGAAGAATCAGAAAAGTTTGGCGTTTATTTTCATTACACGTCGAATAAAAATCGACATTCTAATGATGTAGACATGTGCTCGAAATGATGCAAACCTCAATTCGTTCAAGTTGATGAACTTTCAATGCTTGGTGGGACAGAAGAATTGAAAATGTTATCAAAGCAACATAAATTTATAATTGAGTTTAAAGTTTCTTAGAAAAGTTGGAAACCAAAATTTTGTTTTATTAGACGTTCTGCTCTTTATGAGAGTTTTGATGGACTTTTCTGCTTTCTTGTTTTTCTTCGTTATTTACTGAAAGTGCTTTTCAGTATGATTTTTTTCAGCTCTCATTTTCTTCACAAAGGTTTTCCATAAGATGTGTCCCAAAAGGTTGTCATATCGTAAAATAAATGTCCTTTTATGGCACACACACTTATATTCTTCTCTTTTATCCAAGGTAAACGTGGAAAAAATTCCACAAACAAGAAGAACTGCTGAATATATCATGCACGGACATGTTTTCCAGCCATAATGGAGACATGAGATGCAAATGGGGTCAACGATATGCAAAATTTATGAGACTAGTAGCTTTCTCGATGCAAATTATCATATAATTTGTCACATCACACCTTATAAAAGGCGGAAGAAAGAATTGAAACTTGTTACAAAGTTCTTTGTCTGCAAATTGCATTTTCAATTTGTCCCAAAAGTGAATTGAAGTCACAACAGAATTAAATGCAATGTGATCAATCGTATAATGTACATTATATTGATTAATTTTTCTTTCTTTTTGTTGCCTTCTGAATGTTCTTTAACGTCCACTGCCTGGAAAAATAAACGATGGGACGTTATCGCGAAATGGCATTAATTCCCTAAGAAAATTAAAAATTATGAAGCAATCTTGTGATTTCTTTAAAATGAAATATTTTGTTCGCTTCAATGTTGTGTACGCTCCATTTGGTCTCAGAAGGCTTTCATTGTTCCATCAAAATTGAAGAAGTTTGAGGGAAAATGAGGTGGGCAACAATTGATGAAGATGGCAACAGGAAATTTGTCGAAGCGTCAGAGAATTGTGAAGGAGCTAATGATGCTGAAAGAGAAATTTACGAAAAGCCAAAATTGGTGTCATATTTTTTCCTTTTTTTTCATCGCCATCACACTCGGGGATGAAAGAAGCAAAGAAACTTTGTCATCATTCCTTTCGCTTACGCTTTTAAAGCAACATCTTTTCTCTTTTACTTGATGTATATATCATGCTTACCAAAGTTTTAAATCATTTAATAAATCATTTAAATGGATATCGATGAGATGAGACTGTGAGATTGTTTATGCAGCATGACTCGGCACTTAATAAACAAACAACAATACTGATGGAAATTGAAAATTATAATATTGAAATGATTCGATAACAAATAAAAATGAAATTGACAGATTAATTATAAATTCCAGACAAAATAAAGTTTAAAGCTTTCATTTCATTTCTAGTGTTTTCGAAGAGCTTCTCGTCTTCTTTCGATTTGTTAGCAATAGTAAAAAAATTCTTGAAAGAACTTAAAGAAGATTCATTTCCTTTTCAACTTCGACCATTCTTCTCATTTTATTTCTATATCTATATATTCAAACGATTGAGGAGTTTAAGAGATTTAATCTGTTTGCAACAAATATTTAAGCGTTTAAAGAATTCAGTAGAAAAAGATTATTTCCTTTCATTCCTTTCCTTTTTTTATTTAAATATCAAAATAATCTTTCGTTGTAGATTTAAAAGCAAATAATTTTTCGATACTGTTTTGAAATAATTTTAATTTCTTATCGAGCCCGATGAGCTTTCTGAATTTCAGATAACTCAATAAAAACAATATTTTTCAGTACTTGCGGCAAAATTTATTCAAATGACTTTTTTTTCTTCTTTTTTCTTTTTTTACGTTCCACCCCCGCAGCTTGATAGGAGAAGAAGGCAACATTACCGGAAAGGACGAAATAATTTCCATGCCAGATACGAAATCGATATAAAAATCACACAGAATAATGTACTTAAAATCCGATTTATGACTATTCTTTTGCAAACTTTTAGCATTTGTGATTCTCAATTCTTTTTTTATTTTATGTTTTTTTCCTTAACTTAGATACATTTATTTTAGTGCTTCAAACGCCACAATCGATTAAATATTCCAAGCACAACTTTAATATTCCATATTTTGCTGCCATCGTTGGTTCAACATAGATAAAACGATGAAGACTTAGTGGAAAAATGAAAATACATTCATTGTCTTACGAGTTTTCTTTTGAGGGGGGAAGAAAATCCAGGAAAATCCACGTCGTTGTGAAACATGAAGAACCGGCAGGGGAAACGATTTAATATCTGGTTCACATAAGATGAAAATTAAAATATGATTTCTCAAAGATTAACTTGAAGCGAAGCAGTTACTTTTTTCAATATTCAATGTTTTTCTTCGTGTTAACTCAACTCAACTCTGTTCAACTCTCTGATAACATTTTTCCTTTTATCATAACAACGGTTGGGTTCGTCTTTCCATTCTGATGCACGAAGCTTATTTTCTTTTCATGAAAAATGAAATCAAAAGCTTTTTTTAATTTAACGTTGAGGTGAAACAGTTGATTGGAGATTTTTTAAAAATAAATCCCTTCATCTACGCTTTCATCCTTTCTTTGAAAAGTCCATCGTCTTAATATTTATTCAGGGCAAAAGTTTATTCAAATTCGACACTTTAATTAACCGTTCCCATTCCATTATATGATGGCACTTAAATAAAGTAACGATGGGAACTTGACCAAGTTGTAACACATCAAAGCAACATTTTACGTTAAAAGTATTTATAGCTCATTCTGTCCTAAATCTTTCCAAAGCATCGTTCACGGCCTGAAAAGCGCGTGTTTTTCTTTCTCGATTTGTTGCAAAATTAATTAACAAAAAAAGAGAAAAAAGGTAATGTTTCGGTTTTTTCCCAAAGAAAAATGAAAATCATGGCTAGATGGAGAAGGAAAAATCTTTTCAAGTGGAATTTAATTAAACTAAGTAATGAAAGAGAGCAGCTGAAAGTCTCTTTTTTTTCTGTTACCATCTTTTCTGCATGAGAAACCATCGTTTTTTATTCTTCCTCGTCCTCCATGCTCGTTTGTCGTGTAATGAAGTTTTTCATGTTTCTTCATTTTTTCTAACACTCGAGTTATGTGGGAACATGTTGAATACTCTTCCTGACGCTGATGCAGCTGCTGATACGATTTTATTAAAAAAATTAATTTCTCTACACCGTTCGACAAGAGCAGTAAGCGAGAAGTCGCAACCGCATTTAATTATGTAATTAATGTGAAACTTTCTTAATTTTTGGTGGTGCTGAAAAGAATCGGGTGATGTTGAATGTAAAATAAAACAATTTAAATATTGCCTTCTTTTGCGGTACGATATAGGAAGGAAACGAAGAGAGCATAAGAAACTTTTTAATGGCTGCGAGACTTTTTTAATTGGGTCACAATTGAATTAGCGCACAAGTGATGTGGGTGAAAATTATGAAAAAAAAGAAAACAAATACACACAACTTCTCTTCTCTATTTTTCTTTATAATAAAAACATTTTTCTTTAATTAATTTATGTTTGTTTTTCTTTAATTTTTTTTCTGATGTCTTAATTTGTTCGTATAATTACAATCGCACAAGTTTAATTTATTTTTTGGTATAAATTGCTTTCTTAAATGATAAATAAATTTGTTTAAAAAAGACGTCACATTAGAGACTCGAAAGTTGACAAAACTGTATTCAATAATGTTGCATATGAAGAATTATAAATGTGACGTGTTATTCAAACAGCCCTCAACATATAACTTTTCTTTACCTTAGTTCGATTAAAAATCTTTTTCACAATTTATTATTGACTTAACAGATACATAAATTAGACATTTCTTATGCCTTAATCGATCGATGACAATAAATTTTGCTAAAGCTCTTGAGGGCAGGATTTTCGACAATTTCTTTCACTTCTTTTTCCTTAATATTTGATTTAATGATTACGACCTGTTTTGTTTCTCAAGAGATTCAAGCACAATAAAAACATATTTTTTCTAAGATTCTTCATTCACTTTGCTTCTCCATTGGAATCATAGAATGATACAAATCTAATCGTATCTGCAACATTTAACAAAATTGTGCTACTGGAACAGATAAAACTAAGAGTCGAGAAGAAAATATAGAATTTCGATAAATTAAGTTTCGAAGCAATAGGAAAATCAATTTGAGAGCGACGAGAAGAAAAGGAAGAGAAATCGAAGAAAATTCAATAAATTGGAATGGAATTCGATGTTCCGTTGTTAGTCGTGGAAAGAGTGAAGAAGAAAATTCACATGACAAGAGAATTTCTCACTGGTAACTCCCAAAATTCTACTGGAGACAGGCTGATAACGACAATAATATTGAATTAGAGTTCAAAGGATACACGCGCTGTGAAGCATCGATAAAGAGTCTTGAAATACGATTATGAATTAAAAATAAAAAGGGAAAAGGAAAAATTGTAATAAGAACATTAAAGAATAAAAAGAAAACTTTGAAGAGTTGACGAGGCATTGTGGAAAATATTTTTCCCGTTGAGTAGACAAATGTCGATCAATAAATTTTCTTTGTCTCTAGTTCCAAATGTTACCAATCATGTTTTAAGAAATTGAAAAACGAAGAAGAATAAAATAAGAAAAGTAATTTCACCGTCTCTAGCCAAATTGCTTCGAATATATAAATTTTTAATAGATTTTCTTCTGTTTGCCTTTTTTTTTTGTTCTGACTATTGAAGTCGATATAAATCATGAAATAGTTTGGAAGGAAAGCATTCATATATCTCTAATTCGTGTACTATTGTACGTCTTTGGTTGATTCTCAGACTTTCATTTATGAGTGCTTTTTCCTATGGAATTTAAATGTTGCTGGTGATTAAGAGTTGCTGAAGTCATGGTGATTATGATTCAATTTTCCTAGCTACAGTTATGCACAGAGGTCCACGAATAATTCGCATCATTTCTATAATTTCTTGTGTTGGACGAGCATCGACGATTTCGTCATTTATCTTTCGGATCGAATGGAGAAAAGAAAGAGAGAAGGAAAGAGAATAGTTAGTGAATCAATTAGCTTGATAACATCTTCCATTAGAGTGGACAAAATTAATCAATTTAACTCACCATCAGAACTCGATCACCTGAAACTAATCGACCATCCCGCTCGGCCAACGTATCTTTACAAATCTCCTTAATTACTGTAATTGACTTTAGTGAGTCTTTCGATGCCAGTTGACTTTCAAGACGTATCCCTAATCGACAACTCCAACGACGATTCATTTCGATTGTAATTATCTGTTTATCGCATTGAATGAAAAAGAAATGAAAATTGGAAATTAATATCTCAATTATCTCTCATTCACAAGAGATTACTTAACACTTAAATTGACAACATGTCTTACCTTAAATTCTTTACAATCGATACCCATTTCGTCTAGATTTAAGTCCTTTTGAGCATTACGAATGGAAATTCTTTGAATCGATGGCATTGGCGAATTGTCCCCAGCTTGAGACGAAACCACTGAACATTTATCATCGTCATCGTTAGACATTGTGCCCCCCTTCCATTTTAACAAATCCCCACCCCCCCCGCCATAAGCTCCATCGACGACATCATTACTCTGTTTGTGATTGATTTGCACCTGAGCTGATTGATAGAGTGGCTGATTCTTGTTGAATTTCGTGACATACAAACATGTATCGGTATCATCTTCATCATTAAGCGATTTCTTCAAATCATTTTCCGTTTTGCATGCCAACAAAAGTGTCTCACAAGGTAAGCTTGTAAATGTATCACCATCATTAGTGTTGTCACCACCACCACCATTTATTCCCATGTTATATGACGTCGGAGCATCAAGCACAGCATTGTCCAAATTATTCAGTTCATAAGCGTTGGCAGTTGCAATTGTAAATTGATAAAGTGGCTTTCGTGATGCGACTGGCGTCGATCCACTTTGTGTGTCTAAATTTAAATGTTCGGGACGTTTTAATTGACCTTCTTGTGATTCACCATCATGCTCTAATTTCTCCAATTCATCGCTATCATAATAGCCTTCACCATCATCATCATCCGGAATAATTCTCACAAGTTCATGTGGATCATAATACTGCATTCTTTGTGCTTGTGATATAACAGTGAGAGTATCAGCAGATGAATCTGAATACGGTGTCATTGTTCCACTACTTGTACCTTCAGATATGATATACGTTTGATTGTTTGGATTGCTACACATTGAAGTATTTGACTTAAGAGTTGAATCACTTGAATTGTTTGCTTCTGAGTCTTGTGCGCTTGTAATTGAACATTTTATGTTATTCTTACGAAGACGACGTGGTGATGATGCAGTGTTCAATGATGACTGAAATGATGAACTTGCGGAATTCCCATCGGATGATGATTGAGTGTTTTTCTTACTCGCAAGATCGCTTAGAAGATTAATGGCTTCAGGTCGGAGATTGACCTTGGTACGTTTGAGTGTACTTGTACCGGCATATGATTTGTAATCAGAATCTGATGGCGATGTTGTTGCTAGTGACGTTTGTCCATCATCTCGATACAATCGAAGCTTGACAGTATCCGGTGCTTGTCGTAAAAATATCACAGCTTGTTCATGAGTCATATTAGTGATTTGGATGTCATTCACGGCTACAATTTTATCGCCTGCGTTGATTCGACCGTCTGTTGTTGCTGGCTCTCTCACCAGTGCTCGAACATAATGACCAACTACCGATTCATCCTCCTTCTGAAGCGTAAAACCCAATGAGCCCTGCTGTTTTACAAGCGTTATTTCGAACTCCTAAATCGGAAGAGATGAAAGCATTTTCATTTTAAATTTGTCATCATCAACAACACAAAATGCCTGAGGGAGGAAAAAAAGAAGAAGAAAGAAATGTTGAAAAATGAGCTTACCCCAGGTGGTAAAATCGATTCAAGTTGATTCATATACTGTTGATGCTTAAAATTAAACGAAGAACGCATGGGTGGAATTGGTGGTTCAGCAGTTGGCGGTGACAATTTACGAAAATGTTCATCATGTGGTCGGCACACTAGTAAATTCACATCGTTTGCCATGGTACGCAACACTTCGAGCGCTTCCTGTAGATAGCAAAAGATGAATTCATGTTTAATTTATGATTATGTGTGATGTTATTTTCATGAAAGCGCGACGACTCGTTTTATGTTTATATCGAAAAATTGTGTTATAACATTTTATGAAAGCTTCTTCACATTTGGGAAAAGCTCTTTTTGATGGTTGCCACTTGGTTGAATAAATTGTTGTTTTTAGTTAAGAATGTGAGTCTATGAAGTTATCCAAGATTGTGTCACAATTTTCTTTCAAAAAAATATTTCATTGAATATCGAAATTGGAGTTAAATTTAATCAAAAAATATTTTAAATTTCTTAATTGAATAAAACTGATGGATGACAAAACTGACAATTCAAGCCCAATCCTAAAAGACTCCATTCATTTTACCGCAAAGCTTTTGACACTTAGTAAAGTGATTCATTGTGTTGATGATAATTTTATCATTTTTTAGAAGTAACTTTTAGCATTTTATTATATCTACTTACATTGTTTGTGAGTCCCGTTAAAATGATGCCATTAGCTTCAAGTAAAATGTCACCCGGCTGAAGTTTTCCGGTTGCCCAGGCAGCTTGATGGGGAAATAAGCGCTTAATCCTGACAAGGCCTGGATATGGAGCGTTCGAATCGATACCGCCTGATACTGATAAGCCCAAGCCTCTCGGTCCTTTTATAATCTCTACATTAAATGTGCAGTCTGAAATGATTAAAGATGGGAAAGCACATCATTAGAATGTGCGGACAAAAAGATAAATAAAAGCGGAGAGGAAAAGCTATTTTTAATTTTCCTGATTGAAATAAATGAGTGGAAAAGCATTTCCTTGTCTCATCCATGTAGATTTTGAAATTTTAGAAACAATTTTCGTTCTTCATGTTGATGATGTTATCTTATTTCTTGAAAGAACTTTCAACTTATGCAACATCGTTCCACATTTTCAGAAAATTGTTGTTCAAAGAGTTTTTTATTTATAAAAAGAGATTAAACATTAAATATTCAGTAGAATCAAAAGGCTTTCATGCAACAGAAGATTAGTCCTTTTGACAGTACTCTAGGGAAGGATATGAATGTGTTTGAATGAGTGTTGCCATGTGAAGCTAAGTTATGTTCAAAATGTATGTTGATATGAATGAAATCATTGCAATTTTGGTGTGGAATGAAGCGAAAAGCTTTAATTTCCTTTTTAATTTATAATCTTCTAGGAAATATTTTTCGAGTTGGTTTCCATACCATTCCAATAATACTTGAAAGCTCTTCATTATTCTCTCTAGGAATTATTTGCTCATGACTTAGCATGATTGTTTAATATTGATTAAACTTTGTCTGTTAAATATACATAAATTGAAATCATCTTTCTACTTAATCACGATCATTTTCAAAAGCTTTTCACGAATATACGTTAAGTAAATATTCTAGCTTTCCTGTCACGTAATTTATTAAAATTGCCTTTTAAAGTCTTAACAAATCTCATAGCGAAACGAGCTGAAATTTGCATCGAAATGAATGCTTGTTCCGCCTAATTTACCCTCGCTTTGTCATAATCTACCATCAGAACGTACACTTTTCATCGTTGTCGTAAGGAAATTTTGTTATCATGAATGCGTCAATGCCTTCGAGGGGTTAAGATGTTTCTAAGACTTACGGTTAAGTCCATAATGAGATTGAAATTTATGCTACGTTGACATTGTTATAGTCATAACAATCATCGTCAGTTAACAGAGACTGAAACAAAAGATTTGTAGTGTTGATAACATCAACGATGATGATGCTACAATTCCCGACTTCGTTATACAATCTTTTGTCATTTGTTGTCTTATTTAAGACTGATGCTGTTTTTGTTGTCGCCATGAGAATCAGAACTGCCTTTATTGTTAAATATATAAATATTTTCATCCCTCGCAATTACGTTGATATTGTGGAATGTTTAACTCTTTAATGAAATGAACTGTCGTCGAAAGAAATTGAAAATTCATGAAGACTATTAAGTAAAGAGCGTTTGTATCTTTATAAAACGAAAATATGTCAAAGTAAGAGGGTAAACTTTTAGATCATTTACGAAAAAAGAAAAACTTTCAAAAGTCTTCAAAGAGATTTTTCCCTGTTAACTATTCGAGTGAAAATAAGTATTCGCCTCATAACTTTATTTAACTGAGATATTTAAGAGTCGACGTAACACCAAGAGCGAACATTTTTCTTAGATTTAGCAGAGAAACGTGCTTTTGTATTTGGTCGGAAATGTTCAGTTAAAATAAAAATGAGTACTTAAATCACAAGACATGAATTATAGTGCACAGTGCACTATCATACAAAAAATTAGGACGCAAGAAGATGCGATGAAGAAGGAAAACTTTGTCCATGCATCACTTGAGAAAATAAGTAAGAAAAGAGAAGAAGAAAAGTCAAAGAATGAAAGGAACTTTCGTCTTCTAAAGCTGAGGTTTCTTTCTTTTCATTTTTTATAAATTGGAAGAAATTTTTGTGTGCTATAATTTTTCTTTCAGCGACAAAAACAACACAGAACTTCCCTTAAGACACTTTTAAGCACATTTTGTCTCGTTTAGAGAAGTGCAATTAATGTTTGTTGTTGGCAACAAAAGCAAGGAGAAATCAGATGGTAAACAAACAAGTTGTTTGGGCAGTTTTAAATTATTTTAAGTACCAAGCAGCAACACATTTTACAGAATAATAAAAAAAAGAGTCTTTGTTGGTATCGTTCGCACTTCCATTGTCATTGGGCTCAACGTTTGCATGTGGACAATTGCTGTTAATGGAGTTCTAATTGTTTTAGCTTTATCTACCATCATCCGCTAAGTGAGAAACTGTAAGAATTCATTTGCATATTTTGTTATCTGCATGCTTCGTTATTCTGTTACTGTTAAAGGCCATCAGAATGCCTTTATTCTCTTCCGTTCTAATCCCCCCATCTTCCAACTGCCAAAACTAATCTTCATGCAATACATCAGTGTCCAACAAGAAATCCTGTTAACATACATGTACATTCCTTATGGGAGTGGAGAAAGAAAAGTGTGTTGCTCTATACTACATGATTAAAATGATTTCCCAACTACTAAAAGCATATTATATGGCCGGACATCTAAGAAGAATTCATAACTATATGCTCGGACGTTCGGCATAGCGGATGTTAGAAGTACCGAGGGAAAGCAGGAAATCACTTGCTTTTATGAAATGTTATGATTGAGAGATTGATAGAAGGAGTAAAGCCTAAGGGTTAGATTCTTTCTTATAAAAGCAAAAGAATTTTACTCTTCGTCATATTTTCAGATTATAAAAATGTCTACAATTTTTTATTATTATCGTGCAATTTTTTTTCTGCTTTTTGTTTCGTGTGCTGGTAAAGTTTCATTCTTTCATTTGGGGGCATTTTTGTGGAATTAATTTTGTTGTTCTTCTTCATCTCTCCCATCGCTACTTTAACGAATAACGAATAACGAAAGAGAAAGGATAGAAATAAAAGTTTGAGATTTTGCTTTGCCTCTCGAGTGAAACATATGTAATCTTTCTTGAGATTTGAGAAGAGTGCGAAGTTTGGAAAGGAGAAAGTTCCTTTTTTATATCACTGCCAACCTGGCGCCAATTGTGTTGTTATTCTTTCGAAAGAAAGTTAAAAACATTTTGAGACATTTCACTCCGTTTTAGGGTAAGGCGGATTAAACAGCTTATAAATACGTAGAGAAAATATTCGTGCAACAGAAAACATTTTAATATAATGAACTTTAATTTCGTGAGATGTCAAGGAAATTTCCCCTTTAAAGGTTTCCGCAGAATGTCAAGACATGTTTATGGAATTGTTTGCTTTTAATTCAAATCTTGATGTTTTCATTATGTTTACGTTTCTTATATCCTTTCGTAACAGCTTTTGACAGCGTCAAGAGAAGCTTGTAGGTAATCCCTGACCTTTCTCCTTTTTCAATGAGAGCTGCGTTGGTTGATGAACATTTCAATGATTCCCAAAAGGAAACAGTAAAAAGCTTTTCTTCTTAACACACGTAAAAAAATATAAACACACTTACAGTATAAAATAAAATAAAAAAAGGAAAATATAAATGAATCTTTCATTACGCAATAAAATATGATAACATCGGCATCGTAAAAGCTAAACTGTCTCATTTGCGCACAAAAAAAATTATTCATATTATATTTTTACAGCAGAGCAAGCATCAACCAATTTTAAACAAAAGTATATTCACCACAGGTTCGCACCCGGAAAACAGTTCGAACATGCTTTTGTACTTTTTTTTTTCAAAGCTGATGAAAAATATGGAAAAATTGTTTCCGTTTGTGTCTTGTAAATGGTAAAAGAGAGAAAGAAAAAAAGAAAAGTTTTCCCAAAAAGATTTTCATTCATCATTATTTTTTTAACAACACGCATGAGAGAGCTTTCTGTATGCTACACGATATTGAGCTGGAAAACTTCTTCTCTAATAAGCCAAATTTGCAATTTCCTTTCCGCCAAAATCCCCTCTCGCTTCTGTTGAATCAAATCCCGCCTTATGAACGAGCAACGTGTGAGTCGAAAAAAAAGCGAAAAAAAGAAAAAACGAGTATAAAACTTTATGACAAAGCTTGACGGCAAAATCTAATTGAAACGCTTTTCTATATACGTAACATGATACCATCTGTGAGGAGCTTTCTAGCTGCATCTTTTCGATTTAGATGTTTGGGAAAGATGATGAAATTCAAATAATTTTTTTGATCTTATTTCTTATGAGCAGAGAAACAGAGAAGGAGAGAAATGTCGTTTTAGAATAGCAAAGGAATGAGATTTGAGTTCAACTTTTTATAGGTTTGTCTTACCTTCTGAGATAAAATCGTAATTTTGTTGAATTGCTTGCTGATGGAGTCTTTGTTGGACTTCCATTTCGAGCATTTCCTTTGAATCACCAACAAACCCTTGAGACATCATTACGGAGTTGACAATCATTGGGTTGTATTGTTGTTCAACATCAAGAATTGGTAATGGCGGCGGAATTTCATCTTCAGGTGACCTTTCTGAACCATATCCTTGATCATAGCATTGATCAATGACTTGAACGGGAGGATTCGGTGTAATAATTTTGTTGACTGACTGAAATTTCACTCGATTCCCATAGGCTGTAAGAAAAGGGCACAAATATAGATTATAAATTCATCTAACGTTGGAGGGAAATTGAAAAAATTAATTTATCATCTCCATGCACGAAACCATTTTTTTCCCTTAACATGATAACATAATACAACAAATTGTGAGAATATGTTTTAGATATCGGAAGCATCATGAATTACGTGAAGTATTTTTAAGAAGGGAAGTACGTGTATGACAAGTGAAGCCTCTCATAAGCTTTGAAGCCTTAACAAACATAATTCGAATCTTTTCGACTCAAGAGACCATCTTCATGTTGCCGTAAATGATTATTTGCGTAATTTATGAATACTCCCTCAAGAACAGGAAAAAGACGAACAGCAATAGTAAAATATGTCTTGAGAAAACCCAATAAATATCTTGAGAATAAATTCAGAAGCATGCATAATGTGTGTATAACATGTAATAATAGAAATCTTTCAGAAAAACATTAATTTTGGTTTACTTTGTAACCGTGTGCTTGAAGAATTTATTCAAGAAGATGCTGAGTAAGTAAAGTTTACAACTTTATTAAGACAGCTCATGAAGTTTGTTCTAGAAAAATATTTATAAACTTTTGCAACAAACACAAATTTCTCTCTAAATTCAATAAGCATTAATAAAACCACTAAAAGCATTTAAAGAGGAAGATATTTAGCAAAAATTTTATAAAAACAAAATGCAATAAAAGTAAGTTTGGGGAATGCAGATGAATAAATTATTCATGATACGATGGATATTTAGGATATTAAAAGAAGCGCTCCACTGTAAACAACTTTACTAAATAAATAGCTTCAAATGCTTTCCATCCATCTCATGATAGAATGTTAAAGGCATTTAGGATGTGTTGATGTACACGGATGTTATTTTCCTTCCTTCTATAATCCAATATGTAACATTGAGAGAAGCATTTTGTGATTATGTACTTCCGTTTTCAAAAACCTTTTTTCCACACGTTTTTCATTTTCACTTCCTGTAACTCAAACTAAAGTGTTTGTTGTTACAAATTTTCTCCTTTACTGAAAAGTACATAAAGCTAAATGGAGGGGAAGATAAAGTAAGTGAAATGCGCTACAAAGAATGTTGGTGATGATAAAATGAAAATACTTTAAAAGCTCAGTCCCTTGAGACAACAGAAAAATTACTTTTTCCTGTCAAATAAGAATATAAAAGTGAATCGTGCATCCTGAAAGATGATGAATTGTTTTAAGTGAGGGAAAAGTAAAGTAAAAGGTAAAACATCGAAGAAACAACAGCAGCAGTAGCAACAAAAAAAGAAAGAAAGAAAAAAACGATGAAAAACAAACAATCCATCGAATGAATGTAAGAAACGAAACAAATGAAAGCCAGGAGGATTTCTGTGAAATGTGTCTATCTAACTCGTAAATACATGTACAAGAAGAGGCTTTTTTTTATTCGTGTCAGTCACCTTGCGGTATCCGAAAGGAATTCGTTTCTTGAGAACGTAAAAAGTTTTCTCGAGCATAAGTGTTCGTGATACGAAAGGAATGATTTTGCTGCTTATAATGAACAAATGGCTGCTCCAACTGATATCGGTGTTGCTGCTGATAAATTTCGTCAAATTTACGAATGACCGACAGTTGAGGATTGTCATGTGATGTTGCTTTTTGCTGTAATAATACTTGATTTGATGGATATTTGCAAACTAGAATGATTAATTAGAAAAACAAAGTACACAAAATAGATAGAGATATGAGACGACTTTCAATCAATAGATAATTAGATTTTACAAAACAATCTCAAATAAGGTAAGAAGAGATTTAATTAATAGACAAAACATGTTGAACAATTTTAACAATGCGGTTTCGAATTTCAAGTCTTGAAAGCTTAACTATCGTAAATCTTTTCTTTTCTCTTGTCTTATCAGAGATTATCTCATTATTCATTACTGTTTGCTATGCATGAGATATTTTAAGTATTAATCTATGTATTTACTTCTGAATGAACATTTTACATTGATTTCATCAAGCAAATTACCAACTTTACCGCAAATTGCCTTTCAAGGTTTTTATTTGCAATAAAAATTTTCCTCAATACATACTGATTGTCTTTAATTGACAACTGAACAGAAATGAGCAAAATAGAATCGGAAATGAACTTACCACTGCTGTTTGTATCATCGCTTCCCTCGTAATCAACATCAGTATCCAAATGATTTGGTAGACTTCCATGCAATTTTTTACGATCTTTTGATGTGCTTTTTGATTTTTTCGGCTGCTTTAACGTACCCGTATTGACATTTGAACATGATATTATTTGATCGATTCCGTCGAATTGTTCATTTCTGTTACTTTTGCTATTGTTGTTGTTGATATTATTATTATTGAGCGGCTTTTTGTCGCAGTCTTGTGAATGATTGCTGTTCTTTCGTCCTGATTTTGCATTGTATTTCGAGTTTGTCGAGCAGCATATACCATTGGTTATTGATGATTTGTTGTTGTCAATGTTGCCTGAAACGACAAAAAGGGACAAGAAGGAGAGAAAAAAATGAAGGTCATCAATATTTCAAAGTGCCGTACATAAATTTTAAAGCAAACAAAGCTTATTTTCATGACAATCGCAACTTTAACTTCGTTCTCGTGCATGCGACAAGAGAAGGTCGAAAGAAATCAAGAAAACGAAAATTCGCCTACGAGTGAAGTCAAGCAATTAATATGACTTTTCGACTCAACTTAACATCTCATAAATGAAGAAGGAAAAATCTCCATTGTATGAGATGCTACAGCGCCTTGTGTCTTCCTGCTTACGACATCAAAAATTCATTTCGTTTTCTCGAAATTCATGAGATCAAAGGGATCAAAAGAAATACGAAAGAAAAAACACAGAAAATAAAATATTGCGAATCTTGAATACAAAAGAAATGAGAGAAGGAAAGAAGGGAAAAGGAAACTCACTTGATGATTGTGTTCGACGCCCTGATAATCCTTTCCCACCAGCTGTGGAAACATTGGATCCCATATTTTTCTGTGTGCGTGCCGATTTGTTGATTGTTTCATTTATTTGCTCTTTGTAATTGCAATCAAACGTTGACTGAAAGTCAACCTCATCATAATCAGCTTCCACGGGTGTCTTTGATCTTCGATTTGTATTATTGGCACGTTCCGAACGACAATTGTTAATTGTTTGAAAGCTGCTGCTGCCGTCTTTCAGAGAATGTTGGTTAGCAGTTTCAACTCCCGAAGATGACACTAAAGATTTAAAGTTGCTGCTATCGTGTGGTAATTCAGCTTGATTGTAATGTAATGATGCTAAACGTTTCACCAATAAAAGGAAAACCTGAAATGAAAAGTTTTTGGTTTGAGTTTTCTTTCTCTTAAATAAACAGAACGTAGCTTAGGTAGAAAGCAATCTTTTCCTTTTATATATCGCATGAGTTGCTATCGAAGAAATAAATACAAACAGAAATTTTCGAGCGTGGAAATATGTGAGAAAATGAATTTTCGATCTGAAGAAAATGAAGGAAAAATAAAATCTTGAAAAGCCAATATAATAAAAAATGTTTTTTTACGTGTGACAAACAATATTTTTGTTATCAGACACTACATTGGCTTCTATGATTTCATCATGAACTCTGCATGTATGTATGGTAAAGTGTTGGAGTGAAAAACTTCCCCTAAATCAAGGGTAGGTTTCAATACCAAGAAAAGCTTAAAAAGCAATGTGGAATCGAATTCCATTAAAAATTAATCTCTAGCAAATGCGGTAAGATCAGAAGAAAATGGGTTGATATAACTTTGTGAAAGTCGTCATCAGAGTTGATTTTGATACCAAAAGAAAGGTTCCCAAATGTCACAAAGGAAAATAATCTCGTAACAAGAAACAATCTTCATTGTTGACATTAAAAAGTAATAGAAAGATTTGTATATTGTGTAACTTTCATTAAGCGTTGCAAATATAAATTAAAGACGTAAATAATTAATGAATTGTTTATTTAATCAACAAATTAAGTACGTCAGTAAACATATGAAGATATTTATTTGACTTTGACACTCCTCAAATAGAATTGAACACCTGTCGATACAAATTTGATTTGTTCAAGTAGTTTGCATGAATTTCAATCAATTCCCCTTTGAAATATGTGTCGGAAATAATGTCATCAGTTGAGTCGTTACAATGTAAAATGGATCAAACTCTGTGTATTTGCATGAGTAATTTCCTCAATAAATTTATACGCAAACAGACAACAAGAATCGGAAGTGTGATGTGTTTGGGGTAATGGTGAACGCAATAATTTCATATCCAGAAGGATCCTAATAATTCAATCAGAATTGCTTTTAAATCGGCATCTAAACGAGGCAAATTGATGGGCAACCAGTTTTTCTGACCATATGCGTTAGAAAGAATAGGATGAGAGAAACATCATAAATTTTGATGTTTTATGCCAGTAAGGATATAAATCTAAAGTCGATTTATATGACATTAATATCAATTTCATTCCCAGACTCGTATAAATCAATTTGAGATGTAAGAAAAGAAGAAAAAGGAAAGCAAAAATGATTTCTTAAACCAACATAAACATAATGTGTTGCTCAATTCGACATAAATAACATAACACTCCATACCTCATCAGGATTGACAGATTTCGAGTCGTCTAAAAATCGATTTGAATCACTTGTGACGTTTTTAATATCTTGACTGTCAATTATTCTCGCTGTGCTTGGTTGTCTAAGGTTCGTTCCACTGCTGCTACTTCTCAACGCAATGAGCTTATCTAAGAAAAGAAAATTAATGAAAATAATTAATTAATGATGCTGATAATGAATTGACATTGAGATGTCGGGAAATATATCTTCACGTAGATACATGGATGAATTAAAACAAATCTTATGAATAAGTCATTAAGTCGCTTACACGATAAGTTTATTATATTAACATCATGAAATCTCGACAATATACTTTGATGCTTGACTTCTGTTTTTCAAATGTTTTTCATTAAAACAACGAATGAAAAACCTTCCATTAATTTCATTCACATTCACATCAAGAGCACATGTGAAAATCATAAACGAATGAAGTTATTGCTTAGTTAATTTTACTGTTCCGAATATTTTCTCAAGACGCTAGTTTCGCGCAATTTTATTCAAACCTTTTAGCTGTTGAATAATTAAATTTCTTCTATTCACATTATTTACATTTCACTCCGACGAGAGTGATAGCTGAAGAAAAGAGCTTTTGAGCTCGAGTAACTTTCACGCTTCATTTCACCTTTTAAGAAGAATTAAAATACTTTAATGATTTTTCCTCAATTCAGAACCTTATTTAATGAGAAGAGAATGAAAATTGTTTAATGTTGCTCATCTGATATTTCTCATGAATTTTCACAAACTTTTGTTCAATTTTTATTCAACATTTTTCCATGTAGTCAAACAAGAGACGAGAAGAGAAAAAAGAAATTTGCGGGACAAGGAAATTTGTGGAAAGTAGAGTAAAAAATAATAATAACAAAGCAATTATCTCATGAAACGTCCGACGAGATTCGAATAATAGTGTTTGCGCTCAATTAAGGATGAGCATCATCAGCCACAGCACAACAGTTTTATTTTCCGAAAGGTGCTATAATTAATTTATTTTGAGGTGATTTACAATTTTAATTTGTTGTGCATAAAACCGTGCAATGAGAAACTTCCACTATTTTCATGTTTTGAAAAGCAAGGCAACAAATCTCTGTTTCATATTTGTGAGAAAGCTATTTAATTTAAGTTAGGAAAATAACTGCAGTTTGTGAAAGGCAGAATATGGTAAAGGATATTGTTTCAGGGACAATGAATCAATGATGTTTTCCTCTTATTTATGCTTAAAGTTTTTTAATTGATTCCTTGCTACATATTGTATGAAATAAGGAGATTTTCACAGATCACCGACTAAATGTGAAAAGTTTCAATTGATAAAGGTAACCTACAGACATCTCTAACAAATTCATTCATACGGAAAATGCTTTTCAGTTTTCCCTCTTTTGTTGTCGAAAAATCTCGTCAAAATCCAGGAATTTAGTTTAAATTTCTTCAATTTATTGCAGAATAAAGCAAAGTATGGACAAAAAAGAAAGTAAAGCAAAGTAAAACAATTTTCCTGCTTTAAAATATTTATAAAGAAAGGATAAAAACAAATAACAAAGTTTCGTAACAAAACCGGTGGATCTTTTTCACCTCCTTCACTTCTTTCATTTTTTTATATTCTCCACTTTTTCTTATTTCTCACGATCCTTAAGGCTTAAGAAAGAGAGAAAAATGGACGTTCTAGGTAGTCCTTCCGGATAAACAGTAAAAAAAAGAAGTTATTCAATGTTCGTTGTGTCTCTACATGGAATTCCAAATCAACCTCATCTTGCCTGCTCTTCTTTTTCTTCTTCTCTTTCGTATTTATAAAAATATCTTAATGTCTTCTATTGAGTAATCCAAACAAGTGAAACAAAATTTTTTAAAGGTTTATTCAAGCAGGTAAAAGAGAGTCATTAAGTGCTTGACATAAACATATTATGTACGTATAAAACGAAAGGAAGTTTAGAGAGAAACAGAAGAACAAGTCGAAAGGTTCATCCTCATAAATCAAATAAAGTTTGCTGCTTTAGGGTTGACAAAACAATAAAAGCCAAAATTCTGTAAATGATGAATGGGAATTTGCGTGTTTCTATCACAATTTACATTTCATGTCTTTAAAGTGGTTAATGTATCGAAGTTATGAAATTTAGTAATTTACGTTAATTTCCATCACCCGTGAACTATTGAGAACGCTTTGCTGCCTCTTACCCATCATGAAATCCAATTAATAAATTTTGCTCGCTTTCTGCTTGATTTGCTTTATGCTTTCATACTTTCATTCACTGAACTAAAGTTTTGACTTTTCGATCGACACACTCTGCTTTGTATTTCAAGTTTCGGAAATTTCCATTCTGCTGTTTGTTCTTTTTTTTATTGTTTCAATTTGTATTACGTAAATAACTTCCGTTTTCCGTTTCGACCTCTTAGTTCGTGCCGAACGTAATATTTTTATGACTGAAATATATGCGAATATTTGTGTTGAATTACAAAACGAACTGATGTGATTCCTTTACAGATAATTTTTTTTTTTAATTTCAAATTTAATGTCGTGTGTTAGCTCAAAATCTCACTTCGTCTGACACACGCCACTGCACGGATTTTTTTATGTTGTCTCAGCACTTATTTCGTAACCGATGAAGACCGCGTTATGCTTTTTTCTCTCTTTTCTTTTATTTTTATTTTGGACGGAGGGATTTTGAAATCACTTGTCAAAAAAAAAAAAATTTGAATCTCTCTGATAAATGTCACATATGATGCAATAGTTTATGGCATTTGTTTCTTTTCTCCTTTCTTTCTCGTAGCTATTTTGAAACGTGCATACTTTACTTCACGTAAAATAACTTTAAAGTGAGTCACTGTTGTGATATTAAATCTTTATTGCTTTATTAAAAGTTATATGCTGTTCTCACACATGCATATGGCACACATTTCTTCACAATACTCCACATGAAAGGCTTTAAAAGCTTTATTATTCTCCCTGCACGACTTTTATTATAAACGCAAAGGTAAACATTAATTTTTCTTGATGAGTCATAAAGTATCACCTTTCATTACGTGAAAACTTTTAAATTATTCATTAGCACATTCACATCAAAACAATTTCCGAAATATTCTATCTAATTGCTTTTGAAACATATAATTTAGCCATCATTTCTCGATTGCAAGTATAATTGCGTAGCGTAATGCCAAAAAAAAATCAAAAAGAAAAGAAGAAATAAAAACTTTATTGAGCACAGCACAAGTACGAAAAAAAATTGTTATTGAACCTTTTAACTATGAATGAGTTTCTCCGTTTAAGTTCCGTTTTACGACTCTAATGTTCACAAAGCCTATTTCTCTAATTTTCCATACTCTTTAGATATTTTTTTGTGCACTATTTTCCACATAATAATAAAGCCAACATTGTTTTATTATTATTGTTATAAGCTCAGTAATTAATTATGCTTCTCTCTTTGCGTGTGGTTTCCGATACAAACTGAAAACGTGAAATACACGCGTGCTTTAACCAGCGCTTGCTGTTTGAAGACTAACAACAACGATTATTGAATGCACAAAGCACTTCGAATGAAATATTTTCTTTCATTCGCTTTTGGTGCGATGGTTTCGTGTTGTCGAATTGGAGATGTAAAGCAAACTAACTCACCTACATTCAATGATATCTCAGATTAATGAAAAAAAATCTTCGCATCATGCAACTCAATTTTTTTTGTTATAAAATTCAGTTTTAAAGAGATGTTAGTTAGTGTTTGTAAATGAGAAGAAAAAAAGAGCGGGAGTAGATGTAGAAAAGTTAAAAATAGACACCTTCCATCTCAAAAGCTTAACGTTCAGTGCATTTTAACAATGAAGAAGAGAATGAAATTAAATGAAAGAGGAAAAGAAAAAAAATCATAAAGAAAGAGATTTAATAGATTGGATGTCCAACAACACGTTTGAATTTTGATTCATTTCAACGCATCTCGAGTTCTTTTCTCATTTACTTTTGTTTGCTTTTTATTCCTTTTTTCTTTCGTCAGTTTCAAGTCCCAGAACCACCTAGTCGCGACTGCAACCTTCCTTAATGTTCACAAAGTGAGTGAGTCAACACTTAAAACTTCTCGTTGTGTTTGATTTTGAAATCTTAAAAATATGTTGTTTGGACGTTTGAATTTTTTATGTTTTTGTTGTCCCAGTCAAGCAATGTCGCTCCAATAATTTCATGTAATTGTAATTTATTTAATATCCGTAAGACCGTTTCGCTTTTAAAAATCGTTTGAGTTTGCAATTTTTTTTTTCTTTTTCTCTTATTTCAACAAAAATATCAATGTTTTGAGACTTTAATCGTGACAAACATCAAAAAGCTTGAACCACAGAGGAAGAGAGGAAGAAAATATTTTTCTTATCACATCAAATAGCAAGCAAGCGAGAGGCAAACAAATATTTGTCACAATTGTGTATCCTTCCCCTCCTTTAATGACAATATGATTATTTTTGTTCCACTTTCTTCATCGCATCTGAAATGTTTTCATTTCTTCGAAAGAACCCCCAAGAACAACAATCGATTTATCTTGGTCAATTTATGAAACGTTCAGCATAGCATTTCTGTGGCTAACCTCGACGATTGAATTCATATTACAACAACGAGAGGATACTCAGCAAAAAAAGATAAAATAAATGAAATAGGAAAGTTGACAAGATAACACCAGTGCTAGGCTATAAATAGTTCAACTAAAAGGACAACAAAACAATGACAGATAAATATGAAAATAATGTTTTGTTTTCATGAATTATTCGAGATTGAAGCCAACTGGAATGTTATGTGTAGAAAAGCAGAAGTGAACGGCAAGCATAAATATGAAAAAAAGATATTGCAAATCAGGTTTTATATTCATCAGTTTCCGGCCTAGATATATTCCAATGATTCAACATTGAAATTCATTATGTTTTGTGTTGATCGAGCTAAATGTTATGAAATATTTGAACATTTATTTATTATGAATTTATTACAAAGTTTGATTCACGATGGTTCAAAATTTGATTAATTCCTGAATTATTATTTTAAATGAATTGTTGATGCACAGCCGTTCGAATTTTGAATACTAAGTCGCTTCTCGTTCATTTTTCTGGCAATTTTTTTCCCATTTATTGAAATATTAGGTTGACAAGCTTATGATTCAATAACGTCATGAGAGCTTTTAAAGCTTTACTGAATTTTGAGCAACGTTTCATTCGATTGTTCAAATTTCTTTTTAATTGCAATAGATAAAAAATTTCTCATATTGATTGCGCTTGTAGTCACCCTTCGGTACAGAATTTTTTGAATTATTCAACATTTCATTAAGATTTTTCCTGCTATATTGATATCAATTTTGAATTATTTTGCTCGTTGTTTAAACTTTTGCGTGCTTTATGCGAACGCATGTTAATCATTTGAAAGCCTTTAGGAGTTTTATGTCGGTTTAATATTCTTTCCTTTTGAATGTTTAGATATTTATTTTTGTCGATTGAGAGAAACCTTGAATGTTAAACATTTCATCATGTTAAATGAACTTTCAACTTGGAAATTTATTTTGCGATAGAATTTGTAGATACAAAACGATATAATAAACATAATCACATTATCGGACATATGTTTCATTCACTTTGTCATGAGAAATAAATTGCTATGAGCATACTTTTGTATTCTACACTGCAATGTTTAAGCTGTTTTAATTAAATGTCAACAAGAAATAGAAGATTTCAAACTGAAAACCCGGTGAACGTGTGTAAACATCTTCTCGTGAGTGTTTTTTCTTGAAGTATTCTTGAGATTTTGGGCGCGTGTCAACAGACGTCATTGCACTCAAGTGTTAATAATTTGCAGTCTCAATTGTTCATGTGCTAACTTTAAGTGCTAACTTCATTCATCAATCATGACAACAGGCTTCTTACCGTGCTCAGTGATTTTCTTCTTTACTGCCTTGTCATGATTAAATAGACAAAAAAGATATCTGGAAAGAAGAAGAACGTAGCAGCAAGTTTTACTCTTCTGTTTTTTTTGCGAGTTCATAAATATTTACTCTTTTCATTCACATTTTCCAGCAGATGAGCTACACTTGAGGAATTTAAAATTTTGTAATAATATATTTCTTTTAAAGAGCACGAGAACGACACAGTGCTGATGTTTCACTTAACGTGCTTCAGCACTCGTCTATAAATATATTTAAATGAAAATTTTCTCAAATCTCTCCTTGCCTCATACAGTAAGATGTTCACGAACAACGAAAAATTACTTTCAGACTCATCACAGCCGTGATAGTTGAGTCACAGCATTTGCTCATAAATTGACATGCTTTAAAAGCTTTAAATTTTTTTCTCCGCAGTTCTTGATTTTTTCTTACATCATTAGATCTTTCAAGAATGTTTACTTCCACAAAAAATACATAACCGGGTAATTATCGTTGTAATAATTGATGATGAGGCAATGACGATGAAATTTTACCAACCACAGAAAGCGATCCGTTTCACATTATAAAAATTAATTTTGCAAATAAAGCGAATTTCATGGTTTAGTTAATCTTCAAATCGCGATGATGTGTCGAATTTAATCTAGTGAAAAAATCATTTTATTTAATCTTGCAAATAAAACTCTGTGAAGTGTTTCTCGAGGGATTCTTAAATACGCGCAGTTGCTTCAAAGGATTTGCAATGAATAAGGGAAATAAAATTAAAATTAAAAAAGAAACATTGGCACCGCTTTTTTAAGAAACTTTTCAGTTCCAAAATGACAAAAAGAAGGCAAAAATTACAAGTAAAATGACCCAACAGCACCGAAGCAGTTTGAACTGATAATTAAAGCCTCAGAAAGTTTCCACTGAACTTTGAGTCTTTTGCAAATTCAATTAACTCGAAGTTAAGCGGATTAACTGAATGGAGTTTCAATTGACCCACCAGCCCTTCTCGGAACGTGCCATCTCGCTACATTAAACTCAACATGTTTTCGTTGGTGAAATAAGAAAAACAGAAAAGTTACACAAAACTTCATTAAACTTTGTCGATAGTTTAAGGCTCGACAACATCATTCGGACTTTTGTTTTGGTAAAGTTTCAACTACGAATTCCAACAAAAGTTAAGTAAAATGAGATTATAATGAATAAATCAGCCCACAAGAGAAATCCACTTACATTTGTTGTCATTCAATTTGAATTATATCCTCAATTTATTTCCCTTCTGCAGTCGCGCAAAAATAAGCGATAATCCTCGAAATATATTGACTTTTTGTGTAGATTCCTTTTTGCTTTTCTTTAAAAGCTTCAATTTGCCAAATACACTTACATACACATAACGTAATGTCACGCTCTAAGCTCCATTTAATAAATTATTTTGCCGTTCTTTTCCTCTCTTCTTTTGTTATTACTATTACAACTTCTTGACACACAATTGCTTTATACTCGCGGAAGAAAGAATCTAGCAAATTAAATGTTGAATGGGATTTTTCTCTCGACTCGACGGTTACTTTAACAAGCTAATGCACAAAGAGTGCTGGATGATAACACTTAGAGACGATCAGCCTTTTATCGTTCTTTCTTTTCTTTTTTACCTACTGCAACAAATCATTTGACCAAAGTAAATTCTTTTTCCCTCTTCCTCACTTACACACACACGAATTTTTTCGACACGAGCTACTCGAGTGTAATATGAATTCAAATAAAATTTATATTACCGCACTCAAAGGATTTTTAATATTGCATGAGATGAAAAAATTTTCTTTTTTTTTGCATGAAACCGAATAAATCGATACGAAATGTAGGGAAAAAAATGAACAAGTGAAGAACAGCGAGCCACTTTTTTTTCTGATACTTGAGATTAATTTAATATTTGTTGTTTTATTTAGCGTTGCTATAGGAATATTTCGTACTTAGTACCGACTTGTTATTTTTTGTTCCATCTCTCAAGTTTCGATTGAATAGAGAATTTATTACCTCGTCAACTATTTTTTGTAATATTTTCTTGAATTCACGTCAATAATTCTTCTTATTTCACTTCACAAAAACCGACAACGTTCTATTTATTATTTTTCTTTATTTTCTTTAAAAGTTTGAAAAAAAAATCGTGACAAAAGACTAAGTGACAATGACAAAAGTTATTCTAATTCTGAACGCGTTGAAGGTTCTCGAAAAACTGAAGTCAAGCTTCTCAATTTTGTTTTACTGTAGTACAAACAAAAAAGCGGGCAACAAGCAACGCGTTGTGCTCGCTCTCTGCAATAATGGACTAGCATTTCAGAAATCAGCTGTTTCACGTTGGAAGTTCTCATTTTCCAACTAAAAGCATGCGCACGAAATGAAAAACGTTTTTCTATTCACACAAATATTTAATATGTGAATCAGAGAAAAACCTTTAAAGCATTCAATGACAGAATTGATGACGATGAGAGTGTCTGACACAGATATCGACCGGTGTTAGACAATGTGATGAATGAACAAGCTAAAATTCAATTTCGTTGTAAATGTAGCTATAATTAAACTATTTGAAAACAGTTGGGCGTTTCTAATTAGAATAATTATTGCTAGTGAAGGGTTTGTTTGTTACATTTAGTTGGTAAAAGGATTTTCTGGTTCTGACATCGGCATAAATATTTCTCGTTTCAACTAGAAGTTGGAATGAGCTTGAATATTCCCACAACTACACTTAAGTTCCAAAGTTCTTGCAATGACAGTATTTCAACCCCAATAAACATTCAAAATGACTCACCTGAACTCTCTTCTCGTTTCTTCGGACGACGTCGTGCATTTGTTAGATCAACCTTTGGCACAATAATGGTTCCAAGTGGACATGATCTGTATGAATATTTGTGTTTCTGTTTTTCTCTAGCACTTGAAGGCTCTTCCTCTTCACTTTCTTCGGATGATGAACTTCGTCTTAATTCACTTATTCGTTCTAAGATAGAAACTGATGATCTCGATCTCATGGAATTCGAACTGGAGCGACTGTATGGTTTCGTTCGCGGTTTTTCGTTCGATTTTTTGTATTCCTTTTCACTTGCACTACGTGATGAAGTGTTGTGTCTGAAATGAATCTGAGTTGACTCACTTCTGTCGTTTTCCTTGTACTCTTCTGGTTCCGTGATGACGGGTTGCTTTAAAATTTCTCCGATCAATGAATCATTTCTAATTTTGACTCTGTAACTGTCTTTAGATCTGACGGAGTGAAGAGATGATGCCCTAGATACGGAAGCTGATTTCCTAAGTTTTGAGCCAACAATACAGCCAGCTTCTTTTGCTTTAGCCAGCAATGTGTTGCGGTTTTCATCGTAAAGTTCAATTGTTGGAAAAGCAATATTCGACGACGACTTTGATGTTGTCAATTCCCAATTCCACATTTTTGGCTTTTTCAAGCTCAACTTGATCAGCTGTTGTTCGTCATTGCTTATTTCGTCATTCAACAATGCTCCATTCTCAGTCATTGTTATTAAATTCGAAATATGTTACTTGCGGATTAATTATACTTTGCGTGCTTGCGTCGCTTTTATTTATAAACCGCTAAGTATGTGGAATGACTTTCTACTCACTGCCTTTTCTTCTTTTTTATTTTTTTTTCCGTTCAGCTGAGAAAATACACACAAAAAAAATAATAATAAGATTTTCACGAACGCTGTTTTCACGATGAATGATTTTGTAACTCTCTAAAGAATTTTTCTTAAAACGCAATGCAATGCGACGTGTTCTGTTCGCTTGTTTATTTTGAAGATCACGATCAGTTACTGAGGCGTTAAAATGAATTATTTTTGTGAAAAAAAGAATTTAAAAACTCGTCCACCTACATGCGTTCGAAACTGCTATTTATCTTCCAAATTTTACTTTTTCTTTTTCGCAATAAAAATACATTCATGAAAATTTCTGTATTGATAAAGGAAAAAATTAATGTGATGCTGACAAAGTCATACACAAAACAAATACTCTGGCAAAAGTCCAACCTATACAATGAAGGTTATTTGTTGATTAATTTTTTTTAGTTTTTCATGATGTTCTTTTTCCTTCAAATTTATAATTGTTACAGAAAACCTGACGGTTTCACGTTGGGTGGAAAATCGATCAAATATAACAATAAACATCATTTTATGGTCAGCAAATATTATTTCAGCTCAATTTTAGCTACAGCCGTTCACACCAAAATAAACTGCTGAGCTTTTACGTAATAACTATTTGGAAGCGTGCTGATAGGCTTAAATGTAAAATGTGGAAAATATTTTGTGTTACATTGCTTTCAGCATTTTTACATCGTTGCTGAAAACAAGCTTAAATGTTTCTGGCATGTTGAAGATACTCAATGAAATTACACAAACTGTGATTCTAAATTTACGCTCTAATACGATTTTTTTATATTTTGTCCGCTTCTTTCACTCATTTTGGGGCAAATATCACGGCAAATATAAAAGAATTCTTTCATTATTTTTAATTCATGCGAAAATTATTTTTACGCAACCTTGTCGGTCAGAAAAATAGAAAATATGTTCGCCATGAAATTTTGATTTCGCAATCACGATTTCTTTAGGCTTTGAAAAAAAATATTCTACATTTTATATAAAATTTGTTGATTCACAGAAACATTTGAATTCTCGAGAACACTAGTAGAAGGCGAAACAATCAATTAAATTATAAAATGAATGTGCACATTAATTTAAGTTAATTTGTCACAGAAATGAAAATTTTATTCAACTAACTGTTGTTTGCAACCGTCGTCTTCGAAATCGCGAGAAAAACTGAGAAAATATTTCGAATTTTTCCATCTATAATAAGATTTTTTTTTAAAACTTATGTAAATTGAGTAAAAAGCTAGCTTTGAAATTAAACGTTTCGTTATTTGTTAAATATTAATTATTGAAATACATCAATGAAATTTAATTACACGAGAATTAACTTAGATAATCTGTCAGTCAATTATTATTATTTAATATTAATTAATATATAAAAATATTATTCAAAAAGCCTTCAGTTAGATACTTGCTTACATTCATAAGCAAAGTTATATTTTTTGCACAAAAATTTTCATAACAACTCAAGTAATAATGTTGAGAAAGGGAGAGAATTTATCAAGTAAAACAAGCATAAAATATTTTTATGGCTCAAAGCACATTATTCAAAAATACACGATGATTTACGTTTTTCGGAGTTATGAGATTTTTTTTAAATGATGCTCTTTGAATGAAAATTCTTCTCATGTTTGAACCAATAAGTCAGAAAGCTTTCATCGCAAAAGCGTAAAGAGACGATGAATGTAAGAAAAGTAAATACTGAAATATTTCAACATTCATGGGGATTTACAAAAATCCAATTTAGATTGCAAAAAAAAAAATTCATTTCCGTCTGATCAATTATGTTTTTTTTCGATTGCAAGAGCTTTTAAAAAGTTTAACCTTTTGTTTTTCATAACATTTTCGACGTCATTCCATCACATTCTATTTACATACGTGATGAGAATCAACTGTTTTTATTTTATTCTCTTTTAAATAAATATATCCATTTTTTTACTTCAGATAAATTGAAAAATGTCATTGGAATTGGATGAAAAAAGTCTCTTTTTTCTTCTTTCTCATCAACATCGTTTCATTGTCTGTTATTCACCTATCTATGTGGAGTAATGTCGTCATTTTACTGACAGAACATTTCAATGACTTTTATAGCCAACTGTTTTGATAAGTCAGCTAAGTGTAAGCGTGACTCGTACTCAAAGACATGAAAACATTTCGCGGTCGAGTCTCGAAGCAGTTGTAAAATATTTTAGTATCTTTTTATCACTTGGAACTTTAACACTTATAGAGTTGGTGCAGTTAAGTCAGGCAGAATGTCGATATTATTAGCTTCGTGCTTCATTTTATTATTAAGTTATGTTAACAGTGGGTTGAGTGAAAGTGAAACTCTCATAAAGTTCTTAGAGACAGAGAAAATGTTTATCGGCGACTTGGAAGATTACATTGAAAGACAAGAAAGTGTTTTACATGTTCTGAGAAAAAAGCTTTTAAATTTTAAAGTTGAACATTCTGATGCCGTGGAAAATCCTGACAGTTACTTCTCCAACGAATTAAATCGCTTTTTATTTGTAAAAAGACTTTTCTCTGACGTTGAGCTTCTTTCCGAAAAAACTTTTAAAACCGCCGACACGTTTAAATCAAAAGTCAATTCTTATAAGCGAGGCAATATTTTGCCTTCAAAAAATGATCTCTCTGCATCAGTTCTGTCAATTGCGAGATTACAAGAGGCTCAAAGTCTTAGAACAGATAAGCTTGCAAAAGGTATTTTTGGAGATGTAAAACGACGGTATTGTAAACAAGACAACGACTTAAGAATGTTGATGATAAAATAGATTCTCCCCTCTTTTGTGATTTCTTTTAGAAGTGGTCTTTCAACAGAAGATTGTTATCAAGTGGGAAAGCAACTTAATGCTGCTCATGTTTATTCATCTGCGACTGAATGGCTCACTGAGGCGATGAAACGTTATGATGAGTATTACGATCAACACCAGGTGAAAGCTGTGGACATTTTAGAAGAGCTTGCTTTAAGTTTCATAGGAAACAATCGGCTTAAGGATGCCGAAGGAATTGTTGAAAAGGTTTCACGCATGAATTCAAAAAGTCATGTTGTTGAATTGTTTTTTAAGTATGCTGACAGACTTGACAGTTTGAAGGATGAAAAGTTGCCAACAGATATCGATACAGAAGAACTTTGTCATCCTATTCATTTTTTTAAATCAAACATCTTCACTTGCCCAATTTGATTTCACAATCACAAAGAAAATATTTTTAAATCCCTCAAATAATAAAAAATCCTTGAAATGTTCAGAAAGGCTTGAAATTACAAATTTTCGGAAGCATCCCGGTTGTCGCCATGAGAACATCCTTTTTTTAAATTAAAGAGAACAAATTATGCTGTGAGGCGAAACATGATAAAAAAACAATATTTACATTTTCCGGGGAACTTGACATCGTCTTCTCATCTACATAAACATAAGCATGACTAATTTGTTGAGACCATTTTCAACTTATATGGGAAAAGGAAGGAAAATGTCGTTTGAAGCAAACCCACAATCATTTAGAATTCAGGGTAGGCAGTGGTTGAAATAACATTCAAAGTGATCCTTTGATTGAGTTTAAGTTGTAAATAAATCTTCTAGTTTGACATATTTCCAGTTGTCAGAGGAAGTTAGAATTTTAACGTCTTCCGGTTTCTACGTGATTTAAGTTCTAAAACTCATTATTATAAAATGTTGTTGTCGTATTGCTTGCTGAGAAAAGTTTTAAAGTAATTTTATCGAGGGAAGTTTCCTCAGTTTAAAAGCCAAAGCCAATGACACGTATTCCAAGTTTAGCTTTATTGATAGGATCTGTTTCATTTATAATTCTACATCGAGACAAAAGAATGATATTTTAGTTAATTCGTTTCTTTGTATTGAAAGATGTGAGTTCAGTTAATCGATAAATACATTAAAGGTGGTTTAAATAAAACTTTTCCAATTCATATGAATCAATAAAAAATATTATTGAGCTGGTTTACATTGAAAATCGTTTAACTCTATTTACTCTTGCAGAAAAAGTTTATCCTTCTTCTTTATATAGTCTGACAGTTGAAAATTGATTCATTTATCATGAAGAGATTTCTTTTCCCGTCCAGATCATCTTTTTGTTGTTGTAGTCAAAAAAGTTCTTTTCATGGATTCAATCAGTGGCATGGAGAAAAGTTTCTCTCTCTTCAACCGCAAATTCAATCCAAATAATAATCCACATTGGAAATCACCAAGTGAAACATCAATGGGGAAAAGAATTGAGATTTTCTTTTCGTAAGAAGCGAAAACTTTTCAATAGACAAGACAGAAGAATGAAGAAGAAAAATCAAATTTCGCTATTTTTGTGGGCAAGAATAAATTGAGTGAACTGAGGAAAGTGGGAAGATGACGAAGGAAATATGTGGCTTGAAGACACGCAAACGACGTTGATCTATAGATTTAGTGAGATTTCGCGCAATAACTTTTTATCGTTGACAATACTTTCTGGGGCTTGGTTTTGGGGGTTGAAAATTCATCCTTATTGGATCGGAAAAAAAATGTAAATAGAGCACGTCGGTTTTATTGACTCAACTTTAATAATGTTTTTCTTGCAAAACAAATCTGATATTCAATTTAATGAAATGAAATCTTATTTATTCATATGAAATGTTGTAAATTATACGAGATGTTGGTATTGCAAGCAGGAAATTGTGAGCATTAAGAAGCGAAAAAGTCTTTCGTCTGGAACTTGTTAGGAACAAATTTTCCTCAACGAATGAAGAACCTTCTACGAGAAAAATCATTTTTTCATCTCACGAAGAGCTTTCAGTTTATCACTGAAACATGTCACCGTCACTTTATAAAGGTTCATGCTTCGTTTGATGGAATTTATCATGTCAAGAGCACTTCTTCTATTTTTTGTTTATGTTTTTGCCTTGAATGAAACGATAAATAAAAATTTCCAACGATTCCAATTCATGCAAGGCTGGGTTTTGTTAAAATGATTCTGGCACGAACTTAATGTTTGTGGATAAAAAAAAAGAGAAAAACGAATTGTGCGTGTTCCACATTTTTATATCTCCCCTCAAAGTTCCATTTCATCATCGAAATTTACTCAAATTTCGTTTGAAGGTTTGTAAAATGATATTTTCCTTTCAGCAAATTGCTTTCGATTTATGTAAGAAAGGTTCAGGCTCGTCTAGCACTACATAAAATCATTAGAATGTGAATCGCTTAGCAATGAATTTAATTGACTGGCGAAATTCCCCATTTTCCATGTATTTTTCGGAAGATATATTAAAGAATAAAAAAAAGTTTCGTTTATTTTATGACAGACCATAAAGAGCGAAAGGCAAAAGCAAAAGTAAAAGTGAGAAGGGAAAGGAAACCGAAAAACTCTTTTACATCCTAAATATTTCAAAACGAGTTTTTTATGTTGAAACCGAAGCATTATTTTACATCTAAACCTCAAGCTCTCCAATTTTCGCTTTTTTGCGATAACGAAAACACTATATAGTAAGTAAATTCTTCAATTTTTTCCACCCCCAACTGCAGTCGCTTTACCAGAGACGAATAGAAGGAAAAAAAAGAGAAATTTCTTCGCGACAAAAGATTCACTGTGGCGTAACATTTTTCATTTTCAACATTTATCTTTCAAATTAAACCTCAGAACTTTACCCTTTAAATGTTAAAAAGTCGTTCAGAAGCACTTGATATTTTGCAATTATGGTAGAGAATGAAAAGGGTTCGTAATGTTTTAAATAAACTGAAATGCTGACTTTAAAACGCTGCAAATGAATGACAAATTGAGTTTGGCTTTTAGCAGCAAGATTTTTCTTTCGATATTAATTACATTACGAAAGTTGAGGAGTTTTTGTTCTTGCACTAAAGTTGTTGATCTATCTAGATTGCTGTAGAATATAAATAATTAATCTTATTCAATGGAGTAGCGTTCATGATATCGTAAAGTTGATAATAACCATCATGAAACTTTCCCAAGTTCATTAACTTGTTAACAGAAATTCATAGCAAGTGATAAAAAACATTTTTTGCTCTTTTATTATGCTTTAAAGCATTCCTTAAACACTCGGAAAAATTCAACGGCCGTCACCAACCTGAAATTTCTCCGAAATTCTCAACTCATTGTGTAAAGCTTTCATGAAATTTTTGGTTCAGTAACTTTTTTTTTCTTTTGTCAATTGCTTTTTAAAATGAAAAACATCACTGAAAAGATAAAAAATGTTGAATCCCTAGCAGAATTTTCTACCGCTTTCCAAATATATCTCTCCGAAAGTATGATAAATTTAACAAAATTTCAAGGCGGATAGTCTTCAGAAACCTTGGCGTGTTTGGGTTAGCATCATGTAATTTATCGTTTCACTGAAACGAAAAGAAGCTTTTTTGCTTTCCTTTCTCGAAAAATTAATATTATGTGTGTGTGTGTGTGTGTGAGTATGTAAAAACTCTCGACAGTTCAAGACCAAGTAGTATAAGTACTGCCAACATTGAGAAAATTCCTCGGATGCTGATCTTAATTATTCACTCAAATTTCTTTCTTTTTTTGGTGGCATTCGGAAAATCGTGTTAAATTTTTCATTCTGATTAAGAGGGAAAAAGATTGAAAAGGAAAATGCTGACGCAATAACAAATCATTTTGGAGACATTAGATTCAAATAGCGGTTGTATTCTGCTAGCTATATTCAAGTTGGTAATTGATTGCGTCACTCAATTGTCATCCAAATTTTAAGATTTATTTACGTTTGTTCTCGTCATAATATTTTATTTGCAAAAAGAAAAAGAAGATTTTCTATCTTTACACGATGACGATCAAAAGTTTATTTATATTCTCATATATTTCATTCTACAAACAAAAGATTCATTAATTTATTTAATAAATGTTAATAGTAATTTCCCTTGTCGCAACGACATCCTATGAAAATATTTCTCAAGAAGGAAAACAACAACACCTACAATGTGTCCCAACATTAAACCAACAAATGCCATCTCCAAATGTTGTAAATTAATTTTAACTTTCGTTTCCATCATCGTATAATGATGCTTTAAAGCTGCTTCAAGTTTAAAGTAGTGCTTGCTTTCCATTTGCCATTTAACAGTCAATCCCGATTGCAAAAACATGTTAATATGCCAATTTACGGTGTTGATGTAAATTGACCTTTTTCGGAAAAGAAAAGCCAGCGTGTAGCTTCTAAATAATGAAGAAAAAAAATAAAGAAGGCAAATGTAAATTTATGTAAACGCAGCTTTTTATATTCCTCGCTTTCTCATTTTACATCCATATTTTATTTAAGACAAGTTCATTTGAATTTAACGAGTAAGCGAGAAAATTGAGCTTGGCTTGGCTTGTTTTAAATAAAGTTAAAGCTTCTCTCTTTACCTGGGACACTCAGCAACTACATGTAAATTACTCGCACCATCCTCCCTTGGCTCGAGATTCTTATTATCATAATCATAATTTGAAAAACGAGTTAAGCCCGCAACATCCCCTCTCGACACAATTCTTTCGTTAAGGAAATCATCGCTCGTTGTTTTAAGTCTTCTTGTTCGTAAATTCCCAATGGTCGTTCCAAATGGCGCATCGCCGAAAATATCTGTTAAGAGGCCTGGGTGTCGAACGTGTACATCCAATTTACTCTTGTATAAATCATCGAGAGTGTCAATATTTGGATATGACTTAGGAGTCGTATAAACGTTGTACAGTGATCCCTAAAAAAAAGGAAAAGGAAAATTTTTTTATGAAAATTGTTAGAAAATCAACGAAATGAAAAAAGAGAAGAAGGAGATGAAGAATACAATGATGAATGGGAACACAAATAGATTATTTTCACATTTTTTTCCATCTGTTTTGTGCGTTCTGTCTTTCACTTCTGCTATCACAAGAGAGTGAAAACGAGTTTACTTGGCTTAAGTGGATGGAAAAAGCTTTTGATGAAAAATTAAGATTTTCAGTTTTTTTTATCTTCTCGTCTTTTACACTTTTATAAAGAGCTTCACGACGAGGCTGTTGAGCACATTGGAATCATCAGATTATATTTCTGACATCTTTTCAGATCATAAATCAATCTGGTGAGTTAAACAAACATAAGTAGAATGAATAGCAGAGGCCATGGTGGGACAACGAGATAATTTATTTTCAAATATGCGTCAAAACCCAAGCTCAATTTTATCGGCGAGTGTTTATGGGTAGTTGGACCTTTTTTTTGCGCCACCCTTAAATCTCTAAACCCAAGTGACAGATTCTACTGCAAATGATGTTCGATATCCACAAAAAGTCAATTGGCGTGACCCTTTTTGCTGTTAGGCTTAATAAATTGAATTGAAGGCAAAAAAAGTTTTTTTACCTTGTGCTTATTTTATTTGGCTTTTTCCTTTTTTTTTTTGTTATGAACTTACCTGGAAAGCCCCACAAAGAATTAAGCTCCATAGCAAACAAAACGACACAAACACGCGTTCGTGGTGAGAGGTCGATATTCCAAAAACACTTGAAGCTCCCAACATTATGGCAATTATACGAAATGCTATACTTTTGTCGTCTTTTATTTTACGACAAAGTTTACGATAGAAGAATTTCCTTTGGGACTTTTCTAGAAAGGTTCCCGGTTGATCTAGAAAGACGTAAAATATGAGCGTCTCCTTAGTTAATTGCTTACACATATTTAATTTAATTTAATTTAATTTCATATTTATTGATTGAAGTACATATAAGAGCTAAGCTCTTTGTATATCTTAGGGTTTATGGAAACTCAAATCAGTAACAATTACTGTCGCTTAACTTACATCTCACTTTCACTTCATCAATCATCGTCAGGAGAAGATAATATGCAAAGGCAACTGTAATCACAGTAATTACGATAATAATCCACACGCGATTCGAAAAAACCTGAAAGATTAACAGCGAGTGTGGAACCTGCAAGGAAAATTTGTGTTAGATTAAAAATTGTATTTTATATTGTTGTTGAGATAAATCACGTTAATCTGACGCAAGCTTCATTTTTTGATTTCGTAGAATTGTTTTTCATCATAATTAAATAATTGAAATTTTATATTTAGAACCAAAGATTTGAAGCGTTCATAATTCATTCATGACATCAAGCTACGTTTAATGGAAATTCTTGGAAAAATCTTCTAGCATGTCGCAATTTTCCTTTCGCTAGGTCAGGAAAAATTATTCTTAATTTATTTCTAAGAAAAGAAAAATCACTTCAGTTGTTTAAAAAGCTTTTTGTGTATTGACTGAAAGCTTCTCATTAAATTTCATTAAATTAAAAGTCATTTCAAACAACAGAAAGAGATTACAGCGAAAGCTTTTTAAAAATAATTATTTTTGTTTTTTTAAGACTTTTAATTTAATAACAATTAAGGGAAGGCAAAGACTTATTTCAATGCGATGGCTTCGAGAAATCTTTTCAAAGATTTTTTTCTTTTAAAATTTTTCTTTCAATGTGTTTCAAAAATGTTTTCATTTTTACTCATTTTCATGAAATCAAAAGCTTTTCATTTTCTTTCTTTACGCTGGTTTTGTATGCAAACTTTGAAAGAATTTGAATATTTATAAAGTGGTTTACAAGTAATTCAACCAGATATGTGGCATCATCATAAAAGTTATTTAAAGATTCATAAAGTTTCTTTTCTCTTAGTCAGCTTGTCCTATATCTTTAAACTTTTTTTGTCGACTAATCCGCTTGAATTCCATGGCAGATAAATCAAGAACAGGAAATTTAAGATGGAATTCTCTTCATCCATTAATCAGGACAATGTAATGAAATATGTGAGTGTTGCTGTTGGTTTATGTCGCCTTTTCTTCTTCATTTCCTTCTATTCTTCTTTCTCCCTAAATCTGTCTTCATTCATTTCTTTCACTCGTTTTATTTTGGGACACAGTATGGTAGCTTTCGTCTGGAAAGAATAATAATCGATTCCTACATACCATTGATGCCGTCTTCACAACAATACATAATTTATCATCGAGGATTGAAGAAGTAAATTCCAATAGATTCGTTAAGTAATCCTTAACGAAACATCCGTTTATAATAAAATCAGCTCGTCTGTTGATGATATCACCCAGTGCACCATTAAATGACCCATCTGCTTGCTGACGAGTTTATATTATAATTCCACAAAGTCCGACCATTTTTTTTCATTCAACCGGATGAGTCGTGTTGTATGTTGTATGATGATTATGAAGTCATTCCGGATGAGATGAAATAAGAAGGATGTTTGTTTGTATTTTGGTGAAGATAAACGACCAAAACATGGAAATGGACGGGAGAGAGTGAAAAGTTAACATTTTCAGAAGTGGATAAAAACCAGAAATTAAATTTCCGAATTTTCATTAAAAAGTTTTTTCTTTCTCCAGAGTGACACATGTTTGTATCAGGTCGTGCCTTTACTTTTTTTTTTCTCTTGCTTTCAATTCAGCGTGAGGAGAATTATAAAAGCTTTTTGCATTACACCAGAACAAAAAAAGCTTTGAAATATTTATGAGATAAATAAGCCGAAATTTCGAACGAAAGAACATGCAGAACATAAAAAATATTAAAATTTGTTAGCTGCATGACTTTGAACTTGTTCATGTTTATGCTTATTTAGGATGTGCTTCTTCTTGAAAAAAAGAAATGAAAATATTGCCGTAACTAACAAACAAGCCCATCGTGTTGAACATTCACGATGAACTTTCAGTTTTTTCTCTTTCTTTCCGGTTTTAAAAACATTTTACGACTTGAAAATTGGAATTTATGCTGTTGTTGAAACCTCATAAAATATAAATATATTTAGAAGCTTATAAGCTATTTTTTATGTTGCGAAACATATTTCAGAAGAAAACTATATTACAATTGGGATTTTATTAAAAAACCACGGTGGAGAAAGATTAAGAATGCACTCACCCTGAAGCCATAAAGCTGACGATCCGATGTTGGTGAAATATTTACTGTGAAATTTAATGTGGTTTTAAGCATTCTTAAAAGTTCAGCATCCATTCCAAAATATGCATCGAGAAGATAATGAGGATTCTCGAGAATACTTGCTGATAATTTATATCGAAATATGTTCATTTCCTGCTTCAGATAAGCATTCGCAGACTCGAACAAAATTACTGTCATATTCATTTGATTAAAGTTCAAATTGTGCTTTCGTTGAAAAGGAAAATAATGAAATGCTTGACTGCTCGTATTTATCAATTGTCGTTCTACACCCTCTTGTTCATTTATCAAAGGCATTTTGGTTAGTACGCCCCATTGTCCAGATTTGTTCCTTACAAATGGTTGATGATAAAATAAATTGATGATGCAACCGTGAATATCTTTGTGTGGTCGTCGACGAACATCATCAACAGATCCGTAATTGTCGGTGATGCTGCAATTGCAGAATGAAATGTAATAAATGAAACTAATTTCTGCTGAAGCCCATAGAATGTCCACAATGTCTGCAAGCTTTGCTTCATCCAATTGACAACCATTGTGGTTCAAATATATTTTAATCACATCCGGTGGAAGTTTTAAACTCATATTTAGTTGCTTCTCATCGTTATTGTTATCAGTAAAGAATAACGCAGCAAAATTTCTCGTGTCTGTAAAACTTACGTTCGTTGAACGGGTGAGTAGTTTCGGTATAACATTATCCAAAAATTTACATTTAATTTCGGGATCGGATGGCGATGTTGGTTCTGATATGATGAGCCAAAATTCTATGTTTGAATTATCCCAATTGATGATACTTTCAATTAAATTATATGTCTGTTGGTAATAATGAAAAGTGTTGTCTACATCTCCAATTTCGCTCGACATGCCAGAACAAAACTGGTAAAGTGCAAGCATTACTGGCGATATCATGTTGAAGTAGATATCACAAGAGATTAATTAGTAAATTTCTATTATTCAAATATTTGTTTAATTATATTTTCGATGAACAGACAAAGAGAAAACAACCAACAGCTGCACATCCAATTTAATTATGATTTTAATCAGTCATTGCCAATGAATTCATGTAAACTCTTCACACCATAATCAGCGTTTTACTTCAACCCTAGGCTCTTTAATGTTAAATTTCGGTTGTATCAACTAATTAAATTTATCCTAGATCTCAACAATGAAAGCACGACGAGAGCCTTTCAATTAAAAAACTTATAAAGTTAATTAAATAATCCAATTTATGAGGTACACATAAATGCTTTTAATCCTTTTATTTTAATGATAACGGCTCAACGGATAGTTGGACACTAAATCTGCCTAAAGCGATTTATCCAAACAAAAATAAAGTTGTTGGTTTTGGTTGAGGAAAGCAAACATAATTTTTATTTGCTTTTAATGAATAAATATCCAAGTTTCATTTACAAGTGACAGGTATCTACTTAGCTATGAGAAAACATTGTTGTTTGAATAATTCATTTATTTTCGTCTCTCCTTGTCATATTTATTTCATTTTATTCCAGGACAATCTTTAAAATAGAATTTTATTGAATAATTTATGTTGAACATTAATAGAAATCCAGTCAAATAACTTTTGGTTTTTGATTGATTATTTTGATATCCTGAAATTGTTTTTCTCGATATTTATGTTGGATTGTAAATTTCTTTTTTATAAATTCATGAAATTGATGTGTTGAAGCTTAGAAGCTTCAAGATGAAATTAAAAACTTGATATTCTTTTTTTTAATAGTTTTATTTGGAGTTTTAAATTGAAAATGAATTTATAATGTTGAATTTATGTTTGTTGGGATTTTATGACTCAATGACTAATGTTCAGAGAAGACAGAAATGAGGATAATCGAACCTTATCCCTTATCTTCCCAGACCTTAGTCATAATAAATCT